ATTTGAATCTGAAGATCTCAGGTTCGATTCCATTAGAGTTTGATCTAGTGGTAATACCACTAAATTTTAGGGCGGGGAAAATAGACCAGACCGTTAGAAAAACCGTGGTCCAAACCGTACCGTACAATTTGGTCCGGACCGTAGACCGTGAAGTATGGTCTGGTCTGGTCCATGGTCTGTATTATTTTATGATTTGATCTCTTGGTCTGGTCTGGTCTAGACCGCGGTTTACCGGACCGAACCGTAGACCAAACTGACTTGTCAATACGTGTTAACAGCCCATTCGACCACTCTCCAAACTCCCACAACGACACCCAACTCTCAACCTTAATTTTGTGAATCTCTTCCCTCCTTCATTCACAACCACATTTAACCACAGAGTAGAGATAATCGTGTCTCCATATGACATTATGTTAATGTTTATGACATTATGGTGCAAGCTGAGATGCTTTTACTTTGTATCTTCGAAGTATAACAAAGTACATGTTTCAATCATATCACTTAGCTTGGAATATGATATTCTTTCGGAGTACTCTAGTCATTACCATATACATATGCTTCAGTCTAGCTTGCGCCTCACGTACGCTAATCTTACCATACGTCTATCAAGTTTTGCTATTTAGAATATGAAATAGACGAAGTTTGAGACATGACACTATACTCTAACATCTCATGTATGGACCCCACTATCTAATTTCCATTTGAAATCATAAGATTCACTTAATCTAAAAATAATTATTGATGATTCTAATTCATAGAAATATATCAAAATATATTTAATAAGTGTGAACACAAAGACATATTATATGCAATATATCAAAAATGCATTTAATAAGTGTGAATGCAAACACATATCATACGCCAGACATACACTACCCTTTGTCGTATACATAAATATGTTAAATTTTACATATGACCCACCTTAGCTAAATTCCTGCCTACTCATCGAGCTTTGGATTTTGAGAAAGGCAGGAATGAGATCATTTCATCCCATGTTGTAAGAGTGGTAACAGAATCTTCAACTTGTGGTGTTTTCTTTTATGGGGGCAATGAGAAGCTAAATGTGACATTGAGTAATGAAGTGGCTAGTGAACGAGAAGTGACGAGGTGGAAACTAAAATGAATTTTTCATTTTTTTAATTGATACTTCTAAGTTCACGGTCAAACTAGAACTATTGATTGCCACATGATATTCTTAAACGAAGAATACTAACTGATATAGTAAGTGAAGGAACGATAAGCCATAACTGAGATTTCTCAGATAATATAAAGTTTATCTTATGTTGTAAGAATCATTTGTTCATGGTTCAATGTTCTTTAGCAACCATGGGAATCCTATATCAAGGTTTGAATGTTTTTTTTTTCCATAAACATTTGTTGAGATTTAGACTAACACTCATATTGGTAGACGAGAAAAGTCAACAAGGTAGAGAATCTTTAACCAACCAAGGAAGATATTTAGCAAATATTTTCAAAATTATTTCTCAAGGAAGTCAATCAAAAATTCAGCATTAATATTCAATATAAAAATTCCGAACCATACAAAAAAAATCATAATTCTTTATGGTACTCATCTTCAGGTCTAATACTTTAATGACCTGAATTTTACATTACAAGACTAATTTGGCCAATGTTTTCTGAAAAGGGAAATCCCTATCCTAGTATATACTAATTAGTAATTACTAAGGCATAGAAAGACTAGTCTGTTTGGCCCAACACAATAAACAAATCCATATTTTTTTGTTGTGTGAATATTTCAACTCTGTTATATGAATACCGCCAACACAATAAACAAATGTTAAAATACACGCCAAAAGTACATATTTTTTGGACTGGTTAGATTCCGAACGAAATAAATTAAAATGCCTTTGTTAATATAATTTTTAAAGACAGCAAACAAATAGGAGGCAATGGTCACCGTAGTAATATGGAAAATGAACCTTTAAGAGATATAGAGATAAAATCACATGAATAAAACGAATTAGAGTTTGGTCTAGTGGTAATATCACTAAATTTGAATCTGAAGATCTCAGGTTCGATTCCATTAGAGTTTGGTCTAGTGGTAATACTACTAAATTTGAATCTGAAGATCTTAGGTTCGATTCCATTAAGTAGTATCTAAATCATAAAAATGAACCTATATCACCCATATCCAAAAAATAAAATGACATGAATAAAAAGCGAAATTCATTGCAAAATCCGATGCTTTCAAATCCCATTGAGGAAAAAGACGAGCTAGTAATAAGTAGAAAGGTTCTTATTTTTTAATTAAATTGTAAATTGACTGAAAAAGTTAGTGATTCATGGTTCACTTACTTATCGATTATCGTTATAGACCTGATAGTGGCTCGTACATGAAACCGGTCATACTTTAATCGTTTATGTAACACTCAGCAAATTATGTGTTAATCCTGAGTCCATTACTCTTACATAACATTTGTATCATAATTATTAGAGATAGCTACCTATTCGTTAATCATATTCTAACCTTTTATCACATCCAAGTTTATGGTTTCCTGAGAAAGGTCTGAAACCTCAATGTATTACAATTGTCTCGAACCGTGGCTCTAGTACTAGTACGATATTTTCTGAACTGTAATTACAAATGAATCAATTAAAATAACATGCAGTCAAGAGTGGCATAATCTAACCAGGATATACAATTGTATTGGGGCGAGATCTTTTTCCACAATTGTATAAAATTTTGGATGGAATTATTAAGCAAAAATGTCAAGATGGCCGAGTTGGTCTAAGGCGCTAGTTTCAGGTACTGGTCCGAAAGGGCATGGGTTCAAATCCCATTCTTGACAAATTTTTTTTATTTCGCAAATGAAAGATTGAACAATATTTTTTTATGATACGAAAAAACTCAAACACAAACGTCGTTGCATCAATTACCAATGAATATAATTAAGCAACAACAGATTATGCTTACTAAGAGAGAAAGTCTGATCTATTTATTTGAGCAACCCAATTAGCGGATACAAAAGAGATTGAGTTTCATCTAAGTGCAACACGAGTTTCCTGGTTGGTCTCTTTGTACAAATGAGGTGGGCAACACAACTTTGTATCTCGTAGCGTCCCTGTCTCTTGGGACGCTTGTAGAGGTTCAATGTCATTTATCCCTTCAATCCCAACATCTTTCCGAATTGACTCGTCCAAGTCTATCAAAGTTGGAGGCAAGCAGAAATTCAATTTTTACAAAAACCGAGAAAACAACTTTTAGTATGCCAAAATAGAAAGCAACATCTTTCCAAATTGAATCGTCCAAGTATATCAAAGTCGGAGACAAACAAATTACACGTTTGGTCACTTAAATTATACAAATCTTTCACGTTTGCCACCCGAATTACTTTTCTTTCATATTCGCCACTAACTTTATAAATCGTTTCACCGTTAGTCACCGACCGTTATACACCGTTAAATTTGTCCTATGTGGCAGTCAACTATAAAGTTTGACCGTTAACTAGATGACGTGGAAACTAAAAAAAATTTATTTATTTATCCAACTCATCATTTCATTTAATTTATCATATTGTTTAATAAAATTTAATAAGTTACAATATTATTTATCAGCCCGCACGACAAACTCCTCCGCTAGGTCGGCGGAGAGACCTCAGATGGTCGTCGTCCACCGATCGTTGAGCTTCTCCTATGTCGTCTCCAAGATCGCCAAGCTCTACGGCCTCCCTACCGTCGCTGTCAAGTACCAGCTCCCCTCGGCCACATGCTTCTTCTTCTTCTTCTTCTTCTCCTTTCAACAGAGTCCAACTTTGCATATCCTCCATCGACTGCGATTGGCTCTCGGCCTGCTTGTCGTTATGCTCCCTAGGATTTTCAGGTTGATTGGGAGAGTCGGACGCCGAATCGCTGAAGGCGTTGTCTTTAGCTTCAATTGTAGCTGGTGATTCTAGGGATTCGTGATTTTTCAACTCCCGAATCGCAATTGAATCGACGAACTCGTGCAATGCGATGGCCTTCTTGACGACTCGCTCCTTGGTATCTCTTCACGCCTTCCGAATTTCTTCGCGGTCGAGTCCGATCTGCGGAGCCGGAGAACAGGAGTCGACAAAGTGGACTGGGACCCATACCACATTTCGCACCGGCGGTGTGGGAGAACGAGAAGGCACGGCAGGGTAGTAGTATTGACGCGGGTACAAATTTTTGGAGTTCTTTTTTTGCTTTGGTTTTCAACGACACGTCTTCTTCCCGGACAACGCGAGCTCGCGGGATTGGTAAGCTAGAGGACGACGCCGAGGGACAAGAGAGATGTAGAGGATTGGGATTTGAATGGAGTCGGGAGCAAGGATGTAAGTCACTTATTAATTTTTGCAATTTATTAATTTTTATTAAATAATTAATATGATAAATTATAAATCATATAGACAAATTATGTGGAATGATGAGGTGGAAAAATAAATTAATTTTTTAATTTTTTTTAATTTCCATGTCATCTAGTTAACGGTCAAACTTTATAGTTGACTGCCACATAGGATAAATTTAACGGTATGTAACGGCCGGTGACTAACGGTGAAAAGATTCATAAAGTTAGTGGTTAATATGAAAGAAAAGTAATTCGGGTGGCAAACGTGAAAAATTTGTATAATTTAGGTGACCAAACATGTAATTTAGCCTTTTACAAACACTGGTAAACAACTTTTAGTATGACAAAAACAAATCTCATATCAAGAGTGTAAAACGTGTTACAAGATAACACTCAAGTCATATTTGATTTACTTTGTTAGGACAAACACCGAAACAACATGTATTTAGGTTTAACCCTATAGGCTATAAGACTATACACTATACAGCCTAAGAGGCAAGGAAAAAATGAAAAATCTTCCCTTCTTTGTGATTGTGAATGAAGGGGAGAATGGTAGGCCAATATTGCTCCCTTTTGTCATGGGTTGCAAGCCCGGCCCGATTCTAGAGCAGAGGTTAGGCCTGCTCTTTATTACAAAATATTGGGCTTCGGCCCACCTCTTTACCACTCAGCCATGGTCCAGCCAAAGAGCCGGGTTTGGTTTGGCGCCGTAGAAATTGGAGAATTGAGAGTCTGAGCGGGAGGGAGCTGCTAGATAGCCGGAGAGAGGGACGAAGATCGTAGTCGTCGGCGGCCGGAGTTTTTGAGGAAGAGAAAGAAAGATAAATGGGATCCGACGCAGCAGCAGCAGCAGCAGCTACTCTTCCGGAATGGGCATCCACGCCTTGCATTATGGGGATCGACGAAGCTGGCCGTGGCCCTGTTCTCGGTAACTCCATTTCTCCCTCTTCTTCTATGCTTTCCCCTCTTTCTTTTTCCGGGCCTTCTGACTCCGGCTCCACGCAGGTCCCATGGTTTACGGATGCTTGTACTGTGCTCGCTCCTACGAGAAAACTCTTTCCACCTTGAATTTCGCTGGTAACTCTTCGAATTCCGTTCCTCTTCATTCTACCTTCTGGGTTTCCTTCCAATTTCGTGTTCCTGAGTTGCCCTCTTCAATTGAGAGCTCGAAATGAGGATGGGTTGTTTCAAATCTCTCGTAATCGACTTCAAGGTTGTGACTTTATGTTCATATATATATGTATATGATTATATGATTTGTATGTACTATACCACAGCTAAATGCCTCAAACTGAAAACTGACATCCAAGTCCAAGTGAGTGAGTGAGTGAGTGAGTGAGTGAGAGAGAGGAAGCAGGCCACCCTGAAAGTTCTTTTGTTTGATATCCTTCTGCGGAAAGATGTGGATATGATTAAGAAAGAAATTAGTTACTTCTCTTGCAAGTAGTTCAATGGTTTGTTTACTGGTTCCAGATTCAAAGACCTTGAAGGAAGAGAAGAGGGAGGAATTGTTTGAAAGTCTCAAGGCTGACCAATCAATTGGATGGGCTGTTGATGTCATTGATCCAAGGGAGCTCTCTGCGAAAATGCTTAGGAAGTGGGTTGGTTCTGCTATGGTAGTTTCTTTGATGGATAATTGTTCTTCTGTTTTACAATTATTTCACACATGCTTCCCATTTTCATGAAACAGGCATAAGATAAATCTGAATGAGATATCACATGACTCTGCCAGTGGCCTTGTGAAGAGAGTACTCAGCATGGGAGTCCTTTTAGCAGAGGTAAAGCTGGCTCACCTGTTTTGCTGTGTTTCCTCTTCTTCATAGGATGTGTTCTTCTCATAAGTTGGTGGCCCGTTTGTGCATTAGGTCTATGTCGATACGGTTGGAGATCCAGAGAAATATAGAGTTAAACTGTCTGAAAGATTTCCATCCATCAAATTCGTTGTGGCAAAGAAGGCTGATAGTCTCTACCCGGTTGTGAGTGGAGCCAGCATAGCTGCCAAGGTATGATTATGAATGACTACTGAGCTCTCCTCTTCTAACTCTCGGTCAAATATGGTTGTGATATCTATGGTAATAACATAGGTCACTAGAGATAGAGCTCTGCGAGAATGGGTGCTTGATGAAACATGCAGAGATATTGGCAGGAAATTTGGTTCTGGGTACCCTGGAGGTCAGAAACACTTATCCTCCTTGACAATTATTTTCTATTTCTATAACTTGTGCGATGTTTGAAGCTAATTACTTATCTTTTTTGTTAAGACCCGGATACCAAAGCATGGTTGGAGCAACACAAACACAGAGTGTTTGGCTTCCCGTCGTTAGTTCGTTTCAGTTGGGGAACATGTAATTCCTACTTCAAAGATGGTGTAGAAGTCTTGTGGTTAGTCCTTATTCCATAACCCTATTGCAGTTACTATGTATTCTACTTTTTTGGTCGCTGCTTGCTGGGTCGGTACGGTAACCTATATTGTAATATCCTTTTTTGATCTCTCATTGTTCACTGATGATGAATATCAGTTGTTGTGCATCTCTTTGAGTAAACTTTAGCTGACTTGGGAGGATATCATCTCTCATGCCAGTGATAGGAGGCCACTTCATGACTTTGATATCTGACATTGTCTCACAACAAAAATGCCCCAAGTTTTTCAAGCAAGTCCAGTTCATCCTCTTCTTCTATGTAAATTGACGACTTAAGTTTGGGTCCTTGAATTCTTTTGAAGGGCTAACTGTTCTTGCATCAGTAGTTCTCAGTAGAATACCAAACTGATGTATGATAGATATTCTCATCTTACACTTCATAATTGGAACTTCTTTAGTTCTTATAGTTCTAAAAAACTTGTGTAAACAGGGAGGCTGACAGGGATGAAGAAGATATTGGCAGCAGCAATGGCAAACGACAGTTGAAGTTGAGCAACTTTGGGTTAACAACCTCCAAAAAGAAGAAGGAAGAAGAAGTTGAATCAAGTGGCAAAGGGCGCTGCAAATTTTTCGAGACTAGGCAACTTGAACAACTTGCTGATTTCTAACGTTAGTTTCTTTACTGTCTTAACTCTTAAGTCTAATGCTACACTGCTACATTCCGATCCCTGTGTCATTGTATCATTAAATTGATGAACCTCCCCAATTAGACTAGACAATCATGGTGGCTAAATACAAGAGGAAATCTCATGTGTGTTTTCGATCTCTGATTGGCTACATCATGCATTTGACACAGAAGGCTCTTTGATTCAAGTCCTTTTCTCTTCATAATCACCAGTTGAGTTACAGCAAGACATGCAGAGAATTGTATCGTTATATGTACAAACAGCATCTGGGGGAAACCAAGACCAAGTCAACCAACAACAAAATCAGCAACCTGTTATTCTCCAAGCATTTTCAAAGCTCACACCAAAAACTCGAGAAACTGGTTTCCTCACACATTGTCTAATCGAACCTGCACAGCTGCCGCAGAGTGGCCAAGGCGGTTGTAGCAGTAACAAAGGTGACAAGTCCTCTCCAGTAGATGTTGATGTTGCTGAAGTTGCAAGCGGAAGCTCCTCGGTGGTTGTTCTGATGGTGATTGTTGTTTGCTGCACCGGCTATGATTACAGGCACCACTGCTCCTCCTGCAGGCACATTTCCACCACCACCGTTGTTGTCTGGTACACCACCTGACCCTCCATTTCCGCCTGTTACAGAACCATGGCCCCTCCCTAATTTCTTAACGTCTGCTGCTGCTGCTGTAAAACTGTTGAGCCCATTGAGATGTTCATGCGGGTTTGCCCCCAATTTGTTATCCAACGAGGAATCTGTCATCATAACTATGTGGTCAGTTGCAGCCAGAATCCAGAAAACAGGTCAGTAAGCTTAAAGCGCGAATCTTTTTTCCTAGCCAAAGGGAGTGGAGTATCAGATTCCACTTCAATTATTGTACAAGCACAGCCAATCACCATATACCACTGCTGTCCCCTCTCATCGTATGACAGCAATGAACTGGAAAGTTGAGCCGTGGCTGTTGACGGTTTGCTAGGTCTTTTCTGACGCTTGGACAAAGGCTGTTGTTAGTGTTTTGCTAAAAATAGACAAGCTTGAGATGAGGCCAAAAAGAGAGAAGAAATAACAAGGAAAAGTGGGAATACAGATTTCATCTCAAGAGTCTTCCCAGTTACCAGGTAAAGTAAGGGACTTCTTCTGTTTTTCCATAGAACCAAAGCACAAGTTAATTCTCAGAGGGCATAGAGGAGGAAACAGAAGGAAATGTTACCTGATGACCAGTGGGTTGGAGATGATGATGATGATGATGATGATGAAGAAGAAGAAGAAGAGGATGGAAGCAGAAAGATGGAGGAAAAATATGTGATGAGGAGGAGCACTGATCTCATCCTTTATTTGGAAATCCCAGTTGATCTTTTTCTCTTTTTCTCTCTCACAACTCTGCTAGTTTCTGCTGCCTAATGATAGCAGCAGTAGTGGTGCACACTGCACTAGTGCTGCATATTAAGAATTCTTCCCTATATTTGTACTAGACTACTCACTCACACAATTGGCCCAATCCTCTTCCTTCCATTTATTCTTCTGTAGTATACCTCAGTGAGTGGGTGGACGTCTAGGTATCGGGGAAAGTTAATCTGCTAACTTGAAAATTCGTTAGCAGATACTAACTGATATCCAAAATACATGAACTAGTATCCAAGTACTAAAGTATCTAGAGAGCACAAACTAGTATTCAAAGTTTGCTAACTGATATCCATCATTAATCAACTATTATCCCAAATTCACAAACTAATATCTAGACAACACAGAATAGTATCCATAAAACACAAAATTAGTATCCAGATAACACATAAGAGTATCCATATTGAATACTAGTTGGTTGATTGTGGATATTAGTTGGTATCTGCTATCTGGATACTAGTTTATGATGTTTTGAATACTAGTATGTGTTATCTAGATACTCAGCAGACTTAGATATTAGTTCATATATTTTGGATATTAGTTAGTATATACTAACAAATTTTCAAGTTAGCAGAATAACTAGGCTGGTAGGTATCTATCTTAATCTTAACAATTGATAAAGCAAATGTTAGTAGCTTTGATTGTACATATTTTTTTCTCAATCTTGCCTTTATATTAATTTTCATGTTAAACTTATCATATTTGTCCTCTTACTATATGAGCAAAACCTATTACACGTGTCCTCCGTATTTCATTTCATCTCGTCGAGTGTATGGACGACGACCAATATTCACAATTGAGTTGCGTCAAATTGTTCATATCATAGCCCATCAAAATTGGAAGGACTGTAGTATGATATCACTCCTATAGTTGTCCTCTCGACCAGAAGAAGAGGATTTCAACTTTTCACGAAACTTAATGCCCACATCGGTGCCAAATTTTCCGATGTCTTTGACAAGGGTTAGTGCGATGCTTACCACCCAATCCAGTCCACCCTTTTCTCGTTTCTAGATCATGTGCCTAACTGTTACCCTAATCTTTGAATTTATTCAGGGTTTAGACCTTAAATCAAAATTACAACTACCACCACCAATCATTGACCATAATCCATGCTAAATTAAATTATCATGTCATAATATTTATATGTAATTAAAGACGTATATTATAATCCCGGAAACAATTCTCTAACTTGTTTATGTTTGAAGTACCATACCGAATGAATTGGCATATTTGCACCGGAAATAAACGACTCCCACAAACGTTAGCGAAAAACCAAGTGTTGTACCAACCTGCAAATTAGATCACAAAAGTGAAATCCTTTCAGAAGGATTAGTCATTATGTGATCTTACACAAAAAGTAAACATGGTCACAACTCACTGGGGTGTAATTTACACAAAAAGTAAATAATGTTGTAGTGCATGGACAGAACTTAAAACTTCAGTGACTGAATGTATAAAAAAGTCGCAGAACGGATCTGTCTCTCTTCCCGCAGTTTCCAAACTGTCGCTCGCTCCCTCACTCACTTACTCTTTTTCTTCTCTTTCTCGTCGCGACGCGATCTCGAAAAATTCATCTTTCATTTTCCTCCCTTCTTCGTCAACCTAGAAGAAAAAGTCAGAATCCCTCAAACCTTTCTGATCGGATGGCAACCGGATCTCCGCTCGCTCGACTCGGCGTGGCTCGCTCGCTCCGCCTCGGTTTAGCTCGTTCCATGGACTCAACTCGCGCCGCGACTCGCTACTTCAGCGACGGCAACGTCGGCAAGGGCGGCCGAGTCCTCAACGAAGAGGAGCGCGCCAAAGAGACCGTCTACGTCCAGGTAGAGTTTTTTTTTTTTTTTTTTTTTTGTGCCTGCGTCGGTTAGATTGTTCGGGCGCGGCTAAAATCGGCGCGATCGAAACAGGGAAATTCTGAAATGTTTGATTCAAGAATTGCATCTTGTAGCTCTCGAATTTTTAGGGTTGGCTGATTCCCGTTACTCTCAGTTCTAGTAAGCTGTGAATGGCCGTTCGATACAATGCTCGATGAAATAAAACCGAGCGCGATCATTCCTTTGATTCGACAGTAGTTCTGAACTCGGGATCGCTTCTAGCATGATTCCATTAGGACGCTTTCATTGTATGTATGTGTGGTTTGAGAAGCAGTGATCGTTCTGATAACTTCAGCATTGTAAGTAGTGATCGTTCTGTGTTCTGGTAGGTTCGGTTTCTATTTCAGTAGCGCCATGGTGTTGTTTATCCAGTTGCCTTCTTTCTCTGTTATTTGTAAGTTGTTTGAGCGATTTGAAACTAAACTTTGCAGAAAATGGAGAGGGAAAGGTTGGAGAAGCAGAAGCAGAAAGCTGAGAAAGAAAAGGCAGAGAAGGAGAAACACAACACTGAAAAGGTCTGTGTGTTTCTGAGCGATCCCAATTTGAATCTTCAAGTATCTTTATCCCTTTTTTTGTGAAATGATCATGGAGAGTACTGTGTCTGCTGCTAATTATGTTTCTCTGCTCTGCTGTGTGCGTCTGGGTTATTTTTCAACTTCTTTCTCGTTGTTGATGTCTTATTAGTACTTGCTAGCTATACCTAATTCTGTTGTTTGATGAGGTCTAATTTGTTGATTGGGTTCCTGCTCGAATCACGAATCTTGAGTTTACTCTGGAGATTGAGAGATCAGTTGGTTGTCCTTCAAAACCATCCCAATTCTGTGGTTTTGTTTGAACCATACAGTCCTGTTGTAAATCTGGTTGGTGTCTGGTTCCAAAGATTTGCTTCTATGTTTTGTTCAAATCTTAAATATTCCAAATCTGCTTATTGTTCGCTTTGAATTGAAGACTTTGTAGAAAGAGAATTTGCATATCCCTAAGCTTAAAAGGAAAATGTTATGGTAGTTTGCGAGCTTCCATCTTCACAAGCGAATAAGTATGTCATGGCGTAAGAATATTGATAGTCTGAATTGGTGAATTTGTTTATACATAATGAAAACTTGATAGAGATGCTTAGTTTTGATGGAAAAGGTTTGGAATATTGTCAGAAGTAGTACATCTAAACCAATTTTGGGAAGGAGTTAGGTTCTTCATTGCCATTTCCCATTTTGTGATCAAAACAGTTATCCTTCAAGCTGTGAAACATCCCCCTGATAAAGGAAGTGTAGGGGGATGGTCCATACTCCATATCTATCATCTGCATAGAATGTTTACTCTCTTCTTGTGAAATATTTCAAAAGCTCCTCAATGCTTGGAAGATTGTTAGCTACGAGTTACACCATCATGACGATATTTTCATTATTTGCAGAAATGAAATCTGAAACTGTCAACCCGAGTCGATGAATGGCAGAGCCATGCTGCGGATGTGGAAATAAGTCGAATGGAGAATAAAAGCCGGAGCATGACATTCTCCGGTCTAGGGTTGTGATCTTTTTGTGCTGTGGACCTTTCTTAATGTTGATAGTTTTCTTTTTTGCACCGGCCATTGCTGTCTGCCTTGTTTTACAAGCATATGGCCGGTGCAATTACTGCTATCGAAAGTATAAAATCTTCGTCCTGCGGTGATCCAGTGTTGGCTTGTTGCTTCTAATTTGATTGTAACGTAGCATTCAAGTATCATACTCTCTTAACATGCAGTTCCAGAGTGTCACAATCCAAAGCGAGCTTCCAGATTGATTAGGACATATTCAGGAACAGGAAAAATATGAAAACACAAACATGTTTACAAGGTCAATTAGATAATCGAGCTGGTACCAGCCAGAATCAGTTACACCAAAGCGCAATCGTTCTAACTATTACACCTACCGAATTAATGAATCGCGCAGGTAACTTGTATTATTCGAACATGACAACTCTCGATTCTCTCCAAACCGCAAGTACAACTCATACAATGGAAAGGGAAACACCAGGCAACTGATCCTTGCATTCCGACCGGTATAAAAAAATCAGGAATTTTAATAACTCGAAGAAAAAGTTAACGATGAAGTAGCGAGAGCTGCCAAAGAGGTTTGCAGCTGCAGCTTGATCTCATCCATCATTAGCAGTCCAGTCTTCACTTCAACTGGTGCTCAAACAAGGTTGCCATCTCAATCTGCAGTTCAATTCAAACTAAACTACTGTCAAGTATTGATATCTAGCAACAATTTTCCAGTTTGCATGGCTTCAAACAAGTGATACGCGGTTATTTTTTTTCATAACTTAGGTTGACAGAACCTATACGCAAGTATCCCAGAAACAAGGCCGCTTTGGAAATGAGATCATCTCTCACAAGAACCTTTCTGTGGTTACGAAAACTTCTGAGAGGTTAGGAAGTTGCTTATCGCTCTAATAAATGGCTCCGAAATGCAAGTTACAGTAAAAAGCTTCCTAAGGCTTGGCTGTTCTTAGTTTGTAATATCTTTCGCATTTTAATTTAAACCCAAAAATGTAATGCATGGTTCAGTTGGGGGGAAGATCCAGAGGAAAATTTTCTCAAGTTACCAAAGAAGACGACTTACCGCTGTAAGGGCAGCCTCAGCACCTTTGTTCCCAACTTTCCCACCAGACCGGTCCAGAGCCTGCAGTTTTATCAAATTAAATAAAGTCCCTACAACCTCCATACAATCATGGACTAAGCGGGTATGAAAAACTTTGTTATAAGCTCACCTGGTTCATGTCATCACATGTAAGAACACCAAATATGCATGGGACACCTGCCAAGTGCCAAGCAATCAAGAAACAGAACCAAAGTTTTAACAAAAGGAAACGAACCAAGGATTCAATATGATCGGTAGTATAAATGGCAGTTGCTATTCACAAAGAACCTGATGTTAGAAATGCCTATTGTTGACAGGCTGATGAAAAATATGGCAGGTATAAGAAAATAGGTTCATGAAAAGGATCTTCTTCACAATCCTTAGTTCTTTTCCCTTGCAGTCCCTATGAGACTCTACCTTTCATAACTTGTCAAGCGTGCAAACCTTAGTAGATAAGGAACTGGACCTCCAGAAATCATAAAGACCACAGTTATTTTATATGTAGGGCCCGAGAGAAATATCTTCCATAGCGTTGCTATCATAATTCCATGTTCAACTCGTTCCTCGGTCTCTAACATACCCTTCTTGTGATGTGTGTGTTGAACAAGAGTGATGACTTGCGCATTCTCCAATTCCATACATAAACCAGTTCAGGGTAACTCTAGTTACAGAGATTATTGGTATAGCTAGTTTACAAACAATAGGCGTAGGCTAGACTATCAGAGATCAATGACTCTCTCTGTTGAGGAACCATTTGAACCAGAAAAGATAATCACATGCCTTTGCCATCAACACAGGTAACACTTATGCACAGGGTCGAACTGTACCAAAATAAGATGTTGAAACTCTAATGTAGTTCTATACATGAAAGACAGAAAACTGAAATTGTTACTTTCGACGGTTAGCCTTCCCAAATCTACTTTAGTGCTGAAATACAACAATCCCCGAAAAGGAATCGCCAACTAAGACCAGGAACATAGTGCGAGCCAACATTTCCAAAAGAGAAGCAAGAAGAAAGAAACCAATAGTCATTCATTCATGGCATATGCACAAGAGGAAGTACTACTAACCCGAATTTAGACCAGCCGACATTACTCCAGACGCAGCTGAATTCGCAACAGCATCATAGTGTGAGGTGTCACCTCGTACCTACAGAAAATCATAGAGTGGAAGCATTATGATCCTAGCAATCAGCATGCAGTGGTGAATCACATCACATTAGAAAGAAGCAAACATTTCGATGAAAATAGAAAAGCAAGTAAGACTCTTCTATTAAAGAAACGAGGAAATATCATACCACAGCGCCAATGCACACCACTGCATTGTAGTTCCCTGACCTGCCTAGCCTTTCTGCGGTTAAACATATTTCAAAAACACCAGGAACCCACACAACCTGAAAAGTAAGCGGATCGTGATGAGAAACAGTTTGATAGTAATCGAGACAAAGAAAGAAAGCGAATAAAAGATCGAGGACTGCAAGAGTTGGGTCATCATACATCAACGTCTTCTTCACTGACGGAATACCTCCTGAAAGTTCCAATTGCTCCCTCTAAAAGCGGCCTAGTCACGATCTCATTGAATCGAGCAACCACCTTCCATGGGACAACCACGGCAAGCAATGCCCAAATTTCAGATTCCATTATCGGTTTACAATCTAAGAGACTACACAGTAGAACCAATCATAACGAGAACTCACCACGGCAAAACGGAGGCCTTCAGTTTGGGAAATCGATCCAATATGATGCTTAACAGCTTCTGGAGCTTCCAGGGATGACGACGAGTTGCCCTGACGCCTCCCAACGGTAGTAAGAGCGCGAGCATTACCAAACCCTGCCGGAAAAAAAAGTTACATCCAAACTTAGATTCCCGTTCCCGATTATTTCCAAAATGCGAAAGCGAAAGTGGAAATAGTACCTTGCTGTGGCTGGGGCGCAGAGATCGAAGAAGAAGACGGCAAAGAAGAAGAAGAGGAAAAACAGAGGTGAGTCGTTTTGCCGCACGGCAGGTGATTGTATTTCTGGAAAACAGACGAGGACGTCAAATACTTCGTGGCAGTGGGAGCTGCTGCTAGAAACGCCATTGATGATGATGGAGAAAGAGAGACCGAGTTTTCTTGAGATAGAGAGATGGAAGAGTACGGAAAATGAAGGAGCCGCGATTGCTATAAGTAGTACAGAGCTCCATCTCCGGCGAGATTCTGTTGCTCGTTGAACTTCGACTGCCAGGCCGGAAGCACGCCGCTTTCTTTTCTCTCTGTGTTTGGGCGAAGAAGCACGCCGCTCTGGTCGCCTCTGGTCGCATCAACCGAATTAAAAGGCGTGGAACGAGTCGACATTGGTTACCCGGTTGGACCATTGAGTCGGCCGAAAAATTAGGCTGTGGGTTGTCTGGTTAGATCGGGGTGACTCAGATCGACCATTAAACACACACATTTCCTTTCTTATTTACTATTAAACACATACTTTCATAGATTGGTATTTGGTGTGGATGAAAATGAAAGGATGGAATGACAGGCAATTTCGGGTGGGTTCGAATATTACGTTAGTAAATCGGGGTTTCAAAAGAAACACCATTTACATGGTAAATCCATTCGGCAAAAGCTTGTACATATACGATTATGGAGATAAAAGGGTTTCGGCGAGTAGAGAGTTAACCGGAACGACATGTGAACTAGCTAATACGGTGCAATCCAATTTCCATAGCCGGTCCGGTTCACAAACCAGTTATGTTATTATTTTTTTACAGACAGGAAGAAAAAAAACAGAAGCAGAAGAGGTAAAAATGGAAGGGAAAAGGAGAAGGAAAAAAAAAAACAGAGCAATGAAAGTACCAGAGACAGATTACAGAGTGAATAATTTCTACAGTTTGGCAGAGGTAACACAGCTAACATTTGAAACCGCGGCAAGCGAGGAGCCACAGTACTACAATGAGGATGAGTATTCCACCGCCGATCATCAGCTTCATCTGGAGATTCTGCAACCACATCTTCCGCCGCAGCTGCCTTCCTTGCCTTTGGAAGCTGTCCGCCTGTACATTTAACACTTTCTTAGCTTGATTCTTGTTTTGTATCTCGAAACTAGATCTTCTTCATAGGCAGCACATTGTACCTGAAACTGCAGACTGTCTGTTTTGTCAACCAGGAGCTCGATCCTCTCTCCACGATCCAACACCTGCCAAGTCAACATACCGATTCTCAGCTACTTGTTTTCATTCCATCACAGAGCACTGCACATTTCTTCTGCTACACGGGGGCGAAATGGAGAGGTCCTGCAGCCTTGAAGAACAATCTAACCGCATGAACACAGACAGGTACTGCATCTATGGTTTCCATTGACCGCAGTTGGACATCTAATTCTCTTCAAGCCCTTCTGCTTTGATTCTCTCAACTATTTGATGCTTGCTTGTTCCTTATTCACACCGCGTGGCGATTTATCAAGAACGTCAAAGCTCTTTTTAATCCTTGCCAATCAATGGACCAGTTGACTTTCACAAGATTTCTGACAATTGGATTGCTAAGCATAACTACTAGCTAAACTCACAAGACTCTCATTTCGGACAACAACCTGAATCTTGGTCAAATGGTTTGCAAATTTTTATCTGTCTGTGGGTTGCACCCAAAGTTTCAGGGTATATATGCAGAAACAGTATGTTCATAGTTTTCAGTTTTCACCTAATTATCACGTTATATGGTAACTAACTGCAAACCAGGGCCACTTCAAGCAACATGAGGTGCCAATAAGCTAACAGATACTGTTCCAGGAAGGGAGGATCAGTCCATAACCTTACGCCCTCTATAAATAAAAGTGATATCGTCTGACAGCAAAGAATCGGACATAAGAACACCCATACCAGTTCTGCCAAAAGAACCATTAGGGAACTATAATAGACCTCCATATCTCAGGGAAATAAGAAAATTTGAAGCAAGTTTCGAACCTGAATGATTCAAGGTCATTACCCAAAAGCAAGCTAGATGCTTACCTTCTCAATGTTGTCCATCATAATTCCCTTGACCTCAGTGATTTGAGCTTTCAATTTGGACAGCTTACTGATCTCTTCAGGATGTTCTATGCAGTACTGCATGTGCTCTTTAAGCCTTGGCCTAATAGAAGGAAGCAAAAAAAAAAGAAGAGGTCATGAGAACCGGAGCATAAGCGAGGAAATGCAGATCAAAACAGAAGGAGCCGTACCCGAAGTCTCTATCGAGATTGTAAGCAATGCTAAATCGATCTTCGAACAAGTCATCGTCATCATCATCGACAAGAGGGTGTTCCTCATTTTTTATATTCCCCGCATAGCGCTGCTTGAAATCGTCCTTCACACGGTCAAGAAACACAAAGGGCACTGCCCTGCCCGCCGCCTCATCCGCTACCACAAGAAACACTGCATTGTTCAAAGAAACTTCTTTAGCAGCAGCTTCCATTTCCACGAAGAAACTAAAACCCCACTGACCGAGAATCAGAAAAAATTACCAAATGCATCGTCCTTGAGAAAGTTAAAAGTGTGGCCATCGCATGAGTAAGTGTACTTGTTGCTATTTGGAGGAAGTTTCTGCAAGCACTGAACAGCTATGGTACTAAAATTCCCGGAGTAAGATGTGTGCTCCGCTAACACAACAGTTCCCCTGGCCACAAAGCTATAGATCAAACCCCTACCACTCATTTTGTCAAATCCTTCCTTCAACAAGCATCAATCGCCTGCCTGCCTGCCAAAACAAAAAAACAAAAAGAACCCAGCTTCACATGGTGCACATTGAGCCCTAACCCAACCCTAACGAATTGCCAAAATCAGCAAGAACCCAATGAGAAATTCAAGAACTTCTGCTGAAATCCATCAATCCAATCGATAACAGTGACCTATCCAAATTCAGGGCACTAAAAACACAGAGGAAGCATATGCTTCCGAGTGACGATACTCCCGACGCCAATCAATCCGAGCAGAATCAAAATGTACGGAGAAAAACAAGGCAAGGTTCCCGCTAATTTTGGTTCGCCCATCTAAACCAGGCGCAGATCTCACAAGCTCGGGCGCCGATGAAATTAAGCCGGGAAAGGGAACGGGGAAATGCAACACCAACGTATCGAAAACAAATCGCGAGGACGAGCTTCGTCACGTAGCATAGACTTACGGAAAGAACCGTTGAATAGCGATGTATGGCGACGAAGCCAGCGCCGGAGGGATCCGCTAAGCGGGGAAGTTGAAACAAAGTGGATCGCACCAGGAATTCAAAACTCCCCACGGGAACAAAAATGAAGGTGGGAGAGAGAAAGAACCTGTGAAGCTTTGGTTGGTGAGCTTTGGAGCGATTGGTTAACTTAAGCCTTAAGCGAGTTGAGTCTCGACGAATGGTTGAAGAAGAAGAAGAGTAATTGATGAATGATGATAGTCGCTTAACGAAAGAATTTTGCAGATGTCTGCCCATATAAAAAAGAAAACACCGATAAATTAGCGTAAATACTAAATGGTATTTTAGTAGTAGTATAAATGTATAATTATGTTGGATCAATATATATTGCTGTAATATTAATGTTAAAATGTATAATTAGTGGTAGTATACTATACTTGCTATAATCATTTAAAATTCGTGAATTACAATATGTACGTTGAAACGAAGATAATTAAGATAGTGCAACCAATTTCCTAGGTCAATTAGGGAATTGTTTTATTATATTTTATTAGTATTTTTTTTTTAATGACATCTCATATATTTTTATTGTTGATCCATTTTTCTAAAAATGCTATAATATGATACCTAATGCAAAATGTTTTTTTTGGTTGTGACATTTTTTGACCACTCATAATCAAACGTCCTCTATCGAAACGAGGCTGCACACTTACTGACAAGTAGGGATGGCAATGGGTCGGGTTAGGTCGGGTCGGGTTTTGCCAAGTCCAAACTCATGAGTTTATTCGATGAAAAAAAAAATTCGAGGTAAAACCTACTGGGTTTGTAAAACTCAAACCCAAACCAACTCGCTGGGTATCCGCGGGTTCATAGGTACTCGTGGGTTTTTGTCGTAAAAAATTTACAATAACAAGTTCCTATCAAAATAAAAGTCAAATATTAATCTCTCAATACAAATTATCCATATATAAACACACAATTATAGAAAATTCAAGCAAATCGCAAATTAAGCATACAAATTGTTCAACACCAATCTCGAAAACTCAATAACATTGAAGCAAATCACAAATTATCCATACAACAACATGATTAATTGAAAGCTTCTTCCTCCTTGTCAATATAACTTCTTCACTCTACACTCGATAATATCAACTTCATTTTACACAATTAGAAAGAAAAAATTAGACGTGTCTCCACAAACATAAAGAATATTAGTTCTTTATAGTATTAAATACATTGGGAAAATTAATTATATAGGTGTGGGCGGGTACCCATGGGGCGGGTATACCTAACTCAAACCCAACCCAACCTAGTGAATAATGAGTGGGTTTAAACTCGAACCCGGGCCAAAATCCGTCAACATGGGTTTTACCCGACCAGGTTGGGTCGGTTAGAATACTCGTGGGTTCGGGTTTCGTTGCCATCCATACTGGCAAGGACTATCTTGCATGAGAAATTTTTTTCATGTATTTTTGTCTATAACGTGTCTTTTGCTTTTTATATGAGTCAGTATCGTGTCTTTTCTCTCCTTGACCTTGAATTTTCAACAAACTTGACCATACAAAACATATTATTTCATCAATAATTCGGATTCATACCGACTATCATGATTGGTTGCAATTACTGAGTCTATTTTCTACATACTCTCGACTTGTCTCGAAAACAAAAGGCCACATCAATTATGGGCTAGTTTGACACTATGGTAGCTTTTGCATATACAACTTATGGATGGAGCTTTTAGAGAAACACTTTTCAAAAAAAACAGTTGATAGTTTGGCTGAAAAACTATTAGAAGTGCTTTTTAATATAGGAGCTTATATAAAATTATTATAAAGGATTTATAATATAAAATATGAATAAAAACTCTAACAATACGAAGTAGTCAAAATGGATATTATTAGATTTCTTTTATATTAAATAATACGATTTTATTATTTATTTTAGTTTTAAAATGATATAAATAAAAGAAAATTATATTTTTTTGAAATAAAATTAAAATATGACAAGTATAATTTTGTATTTTTAAAACAGTTTGTTTTATATTATACAAAACACTTTTTAATTTTTTAAAATCCGAACTGCTTCAACTTTTGTATCCGAAAATATTTTTAAAAGCGGGGCGAAACAAACATCGGCTATATCTTATCTATTGATCACGATTAATCATAAAATTCAACAGGCAAATAATGTTTTTTTATAACTATTTAGGATTTTTTATTTTCTTGCTACAGTCGGTGCTCAGTGCTCCCGGCTCACGCGCATATACAAGACGCCACGCGCACCAATAACTCTACCTACCCTCTCTCCTTCTCTCTCTCTCTCTCTCTCTCTCTCTCGCCAATCGCCATAGATCGCACCGTAATTCGAAACCCTAACCCTGCGAAATCATCCTATCAGAAGAGAGAAACCCCCTACGACTCATCTCTTCCGTGTGATTTACGCCGTGGATTCCTCAGGCAAATCGCAATCGCGCACCAGCAGCCGAGACATGCTCTTACCACCATGGTCATCGTCAAATTGCTGGAGCCTCGCGAACTCTAGCGACCGTTGATTTGTCTTTTCCGATTTTCCCCTCTTGTCGACTCCTCGGTTTCGCGTGATTCCCACTCTGTTCGCTGCCGTCTCACCCTCGCGAAATTCATGGAGGGCTCTGTGGCGGATGATCTCGGAGCCCCGGAATCATGGGAGGTGGCCGATTTGGACGAGACGGTGAGCCGCTTGATGCTCAAGGACTCTAAGAAGAAGCAGCAGCCGGCTCAGCAGGAGCTGCCTGATGATTTCGCCCTGGGTCCAGGTGGCGTTTCTTCCGGCTCCGATGAGTCGGGGGGAAGCAAAGTGTCGGATGATGCTATCGGCCAGGTCGATCAGTTCCTCAGGGATGCCTTGCAGAACCCTCGTGAGCGTCTCTCTGGTATGCAAATCGCTCGTAATAATTCTCATGTGTTCTTGCTAGTTCGGTTTTTGGGTCGTGTACTACTGCGAGCGTTTTCCTGGAATCTATATCTCACAATCGCCGGCGTCCCCTTTTCTTTGCGTAACTTGGCCTGGTTTGAACGTGATTTCTTCAGTTTCCCCACTGTCAACTGGTAATGGGCAGAGTTGCAAAGTAGTTTTTTCCTGGAATTCGGCCGCCAAATTGCCAAGCTTGACCTGTGCTGCATCAATAACTTCTTTCTGGAATTAGTGGTCTTCCCTAATCGTGTTCGTTAAGATCAGCAGGATGAAGGATAGTTGTCCGTTCAATAAAATGATCTCGATCTTATCTTATGTGCACTTGGAGATTTCTAGATTATAATTACTCATTATATGTGAAGGCTCTAGGTTTAGGATATGATAAGTTGACCATTCTCTACCAGTGATAACCTCTTAGTTTTGAGTCTCTATATAAATGGCACTTTTAGAATTTATTATGCTAAGTGCTCATTAGTTTTGAAGCCTTCGGGTCTACGACTCTACCAGCAGTCACCAAAACTATTCTCTAAATGCATGCCTAAACGACGTCCAGCTAATTATTAGAAGATTAAACAATCATGTAACCGATGGTCCAACCACAGAACATTTACACGAGTGCGTTCTTCAATGTTTGGTAGATTATGTAATAAATCGTTGGTGAACACCTTGAATTTTGATTGTGTACCCCCTTTTCTTCTACTTGGTTATTGTCAGTTGCTGGAAGAAAAGTATTCGGGAAAAGATGGGGAAAGATAGCCGGTCTTTCATTGTTCTGTATCTTAGATAGTGGGGTTGGATAAGCTGGACTTGTGAAGAATTCTTCTTCTGGACTCGGAAATAGCTGCTCACTTCTTTCCTTCTACTTACTCCATGATGCCATGTACTAAATTTCAGATAGATTTGTTGCTTGTGTGAGAGTTGACTCACTCTTCTGTTCCGGTATGTGGTTAGTGTAATATTCTCTATTCTCATTATGGATAACTCAAAATGTATTGGATGGTTTTTTATCAGTTCTGAGAATGGAGCAAGACATTGAGAAGTTTATACGTGATCCAACACAGAAGCAATTGGAATTTCAGCAACTGCCCACTTCATACTTGAGATTAGCTGCACACCGGGTTGCACAGCATTATTCACTTCAATCAATGGTTTTGTTGGACAACAGTTTGCCTGATGGTTCCGGTTCAAGAATTATTGTACAGAAGGCTTCTGGATGGAGGCTTCCTTTGATTCGCTTAGCTGACATCCCTGTGAATTTGCCATCTGAAGATGGTAGTGTCCTGAAGGTGGCAATTAAGCAGAGGCCACAGAAACACCCTCACAATGCCAACAATCTGAACTCAAATTCATCAAAATCGAATAGTTCCAAGAGTATGGAGGAAAGGAAAGAGGAATACAACAAGGCACGAGCTCGGATATTCAATTCCACCAATCATAGTGGTAGTTCTACTATGAAGGCAGAAACTCAACCAAGGTCACAGGATAACACAAAGAAAGGTTCGTTTGGTCCAGAGAAGGCACATGATAAATCAGGTTCAGGGATTTCTGATATTAATTCTGGAAGAGGTGTAATTGAACCTTCTACAAGCACCAGTGGATTGTCTAGACCCAGGACAGAAAAGGAGCCAGTTGGTAGGCCTAGGCAAAATAATAGGGTGGCCATATTCCGGGATCGTGAAATTGAGAGAAAGGATCCTGATTATGACAGGAGCTATGACAGGTTATAAATTCTGCAACTCCTGTCTACTTTTTAGAACCTTGAATTTTCTCTTGTTTGTTTGGAATTTAGCAGATCTCCTTAGCTTCATCTTCCAAAGGATGTGGTCTATGTTATTGTTTAGATGGACTAGGACAAGTGAATTGCCGAGTGGTTTAGCTCAAATCGTTGTTCTTTACTGTGTGGCTTTCTTGCATCATCTTGTACGTCCATTGAAAGATTGCAGCCATAGTTCTACAATTTCATTTACTTGTTCTTCATTTAGCAATCCAGTTTTTTTTTTTTTTTATGTTGTACATCACTGTGTGTTCACATTTGTTATTCCTTGAATGATTTACATGTTGCACTATCCACATATAAATTACACATTCTAGAACCATTTTATAGAGGATATTATAATTGCAAGAACAATTATTATTGGTTGGTATAGAACTATCTTATATAATGTCAATGTAGACGCCATCTAAAAATTTGGGTTTGTTCTAGTGTTTGTTTAGAGATTAGAAAGACATTGACGGTTGAAACTGTTCGTCAGGTACACACAAAGATTTGATACTGGATTTGGCTACAGTGGAGGGCCTTACACAATCCAACCTATGTATGCCCCTGCATTGAGCTACAACACTGAATTTCCGCAACTTGGATCTGGTCACAGACCGCAGATGCCTACAGAACACCAGCCACATCCTCTCCCGCAACATATAGCTGGGCAATGGGCTGCTCCGTCTGCCCCTGCTGGATTAGGGTATGGTCATCCGGACACTATGATGCCACCTTATAGTCCGCATCATGTTGGTGTACGTTCCAACTCTGCTCTATATCTGCACCCCTCTCAATATCCCTGTCAGCGCCCAGGAATGCCTTTCATCGGGCCTCATGACCATGTTCAACCTTTTGCACAGGTATTTCAAGTCAATTTAGCTACTCTTCTTCATACCACAGTTACTGTTAGGCGGTCTAGATTTGATCACGTCAGCCCTAATGATAACCTACTCAATTGATTTTATCCGGAATTGTTGGTTCCTACTACCTATTCATCTCATTAGCAAGTTGTCATCATGCAGTCTCATCAACAACAATCTGATGGCAGTTTTGGTTTAGCCCGGCCCCGGTAAGGGGCTTGGGCCTGCCTGCCCCCCGCCACCTGGTGCTTGAGCTTGAAAGTTTAATGGGCTTCGACAGACAGCTACATTTGGCGTACCAAGCTGCGGGGGTGCAGGCAAAAACCCGAGGCCTGATCAGGACGGGGCGTACCTTGTTATGGACATCCATATCGATCCTGTCAGTCAGCTTCGGGTTCATGTGGGAGCTTCTTCTCGAAGTAATGAAGAAAGCTCCGGGCGAGTAGTAGGCAGCCTAGTATTAGGCTCTACGCTCCACAGATGATGATGACGAACAGTTCCCCGGAGACCACAATGTCTCTGCTTGTTTGGGTGCAGGTAGAGTCTTCTCTTTTGCTCTTCTCTTGTCCTTTCCCCCCTTTTGATTGGTACTCTGCTATTGAATGAAAAATTGAAAATGTGGTGTTGCTGCTTTCCTCGTACCTTCTCTGTGCTAACAGATCACCACGATTCGAAAGCAAAAAGGACTCCAGTCTCTGAATTATTGCGCTCCTGCCGTGGTGGATCTCCCCCCTTGATGGTCTCCCGCTTGCAATGCGCTTCCAAGGGTGTGCAGCAAGTCAAGTGGAGTATTGAATGACCTAAATTTGTATCATATGAATATATATATCTGCTTTTACAGTACTCCCTGCAATGTTTCCCTTAGAATACCGCAGACTACTACTCTAGAGCTGAATTGTTGCCTTGCATGTTGTGATTGCTTCTTCTAATTGGAGTTTGGTTCCTTTACGATCGGCGGCATTTAAAGCTCCCCTCCTGTCTCCTCGACAGCGCTCTGCTGCATGAAACTGTTGGAATTGTTAAACAGCAGTACGAGCAATGTTTTCGGAATTCTGGACACATTCAGTGATCCACCGATTTGAACAAGTAGACGAGTAAGGCGGGTAATGGAGGAGCAAAGAAATACGTAATTCGCGACAACCCAACTCTGTCAATGTTCTGAGATATGGTTCACTCTGCCCAGAATGGCTTTTATACCTTCACGAGATTATGAATATCAGTGGAAATAGCCAAAAGCTAAATGCATAATGTAAGACAGCCATTCTCGTTTCCTAATTTTCAAGAAAGAATCTCTCTTTTCTTTTTCACGAATGCAGAAGGAATCCTTTTCATGTCATTTCTGTTACAACCAAGTAAAAGAACAACTATTTGACAAACAATTCATTCTGAGGGTTACTTGCAGTTGCACCATATCCTAACTGTTCCACTTGCTCAAAGCTACCTTGCCGTTTTGGGAGCAGCATCTTTACGAAGCCATCCATTAACGAGAACAGAGTCGATGATAATCTGCACAGCATTTTGTTTCAGGTGAGATTATGGAGTGGTCAGAGCTAGCATACAAAACAAACAGGCAATATTACTCTGTAACATATCTTATTATATAAAACCTGAACTAAATGGGCGGCAACACATGGAAGAACCAGCAGTCCGGATTCGCCAAATGCGCCACCGAGCTGTTCTACTACAGCCACCAGTACAGGAAGCGTTTTCTGGACCAAGCACAAGCCATGTCAGCTCCCTTTCCCGTTCTGTGATTATCATTTTACAAGGTTGCATGATAAATAAATGGAATAGGGAAGAGATCATCAAATCACGCTGCATCACCTGGCTCGCAACGAGCAGAAAAGCAGTAGCATTTTCTTTCTTAGAAAAAACTGAATGGTCGCCACCAGAAAGAGCGGCGAGGCTGTTTATGGAGATAGCATTGAAGGCTAACAGGACGAGGTGCAGAATTCTGCAGCAATTAACAGGTACAATTCATTGGTCAGGTTACCGAGTTGACACCACGAGAATTTATTTCTTTTAAGCAACATATCAGCAGTGAATGAAGGGTCATGCACGTTACTATTTACTAACATATATAATCAGCAACATGACCCTGGAAAATCATTTGTACCATGCAATGTTGTCAGAACCGAACCGGAGCATGACCCGGTAATGCAAATGGCTCGCACTTTAGTGGTCCAACCGGCATTAGACCGTTTAAAAACCGTTAGAGAACCGGTACCTAATAAACGTTATCAGTATAAATAGTGGACATTTCTTAATCATAGCTCGTCTCTTTTCTTCGAAATTGTGAAATGGAAATAAGGATTCAGTTTGAGAGCCCGATATTTTTGGTTTATTTCAATTTTAAATTTTCAACAATTTTTTTAATTAAATTTAACGGCTGAATGGCAAAAACCGGACAAGCGGCTCGATCGGTTCGAGTGGTTAACCGCCTCGGCCGCTCGTTAACCGCTACATAAAACCGGAGCGGCTTTTAGACTGTTCCGAGCCGATTTTGTGACCGGGTGGCGGTTTTATTGGTCGGGCCGAGCGGCTCGGCTCGGCTTTGATAACACTGCCTGAATGTACCCTTTTATTGTCAACCATAATGCTACATACTCGTATAAGAATAAGACTACCTAATTCCGGCACCATAATGAGTGTATGCAACCAAGCAGAAGAGCAGAGTGTGTTCTGAACACAAGTGATGTGGGAGGTGGGAATAATAAACGATTTAAGAGATCCCAGATATGATCTAATGGAGAACAGTTCAGAAGGTCTCAGTGAACCTTCTAGTAATTTTATTTTCACTAGAAACCAGTCCGGCTAGCCATTTGAAAACACAACAAAACTCAAGCAAAGCCCCTACTTACTTTCGAAGTTCAGAACTGATATAAGCAGCTTCATAGCAACAAGAAAAAAAAAAGTATTGCAGAGTTCTGTTTGATCATTTCATGGCCCCATGAAAGTTGATCCAGCAATCTTAAAAGGAAAAAAATATCCTTCTGAACGAAAAAAACATAATCAAAAGAACTAGGGTCAGGAAACATACATCCCCATTCCAACTGCCACCAAGAAAACTGCAGGCTTCACCATAAGCAACAGCGACCTTGACCTGCTCACTTGTATCCACGGAACCTGCATAATCATAATGGTCAACTAAGACCCTAGCACTGAACTCACTACTTCAACTATAGTACATGAGACGCACTTTCAAATGATGAGGTGTCACAAATTATTAAGTTCAGCAGAAATATTTCTTTTTTGAGGTCACTAAGGAAAGAACAGTGGAAAACTTGTCAAAGATGGATGGTCTGCTTTTCGTGCTTCTTTCTTGTTGAGATCACTAGAGACATGTAGACAGCGAATTCTCCAAACACAAATGGTGTATATCTTATAATTTGGTTCTAAGTATCCGGACCATAATTTTATGACCTTGTGCACATATATACGTCAATAAAGCAAGTCAAATACAAATGCCAAACTACAGTTTAGGAATAGAACAAGAAGTAAATTGGCAAATGTCGAACTTACTAAACTTAGAAGAACAGCTGATATCCTCGAGAAGAGCCGGCGGTTTTGATCAACAAAGTCTGCCAAGCCTGAAATGTACCTTCAATATAAGAAGGTTTATCCTCGAAGCAGTACATTCAACTAGAAAGTAAGCAAGCCCTCTTACAGCAGACTATTAGTTGATAAACTACCCACAGAGATTGGAAAGAGAAAGGGATTCATGGTAAGAAATTTTTATGCTACCAAACAAACATTTTGCAGGCTAGAATCATCAGAAGATCGAACAAATAGTCTGGGGTAAAAAAGGCCCTGTCTTTTGACAAAGTAGTAGTATACAAGCAAAGTTCACAATTAATATTTATCAGTGCAACCAACTGACTTCCAAGGAGCAAAAAGAAAAAGGAAAAAAAACTAGAGATGCACACCTTTGAAGGACTCCCGAAAAATCTGCAGATGAAGTGGCAACATCAGCTCACGAAATTGACAGGGAAAAGGCATAGGTACAATGCAAAGTATGCAAGACAGAAATAATTTTTCTTGGCACATGCAATACGATTCTTTTAAATAAGTGATCCGTTGCATCATTGTTTTACTATCAACCTGATAGAACAATCTAAAATAACCACACAAAAAGAAAGATGGCCTCTCAAATTTACTTGCACCTTGCACTCAACCTACCAGGGATTCAATCAAAATAACTTGATATCCTCATATTTAGTGAAATCTGTAAGAGTAAGCGAAGTGGCAGCATGCTGCGTACAACAGAAAACTTACAGGAGAATTTCTCAAAGCACAACTACCCATATGGAAGAAATATGTGTAGTATTTACCTTCCCCAAGATAAGTGGTATTAGAAGGGTAGTAACTAGACTTCTAAACAGTTCCTTGGTTGGAACAGTTACACCCACTCCAGTGGCTACATACTTGGCGATAGAGAATGGAACCTGGAAAAAGGGATAAGGTCAGGCTCATTCGCAATATAACAACAACCAATTAATCACTACATGATGTCACATATCTTCAGTAGAGGGTTCTCCCACAACAAGCCATTTGCATGACTTACCATCAAAATTCCCAAAAGGCTTGATATCACCGTCATTGCAAGAGCGAGAGCTGAATTACCACCAGCAAGCTAGATTGGTGAAATCAAGACAAAAGTAAGATTTAAGAAACCCTTATGGAATGCAATGCAGGTGAAAATTGAACCAGCCGATGAACCTGAGTCAGAGCCACGCCACTGGATAATGTGGTTGGCATGCAGCAAAATATGGCTAACCCTGTGGCAGAAATCAACTCTTAGCAGCTGAACAGTAATGGAATCTGAGAAAAACTCCTCAGCTCATACGAGTACTTGAGGGATCCCCCAAGGATGCAATGGCATGTTCAATTAGAGTGTACTTGCACGTAGAGGCAGAACAACAAACCTGACACAAACTCCTGCGGTTGGAGATGAATTTGAACAATTGCCCTTGAAAAACATGGAGTAAATACTAAGATGGAGAACTGCAACAAGAAAATTCGCTAGTCAAATGGAAGCATAAGAGTAGCATGCAATGGACACAAGTGATAACCGCAAATCATAAAACCTTCACAGTATAGTTCCGATGGAAAATAAAAATGAATGTCATGCATGCATAATTCGACCCACATAACATCGTTGACTGGTCGGTTTATTAAACACTGTAAAATGAAGAGGGGCACCTTCATTCCAGCTACTTTTCAAGATCTTTAGGTCCATAGCAAAAAGCACCCAAGCAAGCAGAACAAGCATTTAAGAACCCCTCTGAGTCTTGCATTTTCAGAGTAGGAACTAATTGAAGCTGATATGACATGTCTCAAAGAGCCATTGCAAAAGGTTCATGTCATTACGAAAATATCAGATTGAAACATATACTACACCAGCAGGTTCTGTCCTGTCATCAACACATTCCTTTTGATGGTCCAATCATCAACTAACATTATATAGCTTACAGATCGCTCAGCATAAAAAGATGAGACATTTATAACAAATGAAGGGAGAAAAAACGGCATAAGAAAAGAAGATAAGTACAAGAGGATGCAAAACGTTACTGAGGCTGGACCTAGAAAACCACAAGGTCATAAAGAGAATTCAAGGTCGTACAAGCCCAAGAACTCCCACTGGCCATGCTTCTGCAGCAGCGCCAATGTCCCCATTACGCAACGTCATACCTGCAAAAAGAAACAGAGAAAGCAACCCTAAGTCCAAGAGCGATGGCAGCTATCAAGAAATAACAAAACCGTAGGAACCAAATTCAACTTTCTGACCGGAGATAATGAATATCGCAAATGTGCTAAATTTCGACAGTTTATATCGATCAGCGAGACAGCCAAGACTGGGATTTGCAAGTCCAAGCACTACTCCACCCATAAGAGCTGTCATTGTAAACAGGGAACCAAATGGAAGGCAAATTAAGAAAGTTCAAAACTTTTGAGCAAACACGTAAAGGATTTGCTGGAAATTCAGACTACCAAAGTTTTTGCTATATGGGAAGCCGCAACCATGCACAAAATTAAACAGAGACCTCATTACCCAATGGCAGAAAATTATTCCCCACAAAACTGAGCAACGGCTTCCCCCACCCGGCCTCCTTAGCCGAATCAGAACTCCTTGCAGCCTCACTTCCATTGCCACCATCCTATCCAACAGAGGTCAGAGGAACAGTTGAAACGAACCCAAGTGAGTAACAGACTCGCACTTACAGTCAGTCCTCATAATTCAACACTTACTTCTTTTGCAATCATTGTAGGAAGAAGTGAAATTAGGAGTCAAACCTGATTTGATGATTTGCAGGCTCTGATTATGGTAGGAACGCGAACTGAGCAGCTGTGATTGAAAGATAGTGAAGGATTGGAGCAACTTCGGGGACGAACTGCGGGTGGACTTGGTGCCCAATGGCGGAACAGAAGCCTTGGCGTATGCGGAGACGGAGGTGCCAGCATTAGGGTTTGAATGGTGCCCGCCATTGCTACAGTTGAATGTTGATGCTCTCGTCGCCTCGACTCGAGTCTTATTAATGCTCAAGTTGATTTCGGGCTTCATATTTGAGACGATGAATATTTTGCAGCACGGACTAATTTTGTGAAGTGTTGGAAAATGATAATCATTTTATTAGTCTTCTAATGGCAATGTTGAAATACCCAAATTTATATCGAGTAAATTGAAATTGCAATTGCATTAAAATATTGTTATTTGAGTTGATAGTTTTATAGAAAGAAATTGTATTAACTTGTTACTTCAAACTAGGGTTGATAATGGGTCGAGTTTTGTCTTGTTTATGTTTGGTTCGTTTATAAACGAGTCGAGTAGAGTCGAATACGAGCAAGCTCATTTATTAAATCTTGACTCATTATTAAGATCGAAAGTTTGACTCGAGATCAACTCTAAGATAATTTATACAATAAATATCCTGATATTTATATGTCATATGTGGAGGAATTTTACAATACTATATAGTATTTGTGCTATAGGTTTTTACCTTTATGGTACAACTTGAAATTGTACATTCAATGTTATGGTACAGTTTTAGATTATACCTACACTGTTTTGTACATATTCTTTATGGTACAACTTTGTACATTCAATGTTATGATACAGTTTTAGATTATACCTACACTGTTTTGTACATATTCTTTATGGTACAACTTGAACTTGTACCTTTATGTGATGGTACAACTTCAACTTGTAAAGTTGTACCATAACATAAGGGTTCAAATTCTTTTATGATACAACTTGAACTTATACATTTAATGTTATAGTACAACTTCAAGTTGTACATTAAAGCACCAATACTTTATAGCATAGTAAAAGAGCTCGTCATATGTGATACTTATCATATTTGAGACGTATTTGCTCACATATACTCCATGTATTAAACACCATATGAGGTGATATATACAATTTCATAATTTTATGTATCATTGACAAACTAACTAATAAAATATAGATAATTTTTCTCATAAATTGTAGTCGAGTTGGCTTGTTAATCACAATGTTAAGACACCTCATATGCTCAAAACGAGACAGTTCATGAGTTGTACTCAACAAGCCATCTAATCAAGCTAATTCGCGAACCTAACGAGTCGAATAAGGCTGAGCTTAAGCTCAGCTTAACGAGCCGAACATTTTTATTAATCGAACTAGTTTTTATCGAGTTAAAAACCAAGCCGTTCACAGATAACTCGGCTAGCCGCCCTACTTCAAACCATGGAAATCCCACAATCAAATCTTTTATCAATTTTTGGATAATGCAATATAGTTATGGGTTTATAATCAAAACCCTAACAACCAATTCAGAGTTATCTATTTGAAAATAGTACATGACACAGCATTGTTTCGTAACAAAAACCCATACTTCAGACCACAACAGAAACCCAAACTACAAAGGAATTTGTTCATCGAAAGGGTACCGCTTACTTCTGCAGCTATTAGAGCATGGTACTGAAACCCGAGCTCTAGGAGAAACCTGAATTCCACCATTTCATTGGAAAAGGTAAACAACATCCGAGACATACATATGCATATTATTATTAGTCAGATACAAGCAGTCTATGCAGCAGTCACAGTAGACTCTCCGTCGTCTAGGCGGCCTTTGTTTCTGCAGCAGCAGCAGGTGCTTCTGCTGCTTCCCAGAATGAAGTCTTCTTCCCGGTTTTCGACACAGTCTGGAGCACCGCATCCGGCTGCACATTTCCTTTCACGGTAACTTTCTGCTCCTTCATGTCGATGTCGAACGACTCCACCCCTGAACGCATCATGGTTCATAACAATGGGTTAAAAAGCTGAATCTGAAGTCAGGAACAGCATACAGAAGTTTCTAATCCCCTCGCAATTTGGTAAACATCGTAACGTCATACAAGACCAGATCATACTGCAATGTTGCTCAAAGCTAATAAAGCGATAGTCCTAGCTCAACATTTGCATTCATTTGAGTTCAAACTAACAATCGGGGTAAAGAGCAGTAATTGCAGGTAAGTGAGTGATCAAAAACCAACCTTCCATTTTGGTTAGCACCCTCTTTACAGCCCCTGAGCATCCCTCGCAGGACATTACAACCTTGAGCACAACGGTCTGCGAATGGAGCAAAATCAAACATCAAACGAATAAAGTAGACTGCTGCACGCGAGACCACATGGTTCAAGCTCAGAAACCAAGGCCTTGCAAAACCAAATCTCACAAACAGATAAGATTGGGAGGGTGGCAAAGATGACAATGATGCACTAAGAAGATTAACTTAATTCATCCCTGAGCTGGCAACTAACAAAATGCACCCATTTCAACCCCCGAATCGAACTTGCCAAGAATAAACCAAAAGCTCAAATTCAGCAAAGTTGCTTTGAATCGGATACTTCTAAAAACCAAGCAGTTCTGAAGTCGAGTCTGGGAAAAAAATCTCAACCAATCGATATCGGCTGACTGTGGTACACAACTGTCGTTGTTCATAAGGGGAGATATTGCATCAGCATCTCAATTTCAGTTCAAACATGGATTTCTTCAATCGACTGGCCGAATAGATCGAACACCTTCAACGTCTTGAACCAATACTCAACCCCTGGGCTGACAAACACGGCATTGAACCCATCTTCACAATATAACTGATCAAAAATTAGACATCCCCCCAAAGGAAACTTTCACCTGGACAAGATCATGACTTGCACCAGGCACCCTGTTACCTCAAACGAAACTATACCCTTTTCCCCTCAACTCCATGCAATCAAATTCTGGAGGAGGGATTACAAAAGGATTTACCAGGAACCCAACAAACCCAGAACAGAATCCCTCCACAAGAAACTCAAATTCCTAGGCTTCTACCATCAAAATCCCCTCTAACTAAGCTTCGCCCACCAAAAGATTCAGACCCACGAACCACAACGACAATACCAATAAGCGAATCGAAAACGGAATACACCCAACGATACACAACAAAAGCAACCCAATCCAAATCCAATTAAGCGCCCGGTAATACCTGAGACATGGCTTATGGCGATATTCAACGGAAGGAGGGAAAACCCGATGAGATGATTGCAACGGAGGAGACTTCGTTCTCTTCTGTAATTCCTTTTTTCCCTCTCTCGTTGATTTTCAAAGGTATAGTGGTTTCCCCTTTCGGTGCGGTTGCGGGGACTTTTATAGCAACAAATCGGTTGGACGGAGAACGGTATTTGGGTCCAACTCTCTCTCTCTCTCTCAATCGTTTGCCAGAACGTCACGCAAACAACAAATCTCAAATAGGAGAAAACATTAGTACATGTTAGTACGCGCCATATTCAGCAGTACATTGGCCCTTTTATGAACGTCCGATATGGTCAGTACAGATTCCGCCTCTCTTTGATCAACGGTCGAAATCGCATGGATTGTTTTTGAGAAAAGACCGAAACTTTCATCGCGATTCTATAAATCCTGAGATTTCCAGGTTGAAAATTAGTGACAAAACTGCCGGACTAAAACCCTTTTTCACTAGTAAATGCACTCCAATCCATGGGCATTTTATTACAGTCATGATCAAGAAGAAGAAGAAGAGTAGAGAGGCTAAGTTCAATTCTCATCGTATAACAAAGCCTTAATCATGGACTGACTGATCTCAGGGATGAGAGGGAACATGTGCCCTTTGCCTGGCAGCTCATGGTACTTCACCCACGGCAGCTTCTTGGCAATGTAGCGCTGCAACGTCACCGGAACCATTTGGTCCTCCTCGCCGTGCCACAGGTGAACAGAGCCTCCGCCGTCCGGTATCGGATTGATCTCCATGTCCATGGGGTCAAACTCCCACCTCCCGAATCCCACCATCATGTCTCTGTGTAAAGATTCGAAATTTCCCTGCTGCATTGGATATGCCCTCAGCTGCCCAGAACAAAAATGAAAAAACAGGGGAAAACAGAGTAAAAACAGCGCATCAGCGAAAGATCAAGTCAGTAAAATGAAAAAAAGTACCAATTTTGTTACCTCGTCGCTTATCTCCTCGTTTGCTATTATTTCCAGGTCCTGGCTGGAGAAAACTTCAGCGCGTCCGGCCGCGACAGCCGAAGCAGGGAACCAATTCTGGGTGTTCCACCAGTAGGTTAGCCATGGAGCGTAATGGGCGACCCTTAATGTCCATTGATCCTGTGGAAGCTGGAAGTAGTATGCTTCTGTTGATAAGTTGGACGGGAAGCCAGGCCACCAGTAGTTCACCACCGGAGCGATCATTCCGGCTCCTGCTAGCCTGCGACAATTTCGGTTAGGTGCATTGAATTAAACCAATTGATTCCAATAACTCGAGTTGTTACGAGATTTCAATGTACGATGTCTAACTTCTTCCTTACACCTACCTGTGAGGAATGTATTTGATGCAGCCCCAAACAGCCTGGCCGCCCATGGAGAACCCAAGCACATAGAACTTGGAACCGAGCCCCAACTGATCAGCAAGCTCCTCCACATCCATGGCCAAGCTCTCCGGGGTTCGATTGGGATCGGGATCGCTCTCTCCGTAACCGGGCCTGTCGAAAGACACAATATGCACCCCCAGCTCCTGGTAAACTTCCTGTTGAAAATCAAACGATTAGTTCATGTTTACTGACCGGGGCTTGTGGAAAGCAAATTCATCATATGCTGCGCTACTGACCGGCGGGAAGGTAACGACGCGGTCGTAGCGACAAGAGGTGAAGCCATGGATGAAGATGAGCTTGAATTTCGCAACATCTTTCGGCAAGCCGTACTCTGTGTAGGCCAAATGCCTGCCGTCCCGGAGCTTGATTCTGGGTCCGGTGACCGGAGGACCACCCGGTCTGCCGCAGATCTTGGGCGGTGGAGGGTGAGTGATTTGATACACCCATCCAAAAATCACCATTGACAACACCATAGCTACCCTTCTCATCATCACCATCTCTCTCTCTGTTTCTGCCTGCCTGAAACAGAGGACGGGATGCGAAGAAAAGATGTCAAATTTTTTCAAGGCCGCTTCACTGAAACAAACATTGAACCGATGATTACTACCCAATTGAACAAATAGAACAGTGAATCGATGATGGCGACTCGAGTTTGTTTTGCAGCAGACCGAAGGAAGAACAGAGGAGAATAAAAAAGGGCAGTTTCAGAAGAGAACAAGGACTAGCGGACAGTACCAGTAGGTTTGGGGCGGGAGTGATGATGCGTGTCGTCCATGCTGCCTGCAGAGCTGTTTCTGTGAATTTGTTTTAAAAAGTAGCAGAGATTTGTCCGTTGTGTTGAAAAAAAGGTACAGACGTGAAACTGTGGCTCAGTGCTCGGATTGCTAATGGCGATAGATTCCTGCTGACAAGAAGGTTTCAAGAAAGGGAAAAGGCAAACAGGGTACACAAGTGGAGATGGACCCTAATGTTGATATTGCCACTTATTATAGAAAAAGCACCATATAATAGACTGCATTCATTTCAAAGTCATTGTAAGCTTATAAACACTAAAGTGCATAACACTTTTTTAGAGCTTTTTCCCCATAAGATATTGTTTGTTGGGGCCTAAATCCTCACAGATTTTGCTTTAGGGTGCATATCAAAATGACTTCTCGTAATGATACTCATCCTCAGCTTCAAAGATGAAGGCATCGTGGGTAAGCCAAACATGCCAAAGGCAGCAAACTACCTTTCGAGTAGAACCAATCCGTAAATTGGACTCCGTTATCTAAAATAGCACCCAAGTGGTTGGACAACTCTCATGTTGACCTTGCATGAGGACAATGGAATAGACCGTGCCTAATCGATATGCGTCACAAATAGAGCATTTTGGGTTGGGGGGCACATCTTCTCGTGAACGACCTTTCTTCTCGCTGCCATAGCTAATTCCGGGCACTTCCAAGCAAAGAGACACGACTTTGGAGTGCGAGAGCGAGATCAAAACTAGCTCCATTTATCCCGCTCCGATTGGTCTCTTCTCTCTCAAAGCGCATGGTAGGCTGATCGTGTAGGGGAATCTCCTTTAGATACGAATTTACATGTCCAACTATCATTTCCTTCAACTAGTCCGATATATACTTTTAAAATTGCCTATTTAGGGCATGTTTTTCAAAGGGCCTCTTCTTTTCATTGTCGGTCGTCCTGACAAATCCAGTCATTTACTTGGAGAAGGAGGGCGATTGAGGTCCATGATGGTGAAGGCAGGGATAGATGGGATCTGCGAGTCATAATGTATGTGGTGAACTAAATAGATTCCATTTTGTTAGTGGTGGCAAGAGGGAGGAGGAAACGCTCATTATAAACGTCGGGATCGCCTCTGGGACCGCCTTCATTGGTGTTTCCTTCCTCTAGGTGAAAGTAGAAGACTTTTGCAATAATCACATTTCTTTTTCATACTCTAGACGAGAAAGTCAAATGTATCTTTTTTCGAGCTCCCTCACCCAGTAAGAACACTCAAGACTTTGTCATGCATGAAAAATCGAAGTAAAGAATCCAAAGTGAGAAGTAATAAAATCCTTAATAGCGTACAATGTATTCTTGCTTAAGGAAACGAAAGACTTGTCCAAATTGATTTCCTGACCGGTCACTCATTCGTATTTCTTTAGAATATCCATTATCTTAGCAGCTTCTCACATACTAGCTTTTACCAAAAGCAATAGTATGATCAACGAAGAGGTAGTGGGCAATAATAGGATAGTTGCGATTAAACTTTATAACGTGGATATCTCCTCTCCCAACTCCCTCTTCGATCATAAATGATAAAGCATTTGTCATAAGGATGAACAAAAGCGGGAATAGCATATCTCATTGTCGGATCCCTCTCGTCGGTGCGAAAAGTTATGCAGGGCTCCTATAAAGCAATACCGAGAACTTAACTAGCGAATGCACTATCTAACCCAATATCCGCAATTTATCATTAAAATCATAAGCCTCCATCATTACTTTCAAACACTCCCAAGATCGTAGGCTTTCCTCATGTCCATTTTTAACATCATATCCCAATTACTGCTCCTCGTCCCATTTATGAAATGATGGAGGACTTTACGGTCCATAATAATGTTATCCCGAATCAGCCTACCTCCAGTGAAAGTTGCTTGCATCTCCAACAATACCGGCCATGGAATCCAATGTTTGGAACGACCCGTCATAATTTTTTGAAATTATGTTATATCTGAAGTTGCAACAACTAATTGGTGTTGTCCCTTCGGGGACATCCGATAAAACAACCAATTGGTGTTCATTGTAACCCGTACAAAGCCCCACCAATATACAACCCGTGAGGTGGGCTCAAGTGGCTCTGGCCTACCCGTCTCTTCTATTGCTCAAGCAAACGGCCCAATACTGGCCCATTTTTGTTATCTGATAACTATGCTCCTTGGCAACATGGCAAGGCCGATTATTAGGCCTTGATAAACAAGGCCTTCGGCCCACAATTGTTAATCAATCAATGGATTAGCTAAGTCCATTTAATTTACCCTTTAAAATATAATTAGTAAAATACCGTACGAGAAAGTTACGTATAAAATATGTACGGTTATTTTACTTTGTTTTTATACTAATGTTATGTCCAATAATACGTTAATAGTCATAAATATATGTAATTAATTATTTTAAAAATAAATAAATATATAAATAAGGGTCAGACTGGCGTACGTCAGACATATACTATACGTCAGGTACTACTAGTGAGATATCTCTATGCCTCTATCTAGACCATGAATTAAATCAAGTTCGGGGTATGATACTATACCCTAACCTCTAATGGATAAACTAGGGATGGCAAAAATATCTATAACCATAGATATCCGCCCGAATCCGACCTATTCGGTTAGGGTAAAATCCGAACTCGAAGGACTTTTAGTGGGTACGGGTAAAACCCGAACCTAAATATTACGGGTAATGGGTGGGCATGATTTTCTCACTATCCAACCCGATCCCGCCCGATTATACACATGCATATGTATTTTGTCTATAAATAATCATTATTTTTCTCTAACATCTTTTAAATTTAGCATATAAATATGAAATTTTCATGAAATTGTGTTGTTTTAATTAATTTTCTTCATTCGAGTGAATTATTGTTGTAATTTTCGTCATATGTAATGTGAGAATACGTGTGAATATTAACATATTGGTTGGAGTTACAAAAAATAAGCTATTATCCATGGATAACCATGGATACCCGAAACCCAAATGGGTATGGACATGGTTTTTTCTACCCATTTCTTATGTGGGTATGGGTATGATAGCTTAATTAACAGTACGGAAATCAAACTGAAATCGGACACAGATTTACGTGGTATCCCTGGAATTCCAGGACTAATCCACGGAAGAGCTTGAACACTCTTCAGCTAATGATCTTACTGATTGTGTTTGTTAACCTTACAAAATGGAATCAGCTGCACACAAATACTACTCCACTGCCGAACCCTAGCACACACGACACTACATCTCCAACGTGGGCTGTAGGGGTTGCATGGGCCTAACTCATCCAACAAGCCTATTGGGCTACACACTTTACGTACTAAGACTAAACAGGTTTACATAATTAACAGCCTCCCCCAAATTGATGCCGGTTAACGAGCATCAATTTGTCAAACAAGTAATGATGTCGACTGCTTGAGAAGGACTTCGTGAGCAAGTCAGCAACCTGATCCTCTGTACGTATGTAGTGTAGTGCAATGGAACCATCACGAACTGCATCCCGAATATAATGCACATGAATCTCTATGTGCTTTGTCCGATCATGTAACACAGGGTTCTCTGCTATTCGGATTGCACTTGTATTATCCACAAATAAATCCATAGGAGTCGAACAATGAACCCCCATATCATCAAGAAGTCACCTCATCCACATCAATTCTGACGCCACGTCTGACATGGCCCTGTACTCTGCTTCAGTAGAGGATTTTGAGACCCTATACCGCTTTTTACACCTCCACGAGATAAACGAGTTCCCAAACTGTACACACCATCCTGTAGTAGATCGTCTGGTATCAACACACCCGGCGTAATCCGAGTCAGAGAAAGCTCTCAAAATAGCCGATCCTGAAGAGGGAAAGAGAATCCCCACTTCTTTAGTACCCTGCAAATACCGGAGAATCCGATACACTGCAGCAAAATGATCATCTCGAGGATCTCCCATAAATTGACTGACGAGCTGAACAGCATATGAGATATCAGGCCGAGTTGCAGATAGATAGATTAAACTCCCGACTATACTCCGATATTTGGATCCGTCACGCACTTTCTCTCCTGTCTCTTTGCTCAGCTTCAGATTATACTCCATTGGAGTATTTACCGGCTTACAATCCTCCATGTTATGATCACGTAACAGGTCTATGATATACTTCTTCTGGCTAAGCAAAATACCTTCCCTGCTGCGAGTTACCTCCAACCCAAGGAAATAAGACAGGTCTCCCAAATCTTTAATTCGAAAAGCCTTCTGTAACCACTACAAGAAAATTGACTTTTAGAGGCTAAACTATAGTGACAAATATTTTAAAAGCCTTCAAAAGTATTAAATAGCAGCAAATGCATAATGTGCCGCTAAAATCATCAAAATCTGTCGTCAATAGCCTTAAATTTCTCTTATCTAAATATTACTGAAAATAAATTAATCTTTTACCGTCTAATACCTGATAATTGCCTTTTAAAGTCCTTAATCATTTCCTTTTAGAGGCAGAAAACTATCCTTCGGAAACATCAAATTTTCCAAGATAAATAAAAAAGCCGCTATACCCTTTTAGTTTTATTTTATTTATAACAATAAATTTAGAAGAATCAGATAATTAATTGCCTCTAAACATATCTTTCCTTGGCAAATAAATTCGCCTCTAATTGCGTTACCTATTAAAATAGTATGATAAAAAAAGAATTTATTGGAAATTGAAATTAAAATATTATTTTTTACATTAGTTATTGTGTAGGGCGGGGAGAGAGGGCCGAAAAATCGGCTCGTCGTAACTGCATCGTGAATTCAAAATGATTTTTTAAAGGGGCTTTTATGCAACCCTAAATTGTAAATCTCCGATCCCTTTATGCACATATTATTCTTTTCCCCATAATTTCTTAGGGCTATTCCCTCTTCCCATCAAGATCAACCGCCGAATCATGGTCGTCGTCGAACACTCGTCGAGTGACAGCCATTGTAATCGACATGGGGTTCTGTATCGATCCTTCCCTCTTTATATCCTCCTTACTCATCTAATTGAGCCCCGCAGATGGCTGTCAAACTACTTTGCGTCTCCGGCATCCCCTTCAATTATTACCTGGTGCGATTTCTTTTATCCTGTTTTCTTAATTTGCGTCTCCGGCATCCCCTCAATTTGTGACCGCTTGCTTTGTTTCCTTTGCAGGTACCCCGCAATCGAAAATCAATTGGTTAGGTTTAGTTTAGGGTGCCTAAATCCACGTCAATAACACTTGATGAACAAGGGTGGGCTGGTGGCTGCATTGGCGATGAGGATCATGGTTTCTTTTTTTCATTGTGGAATCGTTGAGGAGATTAATAAGTACATATCCTGCTGAACTTTATGGTCAAGTTGATGACTATTTGTAATTCAAATTGTTATGTTTAATTAATTAACTGATTGGTGTTGTTTTGGTTTCGCAGCAACAACGAACCCAGGTTTACAGGCTCGATCACCGGACAAGATTTTGAAGTATGCTTCATGCCGAATGACTTTCAATATTTAAGGATGAGAGGCCTATAGAATCACGTTGCAGCCAATAGTTTCTTTGTAGTTTGTTTATTGTTTGTATGTTTTATCTATTGAGAATTCTGTTTTGGTTGAATCCAATTGATTATGATTGACTCGAGTATATAATAAAAGAGGGATTTTTCTTCATATTTGTTTACCAATATTTACTTACTTTTTTAATAAGTAAATTGTAATTGTGAAAACAATAAAGTTATGTGGGCAAGATAGCATAGCAGACGACAATTACATTAGCCTGCAATTCTACCAAGTTGATTCCAAAATGCGACGCTAATACTACCTTGTACAAGCAATTAATTTGCCTCTAATTGATATATTTTGCGGCTAATATATTTATTGGGGAATTGGTTCAAATAATTATTTGCTTTTAAATTATATTTTTAGAGGCAAATATAAATGCCTTGGAATAAATAATTAGAGACACATAATATTTGTCGCTAACATCTGTCGCTAAAGAGATTTAGCGGCAGCAGTATTGACAGCACACAATTATGTGCTGCTATAGAGCTATAGAGGCACATAAATCACCTATCGTAGCAAATAGACTTAGTCGCTAATTGTCATTTTTCTTGTAGTGAACCCTTCTTTTAGTTGTTGAATACCAACCAAGTCGGATCCTGTGATGATCATATCATCCACATAAAGGAGAAGAAGAACGATACCTCGTTGAGTAGACTTGATGAACAGTGACGGATCATTCAGGCTTTGACTGCATCCAAGCTCAATGAGAGTAGACTGAAAAGTTTCAAACCAGACACGAGGTGCCTGCTTCAGACCATACAAGGATCGGTTCAGTCTGCATACCTGTCCAGGAGTCCCAACATTATATCCAGGTGGCTTTTCCATATAAATCACCTCGTCCAGATCGCCATGGAGAAAGGCGTTCTTCACATCAAGCTGAGCTAGAGGCCAATTCTTCATAGATGCGACTGCTAGAAGTGTCCGAACAGTTGACATTCGAGCCACAGGAGCAAAGGTTTCATGATAATCCACCCCCTGCTCCTGTGAGTACCCCAAAGCCACGACACGTGCTTTATGACGCTCAATTGACCCATCAGGCAACATCTTGATATTGTACACCCACCGGCACCCGATCGTTGGAGTATCAGGAGGCCTATCAACAACTGTCCAGGTATTATTGGCATGATGAGCATCAAATTCACTCGCCATGGCCTACTCCCAAACTGGATCGCCACGGGCATCTTTGTAGTGAGTAGGAATAACATTAGACATAACCCCAAATGTCACATAGTCTTGATGATAGGCTGGCGGAATACCCTTGGTGCTGCGGGTCGAGCGCCGAGGTGGGGGAACCGAGGATGAAGCGGCAGGGGAGGACTCACCAGAGGCCTCGGAACTGGAGGAGAATGGCGCAAATGGTGAAGTAGAAGGGCCGGGGGAATCTGGATCTTCAGGGGGCAGCAGGTTGTCCAAAGTTACCATGGGCGGATCATCATAAGAGAACATGGGCAAGGTATCCGTAGGAAGAAAAACTGACTCGGAAGGAGTGGACGACTCAAAGAAACGAAGATGCTCAAAGAACACAACTGTACTAGCAACTCGGATACGTTGGGAAACAGGATCAAAGCACAAGTAGCCCTTATGAACATCACTATACCCCATGAAGGCACACCGAGCAGTTTTAGGAGTAAGTTTAGTACATTCACGACGAGGCATGAGAACAAAACATAAACACCCAAAAACACGAAGACGAGAATAGTCAGGAGGACGAGAATAGAGTTTTGAAAAAGGACTCTCATTACCAAGGACAGGAGTCACCTGATAATTAATTAGCCGCACAGCAGTGACTACTGCTTCGGGCCAAAAACGATCAGGAACGGAGGAGGAGAACAACAATGCTCGAGTGAGCTCAACCACATGCCGATTTTTACGTTCAACCAGACCATTTTGTTGTGACACACCAGGACACGATTTTTGACTCAGAATACCACGAGAGTGATATTCTTCTCGTAAAGGAAAAGAGCTCAATTCCCCACCCGGATCAGACCGAATAATTTTGACAGTTTTCCCAAATTGTGTCTGAATCATATTGAGAAATTCAACAGCCACAGAACGAAGATCAGACTTTAAACGAAGAAGATAAATCCATGTATATCGGGTGGCATGATCAATAAACAGAGCAAAATAGCGAAAACCATTACGAGAAACGGTGGGGGCAGGACCCCAGAGATCTGTGTGTATCACATCAAAAGGTTCATGAATAACAGTGGTACTGGAAGGATAAGAAATACTGGCAGTTTTAGCTTCCACACAGCTAGTACAGGAATGATTTTCTGGAATACTGACTCGAGTTTGTCCTAGCAAAGACTTTTGAAATATAACACGAAGACGAGCTGAGTGGGGATGCCCCAAGCGAGCATGCCAAAGATCCCACTGCTTATTAGACTGACTCGACTCGACAGAACAAGATAGAGGACTACTGACAGACCTAACCATAGAACTACGATTGACCGGAGAAACCAATTGCCCATGCAGCTCTTCAAGATGAAACAGACGCCCTTGCTTACTCCCCCTTCCGATCAGACTCCCCGTCCTCGAATCCTGTATAAAACATCCAGACGGAGCAAACGACACAGTACACCCTTGCTCAGTAAGTTGTCCGACAGAAACAAGGTTTGGAACAAGAGCAGGAACATGCAAAGCATTATGCAAAGACACATTTTTATCCAACACATCACCCATGCCTTTAACTTCTAATTTATATCCATTTGCTACTGTCAAGTCCATCTTTTGTACTGGAGTCACATCAGTTAGCACACTAGTATCATGGGTCATATGATTATAACAAGCTGAATCAATAAGCCATGGTGTACGAATTTTACCTCGACCGTTCAGAGTAGCAAATGCAGCACTAATCGCCGCACTCACTATTTGTTCCACAGTCTGGACGGTGACACCTCCAGCATTTCCAGTTGCAGCATCTCCATGACCTCCTTGAGGCCCTCGGCTGCTGCTTGCTTCGGCCAACCCATCACTTCCCCAGCGCCTCTCTTCTACAGCAGCATTGCGCCAACGAGGGACCTCGGCAGGAGCTGGGTATGCCCCATAAGCAGCTCGTTCAGCATACCCAGTGCGTGAAGGAGCACCATTTCTCCCAGGAGGTGCACCATCGCGAGAGCCACCATCCCGCGCCTCGTTGCGCTCCTTTGTACGACAGTCTAATATGAATATATGATGTGACCCATGCGTTTACAATAAACGCAAAAGTTACGCCTTCGACAATGCTTAATCACATGCCCTTTTTCTCTGCAGTGATGGCATGTTAAATCCGAGATCGGAATCCTCCGCTGAAACTGAGGACGATCGACAGCGTAAACTGAACTGTCGGGCGCTGCTCGTGAATTGCGATGGCCTCCAGCTGAGACTAGTGATGGCAATTTCAACCCGCCCCGCGGGTATTACCCGACCTGACCCGCGATGGGGCGGGTATTACCCGACTCGCAGTAGCGTGGGACGGGGCATGGGTATCTACTTCCGACCCGCCCTGCCCCGCCCCGCCCAGTTCTAGACTCATTTTATCTCAATTCCTTACAATATCTATACATATTTCTCCTATTTTGATTTTTCTTCAACTAGTTAGAGTCGATCTTTCAACTTGTTAGGGTCAATTATCCATTCTATTATCAATATTTTTCATTCTTAAAGTGTTTTTCCCTACGTTTTATTGTAAAATGTAAAATTTACTTGTATTTTTTTGAACAACATGTAAGAGTGGGTCGACCCGCCCCGCCCCGTACTCGCGCGGGTTTTACCCGCCCCGACCCGTAGTAGCATGGGGCGGGGCATGGGAATTGAGGTACCCGCCCCGCCCCGCCCCATTGCCATCACTAGCTGAGACCGCCATGACCTCGCCTTCACCTGGACGCTGATCGATCACCGCCTGATTCCGCAAACGTGTTTCCTCTCGCACCAGAGTCCCGAGCACACCGTCAAACTGCATGATTTCTCGGTTCAGAAGAGTCGCGCACACAGCTTCGAATTCGGCCTTAATTTCATCAAGAAATCAAGGAGGCGGGTCTGCATTCTCTCCGTGATCGCGTCTTCGGTCAGAACAGTGCGGTTTAATGCAGCATGAAGAAGATCTTGCTCTGTCCAAAGCTCCTGTGCAGCATTGAAGTACTCGGAAACCGATCGATCTCCTTGCTCTAGCCGTGCCAACGCCATCTGCACCTCAAACTGACGCGCGGCATTAGCTGTTGAGTACATGGCTTTGAGGTGCAGCCACATTCGATTGGCGGTTGGGTACAGTCGGAGGCTGAGGCACGTTGACGCATCAACCGTTCTGAGCAGCCAGGATCTGACGCGTGCATCACTCTGCGTCCAGGCTGCGATTGCTTGAGCTCCGTTATCGGGCTTCGCTTGAGTCCCATCAAGGATGCTGATCAAACCTTTTCCTTCCACGAACACTCGGAATTGAAATTCCCAGAGAGCATAATTTGTTGCAGTCAGACGAATAGACGGACAATCGGATTCCATTGGCTCTGATACCATGATAGCTTAATTAACAGTACGGAAATCAAACTGAAATCGGACACAGATTTACGTGGTATCCCTGGAATTCCAGGACTAATCCACGGAAGAGCTTGAACACTCTTCAGCTACTGATCTTACTGATTGTGTTTGTTAACCTTACAAAATGGAATCAGCTGCACACAAATACTACTCCACTGCCGAACCCTAGCACACACGACACTACATCTCCAACGTGGGCTGTAGGGGTTGCATGGGCCTAACTCATCCAACAAGCCTATTGGGCTACACACTTTACGTACTAAGACTAAACAGGTTTACATAATTAACAGGGTATAGGTAAAATCCGAACTACTTTTGGTAGGATAATGGATATGCACTATCCACCCCCAACCCCGACCCATTGCCATCCCTAGGATAAACCCCAGACACCGATTTTCTAAACCTCAACCCAAAGTTTGATTTAATGAAAAACAAAAATTGACCGTGGAGATCGGCCGGAGCTCATCTAAGTACATCTAATGGTTAGATCACCTGCTGTATACTTTACGCTTGACGTACACGAGTCATTACCATATAAATAATAGTGAAGCTAGTAATTTAATTCATTAAATACGGATATTAAACGTGTTATACGAGTTTTATACGTGTTTAATACAGAAGCTATCAAATGAACAGACAAAAAAGAAACGGCTTCACAATAATACGGATACAAAAGTTTTAAACTGATAAAGTACGTACGGGTACATATACCGATATACGGATATTAAACGAAGTATTTACTAATTATGCTTTAAATCCCATTTTTTTTATTTTGGTCACTAAACCGTAAAAATTGAAAATAATGGCCACCTAAAAAGTACAAAATCATAAGGAAATCATCTGCCGCCTGCCGGAGTAAATTTCAATCCGTCGATTGACTTCCTTCCACACTTGCCTCTAAATCATAATGCCCTATTGAATTATTAACAAGGAGTTGGCGGAAAGTGGAGCCTCACCATTACTCACGAACTAGTTTATTTTTTCCTGATTAATACAAACCAAACCCAAGACGCAGCAGAGTCCATCAATGGAATGGAAGCCATTCGAAGGAGTTAGATCAACCATTCAGCGACTCTAGTCTCTCCCTTTCCACCAGGAGGAAGAAGAAGAAGAAGGGCAGAGAAACAACACCCACAAGATTCGGCCGTCTGCCTGCCTCGATTCACCCTGTTGTTTGTGTCTGAAATTGCGAAAGTCTCCAGCTTTGAGTCTCCGTTTACTAACCTACAAACTTGGGCCTCTTCTTCTTCTTCTTCTTCTTCCTTCTTTCCTTCGCAAAACTTGGTGTGGCGTGGGCAATAAACAAATAAAAATGACATCTTTTTCGTAGCACGTATTCATCATCATCAGCTCACACAGAGACAGGAGAGCTACGACGCCACTCTCCACAACCCACCAAAATAGTTATATTTTTTTAATCCACCTTCCCTTTCCTGTTTCTCTTTGGCTAAACTCTTCCTTTTTTCCCCGTCCGGACTTCTAGCTTAGTTGTATTTTGATCCTCTACGATACCAAGCACTGTCGTCTCTGTTCTGGACATCTGGGTTCTCGGGAAGAAAGAAGTTTTCTTTCCTCGCGTCTCTGCTTCTTTTTTCTTCATCTGTTAGCCCTTTCCCCAGTTTCCTCTTGAATCTTACACGTTCCCACCTTGTGGTCTTTTGATTGTCTCTTTGGTTCTGACGATTGCTTTGATTCAGTGGGTAAAAAGGGTTTTTGTACAGCAGCTCTCGAAGTCTCCGCTGGGTCTGTTCTTGTAGATTGCTGTGACTCAGTCCGCTGGTTTGTTGGTACCCTTTTGAGAAGTTCGTTTTGACTTGCTCTAGCTGGGGAAGTCTCTAATAGATTGAAGTTTCGTTTATTGGATTGGTCAAATTAAGGTCAATGCAAAGCGTATAAGCAAGGGGATTTTGAAAGTATTTTTTCCGATCTTTCCTCTTTTGTTGTGATTAGATTCGCTGATTGGAGCAATACCATATGTTTTACTTTCCCAAGGATTACTTTGTGGGGACTGGAATCGATATGCTTTAGTGAAAAGGGCAGATCTTGATGTTGAAATCACTGGGAATCCATTGGAAGTGATCTGAGGGTTCCAGGGGTTTTGATTAGATGGGTAATAACTGTGTTGGGCCAAGCACTGCCAAAAATGGCTTTCTACAGACTGTTTCTGCGGCAATGTGGAGAACCAGAGTGCCAGATGATGCAGCTCCTCAGGGAAATGGGGAAGCGGTTCCGGAGGTGGTGACCAATAAAGGATCTGAAGTGCCTTTCCAGGTTCAGGATAAGCCTCCAGAGCAGGTCACCATTCCTAAAGCTGAGAAAAGAGAAGAACCTGTACCTGATAAGAAGGCTGAACCAGCTGAGAAAAGGGAAGAACCTGTGCCTGATCAGAAGGCTGAACCAGCTGAGAAACCTAAGAAGAAGTTTCCAGCTCCAGAAATGAAGAGGGTTGGCAGTGCTGGTCTTCGGGTTAGCTCTGTTTTGCAGACTAGAACGGGCAATATCAAGGAGTTCTATACCATGGGGAAGAAACTAGGACAAGGGCAGTTTGGAACCACGTTTCTGTGCCTGGAGAAAACTACAGGGAACAAATTTGCCTGTAAATCGATTGCGAAAAGGAAGTTGTTGACCGATGATGACGTGGAGGATGTGAGAAGGGAGATCCAGATCATGCATCATTTGGCTGGCCATCCAAATGTTATATCCATTAAGGGGGCTTATGAGGATGCGGTGGCGGTACATGTTGTTATGGAGCTATGCGCTGGGGGGGAACTCTTTGATCGGATTGTCCAACGCGGGCACTACTCGGAAAGAAAAGCTGCACAGCTTACTAGGACAATAGTTGGAGTTGTTGAAGCTTGCCATTCACTTGGTGTGATGCATCGGGACCTCAAGCCGGAGAATTTTCTCTTTGTGAACCAACAAGAGGATTCATTGCTGAAAACAATTGATTTTGGATTATCAATCTTCTTCAAGCCAGGTATACCCTTTGTTTCTAAGCAGTTTTGCTGTTTAAGTTGTTCGTTCATTTATGGTAGTTGTTTGTGAATTAGCATATTTGGTCATGATCAAGCTAAACACGTTGACTTCAAATTTTCTACAAGAATGGTGTTCCTGGTCATTGCGACTATTGTTTGACCGTTATTTGCCTTCTGCCGTCTTGCACTTGACACATCACCTTATTTTTCATACTTCCTATGAGAGATATCATGCAGAGATTTTATCATTTGAAGTCTGTATCGATAACAGATGCTTTGCTCTTTATCAACTATATAACGGTTAGTTAGATGCATGCTTAACAAGCATTTCAGAAAGCTAACTCAGTGTTTTTAATTTACATTGTCATGCAGTTTGTCTTGTAGGATTGCCAAAGCCTGTTTGTGTCTGTGTGATCTCAAGGCACCTGAACTATGTATTATGTATAACTGGATTTGTCTCTTTTTAGGGGTTAGTTTAGAACCTTGAATTCTTGAAATGGTGTATTCCAAGAATTAATGCATGAAGTGTATATAATAAAAAAAGGATCTGTGCATTTAAGACTATTTGAAACCATGGATACAAAATCTCACCAAATTGGTGAGGTTCATAATACATAATTTCTTGTGTGGAAGAATAATAATCATGTATTATCGATACATGCATTCTGTGTCCAAATTAAGCCAAAAAGTTATGTATTCCACAGTATACGAGCATTCTTAGCATATATGGTCATTTCTGTTTTCATTTCACTGCACAAACTTTGTACTAAAACTGTGTTAATATACTCAAAAGAATCCAAGACAAAGCAGCTTGCTATGCTTGCTTCTTGCTCTTGTCAAGTGTGTTTGTCTGACCTTAAGGAACATGATTAATGATATTCTGAATCATACCCGTCTCCTGAAGGCTTCTTACAATGTTCAGCCTAACCTGTTTTGCACTGACCTTTTTGTTCTTTTGCTATTATTTCAGGGGAAAGGTATTCTGATGTAGTTGGCAGTCCTTATTATGTTGCTCCAGAGGTTTTGAAAAAGCGTTATGGGGCAGAAGCTGATGTTTGGAGTGCCGGAGTGATTCTCTACATTCTATTAAGTGGAGTGCCACCCTTCTGGGCAGGTGCTGTCCCTGTTATATACTATTAAATGAGACATACACAAGATTCCAATCCAATTGCACTAAACCATTTTGTTTTGCATTTTCCCTTTCTATGCATATTCAGAGACCGAGCAGGGAATATTTGAGCAGGTTCTCCAGGGTGAGCTTGACTTTGAAACAGAACCTTGGCCTAACATCTCCGAGAGTGCTAAGGATTTGGTTAAGAAAATGCTTCTTCGAGACCCCAGAAGGAGACTAACTGCTCATGAAGTCCTGTGTGAGTGTTGCTGATCATTGTGGCCTTTCAAGTTTCATGCTGCACAAAGTGGAGTTGAAAAAAATATTTGTTCGAAAATTAGAGATTCATCAATTTTACTTAACAGGGGATTGGTTTGCTCTTGTCGTGGAAGTTGCCATTATACCGTTCTTCGCTTAATACCATTAGTCTTGCTTTTGTGGTCACCAATCTGTATCGGTAATAACCAATCTGTACACGATCCTCACAAACTGTCATCTTTGCAGGCCATCCATGGGTACAAGAAGATGGTGTAGCTCCTGACAAACCTCTTGATTCTGCTGTCCTAAGTCGTCTGAAGCAATTCTCAGCTATGAACAAACTCAAGAAAATGGCTCTCATAGTGAGTCCTCTGCAAGAATCTAGATATGATATAAACAGAAGAACATGATTTGTAGTGTTAATAACTAAACATTCTTGATAATATCTGATATTAAACTTTGCTTTTGAAATGGAAAGAAAGCAATTGTTTCACATGCTACCTCTCTGATAAAATCCAAGATTTTTACTGATAACATGTTCGTTGCTGGCAGATCATTGCGGAGAGTCTATCAGAAGAGGAAATTGCTGGGCTTAAGGAGATGTTCAAGATGATTGACGCTGATGGCAGTGGTCAGATCACTTTTGAAGAACTTAAGGCTGGATTGAAAAGAGTCGGGGCTAACCTCAAGGAATCAGAAATCTACGATCTAATGCAAGCAGTAAGTACTAATACACACAGAAAAGAACAACACTAGGCAGACTCTTACAACTTGTTGCACTCATCTGACATATATCATATGCTATTTGACGGGCAAGCTGGTTGCGGGAAACTACGAAACAGCACTGATGCATGATGTTCCTTACTCGAGCCGTTTGATTGGCATGTCTGCTCTTGCTGCCATCTCATCTTTTTCTGTCGTATAATCACTGCAGGCGGATATAGACAACAGCGGCACCATTGATTATGCAGAGTTCATTGCTGCAACACTGCATCTGAACAAAATCGAGAAAGAGGATCACCTCTTTGCAGCCTTCTCATACTTTGACAAGGATGGAAGTGGTTACATCACTCAAGATGAGCTTCAACAAGCTTGCGAGGAGTTTGGCTTACAAGATGTTCGCTTAGAAGAAATGATCAAAGAAGCTGATCAGGACAATGTAAGGAACCCTCTTTCTCTAGCTTCCCTTGCTACTACTCTCTTCTCCAACTCACCTCTCCAACTCGACCGAGAAAATGAAACATCAGCTCTAACCGATGCACTGAATTTCTGTAGGATGGGCGCATAGATTACAACGAGTTTGTCGCGATGATGCAAAAGGGAACTGTAGCAGCAACCCCAGGAAGGAAGGGACTAGAGACCAGCTTCAGCATGGCGTTCAAAGATTCGCGGAAACTCAACACCAGCCAGCAGTAAGTGTTTGTTTGCTTCTCTGTTTGTGTGTTTTTGGGTTCTTTCCCCCCTCGCCGTCTGAAGAACCAGGGTTGTAGTAGTGTGTATAGTGAGTGAGAAGGCGGCTATGCCACTCTCAACCGAGACGCCAGCAAACATGGTCGGATCGTATATCGAACTGGGTTTGGACCTGCAAAAAATGAGGTTCCTTTTGTTGGTTCTTTTCATTATCGAATGTAAAACTGAGCCATCACTGCGCCATCCCATGGCTTCTTTATGTTTGTGACAATGTCGAGTAGAAGAACTGTAGCTATAATTTTTTTAGTTAATATTATCATCATCATTATAGTTCATTTGGACCATTTTTTTGGGGCAGTGTTCTACTGTAGCTATATTGTCGAGTAGAAGTCTCTAATTGGAATCTCGGTGGACTTTCCTTTTCTCTCGTCTTCAATTGTGATGCAACGTCATTGATATGAAGTTTCACGACAAACCATGAATTATCACTAATTTTTTTAAATACATTCATCACCACTAATTTTACATTTTTCGTTTCACCGTTGAGCACTTTCATCCAACTCCATTGTTTTTTTTCAATTGACAATCAACTATAACATTTCATCGGTAAATTAGTGATTTTTATGGATGAAATCTCAAAATACACATGTTTAAAAAAAAAAATCGAAATACACACGTTATAAAAAAAATTCTCAAAATACACATGTTTGGGCATCACTAGGAATGACAATGGGCAGGTCCGGGCCGGATTTCTTGGTACCCAGACCCGCCCCATAGCAGGTCGGTAATTTATCACGGGTCGCAGGTCGGGGCAGGTCGACCCAATGGGTATGCAATTTATATAAAAAAATATTAGAAATATTCGTTATTTTTATTATAAGACCAAGAAAACAAACAATATTTTGATAAATGTAGTTAAATTATTAGAGAAATTGATATTTTTACTAATTTATAACTTTATTATAGTTAAAATTATGATGTAATAAAAGAAAAGTCCTAATTAATTTGACTAAAATTACATGTAATTTAGGTAAGAACGGGTCGAGAATGGGGCGCGTCAGAGCAGGTGGGGTCGATGAGAGTACCCATGCCTGCCCCGCCTACGGGGCGGGTTGGACCCACCCCAAAACAGACCAAACAGGCCGGGTAAAACGGGTCAGGTCGAAATTGCCATCCATAGGCATCACTGATGTCGTCAACCGCAGTGAATGCATTCATCGCGGCAGACCAAAGCGGTGAATGCATCACCGCAGTTGACGGCCGCGGTGAATGTCTGACGTAACACTGAAACTTCAAACAAACGTATCTGCGCGCTCGGTTATCCGATTGTAGCAAAAAAAATTGATTTCATATAACTTTTCAAGACCTTTCAATCTGCAACAAGACTTCATCTCAAAATAATGTCGTTTGTTACCCCGAACGAGCAATTTTTCGATTTTGCCAAACTTTGGATTGCCAAATTTTTCGATGTTACGTAAGGTATTCACTGCGGTGATGTATTCACCGCTTTGGTCTGCCGCGCTGAATGCATTCACTGCGGTTGACGACAGCGGTGATGCCCAAACGTGTGTATTTTGAGAATTTTTTTGTAAATACTTGTATATTTTGAAAATTTTCCAATTTTTATCGACTAAAAGATCAATAAAAATAGAATTTAATTAATTTTGTTTTGTACTACTCAAATCGACCATATCCGTTTTCCACCACGTTTCATAAAGTAGTGACAAAAATCACAAAATCGATTTCCCACGGGTGAAAAATACCAGCGGCGGACTCTCAAAACCAGCAGCAGCTCTGCACCCATGGTTTCCCCCAAAACTTGAGGCGACTCCGTGTCTCCGTCCCTGCCTCTATAATTAAGAACCCATCTCCCTCAACTCCTATTCAGTCTTCACCAAACTTTTACAATATCCCACCATCAACAAAATTCAGCAAGACACCAAATTTCCCAGGTTGTGTTTCGAAAGCAAGAAAACAGAGACAGGGCCAAAAAGAAAGGAACAAGAGCAAGGATGAGTTCCAACAGCAGCAAGGCTTGGGCTGTGGCAGCCAGCATCGGGGCGGTGGAGGCACTGAAGGATCAATTGGGTTTCTGTAGGTGGAATTACGTCATTCGATCCGCCCAACAGTACGCCAGAAACAACGTTAGAGCAATCTCTTCCAAGTCCCCTGCCGCTGCAATGGTTGTTGAGAGGTTGAAGGAAGCTGAAAAGGCAGGACGGGCTGAAGAGTCTTTGAGGAAAGTCATGTACTTGAGCTGTTGGGGTCCTAATTAATAGATTCAGAGCTCGAGCTAGATCATCTTGCTTTGCAACTCGAAAGAGATAAGAGTTGCTGTCATTTGTAAATACTATAGCAGGGGAAGAAATTTGGGAATGGAAATGAAAAATCACAGAAGAAATCCCTTCTTGACAGTTAATGGATTTCTGTGTTCTACTTATGGTTCTCTGTGTTCTCATTCTTGTGTCCACGTTAACTCTTTATCCCATACTTTTCACTCTTCCCTGTTATCTCTGGCTCCTTCCTCTGCCGCCATGGCTACCGGCAAAGGAGTTCCTTTTTTTTATTTATGACGAAAGTGTTGGATCAAGAAGACAAATCAAGTTTTTCCTTCTATTCTGTTTAACAGAAAGAAGTTCCTTTTGCTTGTTATAAATTCTAATTTCAAGGAGAGCTGCCATGCGTATGTGGAGATACCCAAAAGGAAATCTGGAAGCTGTAAAGATTGGACCTTTCCTAACTAGATTCCGACTGTTCCTGTTCCAGCTGCTCATACTTTCTCATCTTTGATCTTACCAGGATTTCAGAATCCAAACAAAAGACCGTGAAGAATTAATTGATCTCAATAATTCGACTTCTTAAATGATGGTCAATTATCACTATACCATACTTCATAATAACACTATCAATTTACTCTTATTGAACAGAGGAGTTGTTAGATGAGATTCAATTGTCAATATGTCATTCTGTTTAGACCTCATACAGATAACACTACCAATTTGCTCTAATTGAACAGTTTAGAAAGTGCTCAACTTGTTATAGTTGATTACTGAACGATAAACAATTAATATTTTCGGTTCAATATTTTGTTTGATTCTCAAGAGAGAGCCACTAAGCAAATAAATTTGGAATACGGATGACAATGGGTTAGGTTCTGCCAAATTCAAACTCAATCCAGCAGGTATATCCACAGATTCATGGGTGTTGGAACCTCAAACCCAATCTAACCCATTGGGTATGCCCAGATTCACGGATATTCGTGGATTCTGTTGGATAAAAAGTCATAAAACTAATCTTTTGTCAAAATAACGGTCTAACACCAATTCGTACATACAAATTATTCGTATAAAAAACACTTTTATAGTATATACAAACAAATCCACAAATTATCCATACAAATTGTTCAATTTTCAAGATAAACATCCACGAACAACACGGTTAATTAACATGCTATGAAAGTATGTGTGTGGACGGATATCCATGGATCAGATATACTTATAAAGTCGTATCCATCAACTCGAATATAACTTGCATTAACAGATTGAATTGGGGATACTCGTAGATTCGGGTTTTGTTGTTCAGTAGGTTATCACAAACCCAAATAAAGACAGGAATGATTTGGGTTGGGCTTCCGCTGGCGGCTTGATAGGCGTGTGGCGGTTTGACTGGAGCTTCCGGGCTTGGATGGACTTGGGCCTGTTGCGAGGATCCATCATCCCATAGTTTGAACTAGGGGTGTACATGGGTCGGGTGGTTCGGGTTTAGTCATTTTAATCACCCGACCCATGCACTACGGTTTAGGAAATATCAAACCCAAACCCACCCAAAAAAATTTAAACCCTACGGTTTGTTTCTAATTGGGTTGGGTCGGGTTGGCCATATTTTTAAGTAAATACCTAACCCAACATAAAATACATAATTATTCTATATCATAAAAATATTTTATAACTAATTAAAATTGCAAACGAATGAACCGAGGTGAAAGGTATCAAAATTCACAAATGTTGTTTGAATTTTAATAAAATGTGATCTACTTCAACATATGTCTTGTTTTTTTCACAATATTTGTTGAAATAGGCTAAAAATGTTATAAACAAACGCACCCATAATATGTTATTCTATTAAAATTGTACACAAGAAAAAGGATTACGTGAATCATAACTATATTCAATTTATATCTAAACTTTAAGTCGAATAATGCATTAGATTAGGGAGACCATGAGAGAAAAACATGCCGAAATATCTTAATTTTCTCATAAGTATATGAATATATACGACATAAATATTTTTTTAGATCCAAACTCATACTAATAGTTGGGACACGGGTTGGGTCGGGTTCTACGGGTTGTGTAATCCAAAATCCAAACCCAACCCAAAGGAGGCGGGTTGTACAAAAGAAAACCCTCACCCAACCCAAAACTTTCGTTTTAGCGATAAATACGGGTGGGTTGGGTCGGGTTGGACGGGTGGGTCGGTTTGCGGGTGTGTTTGTTCACCCCTAGTTTGAACTGCTTCCTTTCCCATTTGACTTTGACCGGGATCTGATTCGACTGTCACCATAACAAACACAACGACCCGTCACTTTAACTTAACTCTTCAACGGTGAGAGGATCTCGTTCTCGTCCCTGAAATTTCCGGTCTTCTCTCTCATCTTTGTTGTGCTCGGCGTCACATTAAAACCCTAATTGCGCGTATTTCGTTTTCGTAGCCTTTTCCCCCCTTTTTCTTCTCTAGGGATTCGTTTTCGCGCTCTTCGTTTCTTCTACGCCCGACGTAAGCCCTAGCCAAGCAGCGAGTTTCCAATCCCCATGGCGGCGCCGGTGGGCCGAGACCGGGAAGAGAACCAGCCGTACGACGACGGAGGGGGATACGGCAAGTTCAGGAAGCGTCCCTTCCGCCGGAGTCAGGCGGCCACTCCATACGATCGCCCTTCAACCGCAATTCGCAACTCTGGCCTCCAAACCGCCAACACCAGCGGCAATGGCTGGTTTTCGAAACTGGTGGATCCGGCGCAGAGGCTCATTGCCTCCGGTGCTCATAGGCTCTTTGCATCTCTCCTCCGCAAGCGCCTTCCTCCTCCTCCACCGACGCAGCCGCCGGAGCCAGGTGGGATTCTTTGATTAGTCTTTAGCGAAGTCCTGCCCTGCCCCCTTTTTTTTCCCCTGTTGCGTTGGATGAACGAGAGATTTTTTTTTGTTGTTGTTGCAATTTTGGAGATTGTCTCTGGATTTGACTATTTGAGAGCCCTGCCATAAGCATATGGAGCAATTGGATTTGAGAGTCATCATTTCAGCGAAAGGTTTTGAATGTAGTTGCCATTTTCTTGTGTCCGGAGTCTCTTTTTTCCTCTGTGGGGGCATTGTTGTTTACCTCTGAAAATGGATTTTTTCTTCTTCTAGATTTCTATGGGATTGGTCTTAACTTCGACTAAGTTTGGGTTCCTCTTCAATTGATTTTTAAACCCTCATATTATTGATGTGTTGTTGTGCTTCCTATGAATACAGATAGGCGGGTTTACTGAACTTATATGTTCCGAAATTGGTTTGTTTATTATTCTGACTGGGTCTATTTCACAGAAGCAGAGCGGTTCTTGAAGCAGAAGCGACTGGAAGCAATTTCCAAGGGCAAGCAAGTCGAAACAGTACCCATGGTAATAAAATCCGACTAGTTCTTGTACATTGCAGCATTTATGTTATTGTGTTAAATTCCTTATCTCTGAGACACGTAACCTTCCCGGAAAGTTATGCTTTCTATTTGAAAGTTGCAATCTTTATGAAGCTTAAGCTGTATGTCATTGGTTAATGCAACTTATAAATATATATTACCTATTTACAGTGAACGAGTTGGTCCTCAACTTCTTCTAGCTTGTAAGCTTCCCATGTGCATAAAGTTGTAAGAACTAAGAAGGGGTATGGGAAACTGATTTCATATTTCTAGCTTAGCTCCTTAGATCTACATCGCATTAGTCACTGGAGCATGTTTGGAAACCATTTTTCTGATTAGGAATTTGTATTCTTGCTATGGTTTGGTGGATTGTATTGTTTGATGTGCCACTCGGTTGCCCTCTTGCAAAGGGGTAAATCTGCTTTCATTTCGAGAATACAAGTAAACTTGGACTGGCAGTTGCTTACTGTATGTCTATGTGCCAAAGTTGTGTAATTAAATTTCATGGGCGTTGTTTTGTATGTCTCACTCACTCTAATAAATGTTTTAGGAATTAGATCTTGGAATGTAGAATTGTTCATTTTTGCCAGTTTCTTCTCCTGAGAATCACTTCTTGCATCGTGAACATTTGGGAAACTATTTGACAGATTTACTATTGTTCTTTTTGCCAGCTTTCCTCGAAGGCCCCTGTATACTCACAGGGAGAACCTAGCCATATGCATGATCGCCCTAGCAGTTCAGTTGGAGGTGCAGTTACTGATTTGGAGTCGATGCTGCAGCAGAAAAAATTTACCAGGTTAGTAAAATTTATCTTATCCAACTGGGTATATCAAGTTTCTTTGAATTGGCAGCTCTACATTAGTACCCGTAGCTCTGGCATTGATGGTTTAATGTTTAGTCTAATTGGCGAGGCGGAAGTGTACTTGTGTTGGAGCATTGATAGAACGGAGAATTCAGATCTCCTGTGATTACAATGTCTCTGTGTACTATATGAACGTTAGATTATATTATAATCAATGTATGAACACTTATCGTTTGGGTTTTTATATGTACAAGCACTGATCCATGTCATGAAGGCTGGAAGTAGCTGAAGGTTCTGTCTGAATACTGGAATCAATATAGGAAAATGTGTGGCCTCAGTTAAAAATACATATACAATTTTGGACGAATGTGAAATAGGCCTGCATAAATGCCTGGGGTTGTGGTTGAAGAACGGAAATCATGGAGATGGGCGTTTCTGTACTTGTTGCGGACTTAGTCAAAGCTTTTGGTCTGATTTGCTGATTCCCAATTATTAAGGATTTACTTTTAAAAGTAATTCTTCTTCTTTTCTGTAAAGGTAAACTTTAATAGATTAATTTAGCAGTTGTTTGTTATAGTTCTGTACTGGGTCTTTGTCTTCAAATTATGCCAACCCCTCTCCATGGTGTGGTCAGCTCTTTCCCCTAGAATTCGGAACAAATCAGGAAAGAAAAATTACCCAATTTGATTTGATACCCTTTGCATTTCATGATGGGTATGTTCTGAATTGGGCTGGGACATTTGATGCCCATTGCATTATTGTTAATGATTGTTCATATAAAATACGCCAAACTCTCTCTAGTGTCAGGGTATGTTTTGGTCCAGCATTGCAGCACTGTTGATGATTGTTGGTCTTCTGCAGGAATGAGATTGATCGATTGACTGCTCTCCTGCAGTCAAGGGTTGTTGACTTGCCTGTGGAAAATGAGAAGTCTGAACTTGTTCCTCCAAATTCATTTCTTTTGCGTGACAAGGAGTTTCCCGGTACTCCAGTGAAAGACAATGGGATTGGGAACCACCTCACCTCCACCCCACATGTAAGCTTTAAGTGTGGACATGTGATGCCTTTTGTTTTGCTTAACATAATTGTATAAAATGTTGTTTGGCTGAATGTATAGAATGCTTGTGTCAGAAGTATGCATGTAAACTCCTTGCCCAGTATAAGAGTGTATGTTCACCTATTCAAGTATGCGTAGATTATTCAGTGGATGAGTTTTTTGGTGAAATATCTGGTTCATGTTTTTTATTTGGCTAGGTTGCAATTGGGACATGTGTATTATACACTTAATTGTTTCAGAATGATCTGTTTTTCAAATTTAATGGATAAAAAATTTCTTCAGGTCCTCGAACAAGATGTTGCTTCACCTGCAGAGCTTGCAAAAGCTTACATGGGCAGCAGGCCTTCAAAAGTATCTCCGTCAATGTTAAATTTGACCAATCAACCTTGGAAGGATGATTCAGCTCCGCAGGTCAGTCAGATCTTCCGGTCGAAAGGGCCAACCACACCAGCCATTTACAGGTCTTCTGGCAAAGTTGGATTGATAGAGAATGGTTTCATGACACCAAGATCTCGAGGCAGATCGGCTATTTACAGCATGGCTAGAACACCGTATGCTAGAACACAGTCAATCAAGGTATGGCATGGAATGCACTTGCTTAAATGTACCTGCTTTGATATCTCAATCTCCTTTTGACATTTGTTCTTCTGCGGATCTTTAGGGAGCTGGGACTTCAATTGATGATTTTGGTGGACAAGGGTCTTCATATCAGGGTGTATTGGAGAATGACAGATTTTCTGGGTCCAAACAAGGGGTATAACTACTACATTTAGTTTTATCAATACATTATATTTATTAATGATACAATTATGACTTATCTATTTGGCACAGACTTTAAAAAGGAGGAGTTCTGTCCTGGAGAGCGATATTGGGTCTGCTAGTTCTATACGTAGAATTCGTCAGAAGTCAAATCTAATGTCTGCCGGAGCTCTCTCAGTTCGTGGAACTCGTTTAAAATCAGACCAAGAGGGACACCTGGCCCTGACCTCAAAGACTGTTACCAAAGATGAACCTTCCAAGGAAAATGGTGATCACAGCATTCAGAATTCAGGATTCCCCCCCGTCTCTTCTAAATCAAGTGATATGGCTTCAAAGATACTCCAGCAACTAGATGTGTTGGTCTCATCAAGGGAAAAATCACCAGCTAAGTTGTCGCCATCCATGCTACGTGGGCAAGCACTTAGAAGCCTAGAGAAAATAGATTCTTCAAAGTTTTTGGAGACTGCTCAGAATAGTACTCTGAGCAATGCAAGGAATGGTAGTGTGTTAGATGCTGAACGATCTATACCTGAAAAGGACAAAATTGAACAAAATGGTCCAAACACGTTAGACATTGATGGTGGCAAGTTGGTTGCAAGCAAAATTGTGGAGAAACCCAACTCATTTGATACTGGAGTGGTCAATGCAGGAATAAACTTTTCTGCTCACCCTGCTCATAAAAAAAAGCCGGGTTTCCGTATGAGTGCGGATGAGGTTTGTTTATGGCTCTAGAATTTCACTTCTTACTACTACTGCTGATCTTTGTACTGTCTATTGCACTTATGTCAACATTCTTCTGCGTTTTGTCCTTGCTAATCTTTTCAAGATGAGTGGGAAAATCATAAATAGTATTCTCGGAAATGTTTTGTATGTCGTTTTTTTCATCTTATTTACATCTGCACATGAACTGAATAGTTAGAGATACATCGTAGTGGTTTAGTTTTAGCTGCTCTTGATGTCCAACTACATGAGATGGTAGTAGCATCAATTTGTATATATTAAGATTTAATGTTAGAGTCTTACAGTGCTTGTGTTTGTGGTATCATGCAGGATTTCCTGGATATTGATGATGATGACAGTGCTGGGAATACTTCTACGTTGTGGGGGACGGGTGATATGAAGCTTATTTCTAGCTCTGATGAGAATAAAGCTGTCGAAGCCGCTGTGGTGGACAAGACTCCAGCTCTTTTGGGAGAAAATCCCTTGCCAAGTTCTACACTGAGCAAGAAAGACACTGCAACTCATAATGGGCCAACAAGTGTAGGTACTAGCAATACTTTTGCATTTGCAGCACCTTCATCCACAGAGGCTGTGAAGCAGGCTGCCGTCCCAAGTCGATCAGCTGCTGTTTCTGACGACGCTGCCATTGAAATATTTAGCTCTGGGGGGAAAACTTCATTGCAAACTGAGTTAAATGGTGCCACTGGGAAAGTTTCATTGTTTTCTTCTGTGTCTCCTTTGACTGCTGTGAACAATGGATTCAGCAACAAATTTGGTGCTTCTTCAGCCTCCCAATCGGTTAGCTCGCAGAGGTAACATATACGTTTACTGTTAGTTTTATGATGAAGGCAGTATGTCCTAGTATTTGAAATTGCATTATCTGTAGTTTGTTTGATTGGAGTGACATGATTCTGTGTTTCGGTTTATGTGATCATTGGCTCATTGCATTTCACGGTACTTTAGGTTCATGTCAATTTTTCATCATCTGTTTTGATGCATTTGATGCGAGCTACATATTTCTGTGAAAATTGGATAAACATAAATTTTCAATTGGGATTAGTTATTGCAAGAATGTCTGTACCTCTTATTGAGAATGAGTTCGAAGATAATTATTGTTCTCTTCTTCATTTTGAAGTTGGTAATGAATGTGCAATCTGCAGTGTTGATTCGCCTTTGTATCGTCTAGAAGATGTTGTAGAACCTGGTTTGCTTGGATGTTTCAGCACTGGTAGTGGATTGGGTTTTAGACAACCAGTTGGCCGATTAGATGAGTTTATTGCCCCTTTTGCAGTATCTGAACCATATATAGAATTTGCTCTACTCTTCTCATATAACTCCTGAATTACATGAATATTTTGGGTCTACTATTTATGTTCTCATTGATTTAGGTCTTCCTTCTCTAGCTTGTATAGATCAGCTGTATGGAGAGAATAAATGGTTAGTTTCATGCCTAAATATATAAAGCTCTGGATCATTTCATTATTGAATAACTTGGTTCTGGGTACAAGTTGCTAGTAGCAGCGGAGGCATACAATGTGTGATTAATGTCTAATCATTTCAAAGTCCAACTCCTTGAGTGTGTTGTTTCAGCTGTTCAATTCATTGATGATCTTCAGTTACATCCTACTTTTCAAACGGTGCAGGGTCTTACCTGTAGCTGCTCTAGCTGATCCTGTGGCAAAACAACCAGATGTAGATAACGATGCAGACACAAATAAAGCTGGTGTGTCTTTTAATACGAGCGGAACTCCACTTTCATCTGTCTTGGCTTCGTCGCCAGCGGTAGGCATGTTCTCGTTTGGGTCAGGTCTACAAAATGGAACTCTCCCAGGTTCATCAACTGGTCTTAATATATCCAGTAGCTCCCTTTCGGCCGTTCTTAATGGCAGCATTGGCACAGACATATCTGTGAATGCTGTGAACTCTGGTAGTACTGGCAATTCAGCATCAGAGGCAAACCCACCCTTGAGTTCGTCTGTTTTCAAATTTGGGTCACCTGCCACTTCAAGTTCAGTTTCTTTTGCTAGTGCTTGTGGTGGCATTGGTCGAAGCAAAACAGAGACTAGCTATGGGAGTATTGCCGGTGTTCCTTTTGGTGATTCTAAGCCTGCCGTTGCCAGCACTGGAAGTGGCCTTTTTGGCGTTGCCCCGTCCATAGTTGCTGGGAGTACTACAAGCAGCAGCCCTTCTAATGATATTTCAGCTACCTCCGCTAAAAGTACCTTAGTTAGTAGTCCATTTGGCGGCCCAAGCGCAAGCGCTGGAAGCACCCTTGTTGGTGCTACTGCTGCTTCTGGTGCAGTTACCAGCAACGGCTCTCTTGGTGACTCTACTCCTACAGGTAAAAGCCCAGGAAGCAGCATTTTCGGTACTGCTACCAGTGCCAACACTGGGAATAGCCTCTTTAGTGCAGTAGCTCCGAGTACAACTGGAAGCAGCTTTTTTAGTTTCAGTTCCAAGTCAACTTCACCAGGCCCTGCTAGTGAGGCCCAAGTTTTGAATAATCCAGGTAGCACTCAGGTAGCTGCAACTGGCTTTGCTACATCAACCCAGAGTACTCCTAGTCAGTTTGGTTCTTCCATGTCGTCTCCTTTTGGGTTGAATTCAACTACAGCTCCTGCAACTGCTGCTGCTGCTGGTAGTTCGATTTTTGGTTCGTCATCAATATCTAATCCATTCAGTTCTGGAACTTCTTTTGGAGCGACTTCTTCCACTCCGTCTTCAGATCCAAATAAGTCTGTTAGCTCGAGTGCGAGCACTTCATCTCCGCTTTTTGGTTCGAGCTGGTCAACAACACCTGTATTTGGTAGTGGATCCAGCTCATCGGCTTCATCGAGTGGGTTTGTCTTTGGAGCATTGTCGTCGAGTGGTGCTTCTACTGCTGGTGCCACTGCATTTGGATCGTCCAATAATGCTACATCATCTAGCTCCCCGTTCTCTTTTAGTGCGCCAGCAGCAAATCCTGCGCCTACTCCAACTGTGTTTGGTAACCCTACTATAACTCCATCTTTTGCATTTGCTTCAACCCCATCATTCGGCTCAACTCAACCATCGGTTAACAATGATCAAATGGGGATGGAGGACAGCATGGCAGAAGACTCAGTCCAGGCAAACACACCATCTATCCCCTTGTTCGGTCAGCAGACTACCACACCCCCATCGTCAGGCTTTATATTTGGTTCTGCAGCACCGCCAACCAGCGGAAATCCTCTTTTCGGTTCTACTGCTCCTCCATCTGCAGGAAACCCTCTGTTTGGTTCTACTGCAGCGGGAACCCCCCAGTTTGGTTCTACTGCTCCAGGAACCCCTCAGTTTGGTTCTGCAGCAGCATCCCCTGGGATTCCGTTTCAATTCGGTGGTCAACCGAGTATGTCAGCAGCTCCACAAGCTGCTTCTCCATTTCAGGCCAGTAACAGTCTGGAGTGTGCAGGCAGCTTCTCATTAGGTACCGGTGACAAGAGCAACAGGAGAATCGTGAAAGTGAGGAAAAGCTCGCGGAAGAAGTGATTGCTGTTCTCTTATCACCGTCATTTGCAGGCACTCGAGTTCGCTCGGTTTCATTGCTCGCGTCAGAAGTCCCAAAGTTCACATGGAGTGGCTGTGCTAGTAAAGTAATTATAGTTCCTGCAGGTGTTAGCTATGAGCCAGAGTTGCCAGTTTCGGTCGGGTTTTCAAAGGCGAATTCTAAAATCGACCCTCGTGAAAGCAGAAGTTACAGAAGGCGAGGTCGAAAACGTGGGAAAGAAGAGTTTGTGACAAATTTTGTGACATACTTAATAGCATATAGGCGTCTTGTGGTTGTGTACTATGAGGTGAAGGTAGATAAATTTTGGTGCGCATCAAAATGGATGTCATTATGTGTACCTTTTCGCCGTGTAACGTAAAGACGATTTTCTTCCATAAAATGAAGTGTACGACCATTTGTTCCGTAAACGAAGTGCTCGTAGTTATTCATGCTTCAGTAATCGACTACAAGGTGACTCCGATTTAGAAATTTGATTGACCCAATCAATCTGGTTGTTGGTTGACCAACCTTATAACCGACCGGTTTAAAAGAAAAGGGTTAACCGACCATCGTTTTGTTGTAATGGTCGGCTCGTGATTTACCCGAATATTGATATAAGCTCTCGACGGGACGACGGCGAGTATGGAGTTCATTGAGAGGAGAGATGTCTGGAGTATGGAGGAAGCTGTCGAGTGACTGTAGAGCTGCGCAGCCATGGCGAACAATCACTTCCCGCTCTTCATCTTCCTCCTCAGCCAATATATCGGCTGCCGTCGACTCCATGTTGTTCCGCTCCCTCAAGGAGCACTACCTCGACGTCTCCAAGATGAACCCTCCGCCGGTAAACAAACGAAATCCCTAATCTTTCATCTCCCCCTCCTTTTGATTTCGCCAAAATTGAATATGGTCGTTGTCGTTGTTGGCGCAGAAAGTGAGCCCTCCGTCGGGCTTCACAGTGCTGAAGGGGGCGCTGGATGGGAGTAACGGCCCTGTGCTCAGTCGGAGTTACGGCGACGAAGAAATCAGTGTATCTGTTATGAGGTTGTCCACCATAGTGCCCGGAGGCGGCGGCGGCGATGGAGAGGAAGAGGATGATATCAATCAGCTGTTTGTTCATGTGGATGTCTCCAAACCTGACCAGCACAAGTCTCTGAATTTCCTCTGCGGACTGTATCCTGATGCCCTGGGTATTCACTCTGTTTCGTTGAGGCCCAAGCTTGAAGCTTCTGGCTTTTTTGAGCTTCCATCCACGTACAATGGCCCGGTTTTCGGGTGAGTTTTCCTCTCTGTATCTACAAGGTTTGCATCCATCTTGTGCTTTAGTTTGTGTGATTAGTATAGAGGTGGAGAACTCGTCGTGAGTAGGGATGCTTGAGCTCACAGAAATGTTTCTTGATTCTCAATTGACTTTGAACATGCTTTTTTAGATCGGACATTGTTTCTGGTGCAGTGATCTGTTTGAGGCTTTTTCATTTTCATGGTGGTCTGTTCTGGTGAATCCTAAACTGACATTTTTATGATTGTTGGTGTCTACTGCTAATTTGCTTCCACTATAAGTAATCCAACCTTCTTTGTCATCATCGTCATCGTGGTGGGATTTGCTTTCGTTGTTGAATTATTCGTCATGTTCAACTGTTTGCAGGGACCTGGATCAGAAGATGAGAGATGCATTCCACGACTACATCGACGAGCGAGGGGTGAACGAAGATCTATTTGCTTTTCTTCAAGCCTGGTTGTATGTGAAGGATCACAGGAATCTGCTGCGTTGGTTCAAGACAGTGGGTTCGCACATTAAGGAAAAATCGGTCACAGAAGATAACATAGGCGCTGGAATTAGCATGTAGCAGGTTTAGTTAAAAACATAAATGAGTGAGTGAGTGGTTGATTTACTGATGAGTACTACTCCCAGTTAGTATCATTTTGGAACTGCTCTTCTTGTATACGACGGCATTGATTATTACAGAATGTTGTTTCGATCATAAAATCACACGAAGCTGAAACTGAAACTGAAACATATCTGGCTTCAGAAGCCAGAGAAATTGCAGTACATGAACATGACACTACATAAACAGCTTATTGCCACCCTGCCACCTAATAACATCAATGGTGGTGGTGATGGAACAACAAGAAGTGGGGCATTTGTGGACTCCAAGCTGCTGCACCAATCTCCAAGTTAGTCACAGTGGCTTGGACGTGCACCACGAGTCAGCGAGACCAAGCTTTTCTACGTCATTTCCAAATAATTTCTAGTGTTTTTGTGCTTTAGCAAGGTGCAAACAGAAAACTGCTAAACTCCAGAGTTGGCGGTCTCCCAAGATGCTAATGCTACTGTCCCTGGTAAAGGGTTGCTGCTACTGCTGGTGATGGTTTTCGGCCCGGATGCAATCAGACCCTTGTTTATTTGACTCTGCAACACAATGATGACGTCGTTGCTTATAGTTGATTCCGAGCATAACAAAATGCCAACAGAAGCTGGTGCAAAGCAGTACTTGTATCCAACTCTCTTCAAATCATACAGCATATTCGAGTAAAGATGTGCAGCAACTACCATTGCCAGGTAACCGTTGGTCTGTGAACGATAATTAGAAAAAGAGTTGGTTCAACGGATGGTCACCTTTCGATGATAAGTCAGAGCTACCAACACAAAGTAAGCCTTTTTGTTGCATCAGTCAGACAGTCACATGAAATCACCTGCAAGTGTCAGTTTGAAATTTAGGAAGCTTGCAAAGAGCAGCAGCATAAAGCAAGGGTTCTGGACTGGAATTGACACCGGGCAATTATCAGAATGAGTGATTTCCTGTGGAGGGAACTAAGAGAAGTGATTTCAATCGGGTAAACATAATTTCAAAAGATTAATCAAGATAACAATAAATGTCAAACAGAACTGCTAAGTAGTACCTGTACTTGACAACACACGAAAATCTTCAGTGTTCAACATTTTCATCAATTTCTTTAAAAGGCAGTTTACCAGTGCCATTTGGTTCCGTGATCTGGGAACTTGACCATAAGGATCAAATGGTTTTTCTTCATTGAATTGCAATTCCTTCATCACTACGAGATTGCAATGCGTGGCCCTCCTGCTGGAACACCCCCATCCTAGTTTGTTCATTAGCTTCAACATCAGTACGTCCCTCTCCAAGGAAGCCTCATAATTTCGAGAGTAGGGGTGCCTCTTCACAAAGGGGGATCTCAGTGACCAGGCTTAGTGGCTTTTTACCTACACAAATCCTCCAACTTGTCCACCTTGCTCACTTCTCTGATTGTCCAATTCAACATTAATAGAACAATCAGAGCACAACAACAATGATCAAAGAGGGGAAACAACCAAATTACAGAAGATAAGCCAGCTAGGAAGAACACACATACTTTTAAATTGAATTAACATTCAGAAGTGTAGTTTGAGGAAGATCCATCCTTTCAGGCTTCAGCAATGCGTCCTTCTGAGAGAACAGGAGAAAAGGCACACCAAGACGCATTATAATTTATACGTTAAGCTTTCTAACCAACAGCGAAGCTGATAAGCTTCATTAATTGGTTACTTAATGCTACAACAGAAGATATAGAGTTAGGAAATGCATGATTAAGGTCATTAGCGTGTACAATTAAGTAGTCCAAGTTGTTAAATCCACGATCAGATCATATTTGGAGATCTAAAATAAATATTTATCTGTTGCCTTGGTTTACCAGATTGACTTACAATTCATACTCAGCAGTTGTTCTATTTTCCTTGCAGAGTTTCATTGTCTAATTTGACAACCAAAACTTAAAACCATTGGAGCACCTTCCTTTTCAATGCTGATCATAGTATAAAAGAAAATATATAATAACTTAGATAAACTTTACCTCATTAAAGAAGGGGCGAGCTCTTGTGCAAGAGAGAATCCTGAAGTGATCAAGGAACAAACAAACATTAGACTGTATTAGCTGAAAGACACTAGAGAGTTGAATAATAAAACTTGATCTTGACACAAAACAACAATTAAACATGTTAACTGCTCTAAACTTCACTCATATAAAAAGTGTTAACTACTCTTATTTCGAGGAAGCCGCTTTCCAAAATACTAGAACCGATTGATTATAAACACACCTTGAAGTCGTGCATTAATCTGCAATATGAGAATCATCACAGGCAACCTGTCAACTGCAATTGCCTCCCCTTGAAAATGCAATGCACCATGAGATTTAGTCGGATGTATTTCAAGGCCTGCCGTACTTCATCCCATCTCCAAGCCACTACTCATGGGACCGACATTTCAAGTCTTTCAAAATACCATGGTTCCACGCAGACTTGAAAATGTCATCAGGCCGTAATTGATTATCAAACATTTTGTCACGAAGAGCTGTAGCACCAGCTACATCTCCAACATGAAAGTATCCACACAAAAGAGCCGTGTATGTAACAGTGTCAGGTTGTAGCCCTCTATCAATCATCTCTTGGAAAAGTGTTACAGCATCCTTGAACTTATTTGTTTTGCAGCGATCGTCTATCAAAACAGTATAAGTAACAGCATCAGGCGTTATATCCATTCCCTTTAGTTCATTCAGAAGTATTGAATGTTCCGCATTATTGCTGCTGATTCCCATAGCCTTCTTCCTGGACCTTATTTTCAAGGCCCCGTCGAGCAAAACTGTGTATGTGATAATATCTGGTTCAAGCCCTTTATTCTTCATATCATACAGAAGAGTACATGCCTCTCTCTCGCAATTGACCCTGCAATAACCATTTATCATCATTGTGTATGTCATCATATCAGCACTTAGCCCTCTGCTGACAAGAAGGTCAAACACATATTGGGCCTTTTCCATTTCTCCGGCACGAGAAAGCATCCCTATAGCTTTGCTGCACATAATGTTAGAATATTCAGCACCTAGAGCTAACACTGTCTGAACCAACTGAATAGATTTCTCAACATCGTGTTCCATACTGGAAAGCAGTTTCAAGCAAGAACGTTTCTTCAGTGTATATCCTTTTTCAGTCAGAGAAATGAATAGTTCAAAAGCTTTCTCTAAGTTTCGTGCTGAGCAATATCCGTTAACCATGGCATTAACGATATCCAAATTCTGGTCTTTCAAGTAAGAAAATAAAGCTTCAGCATCCTCCAAGTTGCCTCCAGTGCATAGCCCTTCAATGATGACACTGTATGTGTCATTGTTAGGTTTAATATCATGGTCTTCCATGTACTGTAACAAATTGTTGACTTCTTGTGTCAGACCTAATCTAGAGAAACCAGAAGCGATTACATTATACGTGACAATATCAGGGATAACCCCATTTTCCTTCATCCCTTTGAATATGTTTAGGGCCTCATAAGGTTTTCCTTCATCCAAATAACCACCAATGACAGTTGTATAGTTAACAATGTCAGGAACAAGATGCTTATCTTTCATCTCGGCAAGCAATTCAATGGCCGCATCCATGTTGCCTAACTTGCAGCAGGCATTCATCACTATATTGTAGCAAACCTTGTCAAGGTAAATACCCATCCTCTTACATGTCTCGAAAAAACTTAGAAGGTTAGAACCCTTGCCTGCTTGAGACCAGCCCTGAAGAATTGAGGTGACTATCATACAATTTGTTTTCACACCTTCTGACAACATGTCATCATGAAGAGATACGGCATCAAGTACATTCCCATCCCTGCATAACCCACAAATAATAGCACCATAAGCATACACATTGGGAGCAAACCCCTGCCTTTTCATCTCAACTAGTACATCCACAGCCTCTTTAAGTTTCATCTGCTTACAGAACCCTCGAATCACAACTGCATAAGCAAACTCATCAACTGGAAGCTTAGCTTCGACCAGAAGTTGAAGCGCTTTATAGCCCGAATCCGGGCTGTTATGAGTACACAACCCTTCAATATAAGTTGAGTAGGCAAACGCATTTGGAGCCATCCCAAGATCTTCCATTGTCTGGAAAACAGACAATGCCTGGTCCAAGCAACCTTTTCTACAGAATGCCTTAACCGCAATCGAGCAAGTATATTCGTTAGGATGCAATCCAAAGCAATCCAACTGCATATAAATGGCCACAGCTGCATCAACCTCCCCAGACTCAATCAACCGGTTCATGAGATAATTACACGTCAAAATGCTCGGCTTAAACCCTAACTGGTTAACACAGAAAAGAACATCGATTGCCTCATCAAACATTGCAACCACTGCATGAAGTTTAACCAGGACATCCGACACTTTCGAAACAACCTTGGCACAATCAACATCACAACCATCAGACAAAGCTTCCAGCAAACCCGAAACAGCGAAATCCCGCTCCCTCTCGTTGTTGACGAGTTCAGAAAGCATGGAATTCAATTTCCTATCCAAATTCCAGAAACACAATATCCTAATCATAGCAGCATAAGTATACACATCATGAACAAACCCGCCTCGTTTCAGTTGATGGAAGAAAGAAAGTGCAAGGAAAGGCTCCTTCCTCATAACATGCAAACGATGGCGAACTCGGCTGCAGTCCAGCTCCACCGAACTACCCAAATCGTCTGTTTGTTGATGAGCATCAACTGTTGCTGGTTCCTCCAAAACCGGTTCTGACCCGGTCGGACTCCGCCGGAAAAGCGCAGGAGCAGCGTAGCATCGTCTCGGCCTCACTTGTTTGAGGAAAGTAGATGAAGAAATAAGCTTACCCGGCGACAGCCACATGGAAAGCTACACCCTTTTTACTGTGTCATGCATTCAAGCTCGGAGCATCTTTCAGCGGTGGCCGGAGAAACTCACCGGCGAGAGGGGGAAAGCAAACTGAAACGGGAATGTAGAATGTTCAACCCTAAATTGCTCTGCAATTAATTAAACGACGCCGCATCAGCTACTTAACTTTATTTTTTGGTTTTTGTTTTGTTTTGTTTTGTTTCCCTCTCCTTTTCCGAAGAAGCGGCTGAAGGTATTCTATAAAGCCGCAGGCCGTAGCAGAGAACGAACCACTCGCAGACTTTCAGCGACTCGCCCGAGCGGGAAAATATTGTCGGAAGTTAGGGTTTTCGCGACTCGGCGTTAGTCGGATTCGCTTGGGATTTCCTCCAATTGGGCTGCTCTGCTTACTTTCTTCTTCCAGCCTCGTGTAGGTTTCAGCGAGAGAACACAGACCGTCAAGATGAGGATTATGATAAAGGGCGGGGTGTGGAAGAACACCGAGGATGAGATCCTTAAGGCGGCGGTTATGAAATATGGGAAGAATCAATGGGCTCGCATATCTTCGCTTCTCGTTCGTAAATCCGCGAAGCAGTGTAAGGCTCGGTGGTACGAATGGCTGGACCCATCGATCAAAAAGGTAACCGCCCTCTCTCCACTTCGCGCCTTCTGTCTTCTTTCTTAAACTTGGTTTGTTGAGATTTTTTATGGGTGAGAGTTTAAGACGGATGGGTATTTGATGTCCTAGATTACTGCATTGTTCAGAGTGTGATATCAATTCTGAACACTGCTGTGTATGGGTCTGATGGTAGGTTGATTTGATTATTGCAGACTGAGTGGACCAGAGAAGAGGATGAGAAACTGCTCCATCTTGCTAAGCTCATGCCCACACAATGGAGAACAATTGCACCCATTGTTGGCCGTACTCCGTCCCAGTGTCTCGAAAGATACGAGAAGCTCCTTGATGCTGCCTGTGTTAAGGATGATAACTATGAACCCAATGACGACCCTCGCAAGCTGCGTCCCGGGGAAATTGATCCGAATCCTGAATCTAAGCCGGCACGTCCAGACCCTGTTGATATGGATGAGGATGAGAAGGAAATGCTTTCTGAAGCAAGGGCCCGGTTAGCCAACACCAGGGGAAAGAAGGCCAAAAGGAAAGCCAGAGAAAAACAGCTTGAAGAGGCTAGGAGGCTTGCTTCCTTGCAGAAAAGAAGAGAACTTAAAGCGGCTGGTATTGATGTTAGGCAAAGGAGGAGGAAAAGGAAGGGGATTGACTATAATGCTGAAATTCCCTTTGAGAAGAGGCCTCCTCCTGGCTTCTATGATGTTGCTGATGAAGATACAACAGTAGAACAACCTATGTTCCCTACTACTATTGAAGAACTTGAAGGGAAACGAAGGGTTGATGTAGAAGCGCAATTGAGAAAGCAGGACATAGCAAAGAACAAAATTGCTCAGAGGCAGGATGCTCCAGCTGCCATCCTGCAAGCTAACAAGCTAAATGATCCTGAAGCAGTTAGGAGGAGATCAAAGCTTATGCTACCTGCACCGCAGATTTCTGATCATGAATTGGAGGAAATTGCAAAAATGGGCTATGCTAGTGATCTCATTGCTGAGAGCGAGGAACTAACAGCAGGGAGTGGTGCAACACGTGCACTTCTTGCGAACTACTCCCAGACACCTCATCAGGGAATGACGCCGTTGCGCACCCCACAGAGAACTCCTGCAGGTAAAGGTGATGCCATCATGATGGAGGCAGAAAACCTTGCTCGGTTGAGAGAGTCACAGACTCCATTATTGGGTGGAGATAACCCTGAATTGCATCCCTCAGATTTTTCTGGTGTGACTCCTAGGAAACGGGAAATTCAAACTCCAAATCCCATGCTGACTCCTTCTATGACTCCCTCAATGACTCCTTCTATGACTCCAGGAAGGGCCAGTGTTACTCCTAGAGTTGGCATGACACCTTCACGTGATGGATACTCTTTTGGTATGACTCCAAAGGGGACACCCATCAGGGATGAACTCCATATAAATGAAGACATTGATATGCATGATAGCGCTAAGCTTGAGCGGAGAAAGCAAGCTGATCTGAGGGAGAATTTGCGAGCTGGTCTTAGTAATTTGCCACAGCCCAGGAACGAATACCAAATTGTTGTACAACCACCTCCAGAAGAGTCGGAGGAACCAGAAGAGAAGATTGAAGAGGATATGTCCGATAGGATGGCCAGAGAAAAGGCTGAGGAGGATGCACGGCTGCAGGCATTGCTTCGGAAGAGATCAAAGGTGCTGCAGAGGGAGCTCCCAAGGCCCCCTGCTGCTTCTTTGGAATTGATTAGAAGTTCTCTGCTGAGAGCTGATGGAGACAAGAGTTCGTTTGTTCCTCCAACGGTGATTGAACAAGCTGATGAACTGATAAGAAAAGAGCTTCTACAATTATTAGAGCATGATAATACGAAGTATCCACTTGATGAGAAACCAAATAAGGATAAAAAGAAAGGTACCAAGCGTTCAGCAAATGGCCCTGCTGCCCCTATACCTGTCATAGAGGATTTTGAGGAAGATGAGCTACAAGCGGTAAGCATTTCATCTTGTGTGCATTGAATATTTCGTCTTTGTATTACCATTCCTGCACTTAGGGTAAGTAGATGTACTTATTTGATTCCGATGGTAACTTTTCTAAATCGAGATATGTGATTGTGTGGTGATATTTACTGTTATTAAAATTGTTTATTTGGGCTGTATAGACACTTATGTAGAGGAAGCCAAAGTTGCAATGTATCATATCATGCTGCTGGCATTCTGTATTTAATTAGTGCATTCATCTCTCCGTCAACCAAGTTTGTGGCTGATTGGGTTTCATGTTGGTGCTTTGACTGTATTTCTTGAGTAACACTTTTAATGATCATGCTATTGCAGGCCGACACTTTGATAAGAGAAGAGTCTGAATATGTACGTGTCGCAATGGGGCATGAGGGTGAGTCTCTTGAAGAATTTGTTGAAGCACACACAACTTGCCTGAATGATTTGATGTATTTTCCTACTCGGAGTGCTTATGGTCTTTCCAGTGTTGCTGGAAATATGGAGAAATTGGCTGCCTTGCAGTTTGAATTTGAGAATGTCAAGACAAGGTTGGAGGCTGAAAGAGAGAAGGCATTACGCCATGAAAAGAAAGTGAATGTTCTGACTCAAGGTTATCAGGTACGAGGGATTGCTTCCGGAATTGTCCATCTTTTGCTCTGGACTGAGAAACACCAATGTCTTACTTGTTGGTTGCCTGCCTTTTCCTTCTGCTGACATGGTTTAACAGTTTAGGTAGTTTTCTGATATCGTGCTGGCTTGCTGATGTGGTTTTTGCTTGAGTTGGAATGGATCTGTGGATTTGTTGCACCGCATGCAATTTTTTGTGTTAAGAACTTTCTGTAAACTTTGACCAAGTTCTAGACGACTTGGAGTAATAGGGAAATAGAGGAAGAGGAACTTCGCCTTTTATATTGCTGTGTCCTCATTAAGAATGTTCCCCCTTCTGCAACTGCTTGAAGGTTACAAGTAGCACATGATTCTGTTTGTGAATATCTATCTCTTCCTTTCTCTTGTAATTGGGTGTTTGTATATTGCCTTAAACCTGATAACCTGCTTGTCACCCATTGTTTGTTTCCTATTTGGGCATGACTGGCAAAATTGGATTGGAATTTGTTGTGTATTTGTGTTTGCTGCAACCAAATTGTTCTGCAGTTCTACTTTTGATTGTGCACTAAATATGTTTGGCGTTTTTTAATGATCAGATACGTGCTGAAAGGCAGCTTATGCCACCAATCGACTCAATCTTGAAGCAAATAGACATTGCTGGAACGGAATTGGAATGTTTCCAAGCATTACAAAAGCAGGAGCAGTTAGCTGCATCACATAGGATTAATAGTCTGTGGGAGGAGGTACAGAAGCAGAAGGAGCTGGAAAAAGCTCTTCAACAACTATATGGAGATCTTGTCTCCGAGTTGGAGAGGACGCAGCTGCTTGTCAAACATTACAGAGAACAGGCCAAACAAGAAGAGATTGATGCTAAGAAACGTTCGATTGAACTGGCCACTACTGTTCAAGATGATGCCATGGTAGATGCTGAAATATCCGAGCAGCCGGTGCCAACAGATGGTCCTGTGCCCATCAGTTCTTCAACTTGTGATGAAATTGCACCACCTCCAGAGACCGATCCGGCTCAAGAACATCTCACTGCAGATTATAAACCCGGCATGGATGTTGAGTCTGGGACAATAAGTGGAGATGTCATCTCATCTGATGATGCAAATGCAGAACTAGTCGCCAGCACTGGCGTTGATGATGGTACAATGAACCCTGAGGTTGGTGTAAAGCGGGGTTCAATTTCTTCAGACCAAGGCCGAGTCCCAAGTGCCGAAGTTGAAGAACACAAGGGAGAAAGGGATGAGAATGTTGTGAAGGCGAATGTGGAGGACGTTACCATGTCTGAATAAGCAGCGGACAAAGCCGGATGGAGAAGGAGAGCCATAAGATCTTATTGCAGAAGAAGAGTGAAGCTTGGAATTGCATGGAACCTAGCATCCCTGTACTTCATCAGCGAGAACAATCATGAGAGTGAAGCCGTAGAGCCTCAATTGTCTAGGTGATAGGGGTGGGCACTCGGTTCGGTAAACCCGAACCGGACCGAACCGAACCGAGCTTAAACCGAACCGAAACCGAACTATTGTTATTCGGTTCGGAATTCGGAAAGGAAATCTGTATAATTCGGAAATCATGGTTCTTTTGACCGAACCGAGATTCCGAATGCCGAACCGAAAAACCGAAATACTGCCTAAGCCCACATATTACTATCCATTCTTCAAGCCCACTCTCTCACTCCCATAGCCCAACTACCCAAATCACTCACAAACTCACACTCACAAAGCCCAAACTTCTCCCACTCACGGCAAAACCCAAACTTCTCTCATACTAATTGCTAAACCTAGATCAAAATTTCAACACCCTCCTCCTTGTTATTCAGCGGCGGCCACTTTTATCAAGCCTCTGATTCCTCTCCCACAAGTCACAAGATCTAGAAACCCACCAGCCCCTCCTGTCGCCGCCGCCGCAGCATCTTTGAAATCTGCCTCGCCACTGCCGCTGTCTCTTCCTCGCCCCTATTCTCCGTCCGTCGCCGCAACTGGTTTATTCTCCTCCTTAATCAAAAGTTGAGACGATGCAACTGAAAACTTGAAGGAGAAAAACAAACAAAAAATGCCATGCATGCTCGGATCTGAATCTAACCTCCCTCCTTCTAACCAAACCAAATGCCGCCATCCCTCCAATCCGTCGCCTTGCTCTGCTCTACTCCCATCTGGCCAATGAACGCTGACGCCGACAACAGCCATCCCTCCAATTCGAACCGATGCCCACCCCTAATCTAGGGAGCATATTCTTAGTGGGAGTCTGGGAGATAGATGATAGAGATTAATTGAGAGAAAATCAGGGGAGTAGATTTTGGGGAGATAGAGGAGAGATGAGAGAGAGAGAGATTGATTGATGGGGAACAGATTGTGAGTGGGGAGATGGAGAGACGAGAGAGAGATGGGAAGGATAAATCTGTGGGGAGAGAGAGGGAGATAAAGGGAAGTCTTCCATAATTTCGGTTTTGACTGAAAATCCGAACCGAACCGAGTTATATTTCGGTTCGGACAAACCGAACCGAAATATAACTCGGTTCGAATTCGGTTGGAGTATTAAGCATTTCGGAAAATCGGCATATACTAGTTCGGTTCGGTTCAAACCGAACCGACCGAACGCCCACCCCTACTAGGTGATATATAATACGGTTACCCTTGAAACACTTGGATCGGAAAGGTGCTCCTAGGTTGTTTCCTTAGGGATCTGGAGATGAATTGTGATGGAACTTTGTTCTGTTTTGAACACAGATTGACGAGGAAAAGATGTGAGATTTTAGGTACCTGTTTTGGTCAGTTGAGGAACTTATCTGTCTTTATCATCCAAGAGGATGTTTCAATCTTCCGTTTATATCACAGGTTTAGCTAGTCGTATTTGGTTTGATTAGGGGTACTACTAGTTTAATGTTGATTTTGACAAGAACATACGAAGAAGTGATCAACCATGTAAACTACACTAATCTTAGCCAAAAGGTATAGAAAGGTATGATCAACCATTGTACACTAAATGACTTGTGTATTTGAATAATCTGTTTTAAAACAAACTACACTAATTAATAAAATGTGTTTATTAATTAAAAACATGATTTCATGAAAGAATTATATTTGTATGCTAAATATAAAATATGCTGGGGAAAATAATAATAATTTTTAGAAAATATACATATACATGTGTATAATCAGTTGGGTTCGAGTTGGATAGTGCGAAAACCATGCCCACTCATCCCCGCAATATTTGGGTTCGGAGTTTACCCGTACCCACTGAAAATTCTTTGGGTTCGGGTTGTACCCTACCCGATTAGATCGAATTCGATTATATTTTTGCCATCTCTATTTCTTAATCTTTTAATGAAAATAAAGAATATTTTTAATATTTTACATATGAGTTACATACCCATTGGGTCAACTTGCCCCCGATTCACGCCCCATGATAAATTACCTGACCTAGACACGACCTGTCATGGGACCTGCCCCATTGCTATTCCAAGTTTTGATTATCGCTTCGTACTAGACTACTAGTATCTTTTAGTTTTTCTTTCCAATAGTAGTTGAACCTGATTGTACCGACCGACATACTAGTGACTTGACAACCATAAGTGTTACCTATATAAAATGTGTTATTCACAAATGAGAAGTTTGTATAAAGTTAGGGTTAATTGCATGGTTGGGAGACGGGAAGATCACGAGCTGAGGAGAGTGTTCCAGATGTTCGACAGGAACGGGGACGGGAAGATCACGAGGAAAGAGCTGAGCGACTCGCTGCAGAACCTGGGGATCTACATCCCGGAGGGGGACCTGACGCAGATGATCGAGAAGATCGACGTCAACGGCGACGGCTTCGTCGACATGGACGAGTTCGGGTAGCTCTACCAGACCATCATGGACGAGCGGGACGAGGAGGAGGACATACGGGAGGCATTCAACGTCTTCGACCAGAACGGCGACGACTTCATCACCGTCGACGGGATGGTCAATTTCAAGGAGTTCAAGCAGATGATGAAAGGGGGTGGATTTGCGGCTTTGAGTTCCACTTAGATTCATAATTGCTTCCTCTTCTCTTCTTTTCAATTGATGAAAGGGGGTGGAGCGCGATCTTCGAACAACTCCCCGGCTCTCGTCGCCATTTTCTTGGTTTCGGTGGTTTGGAAATTGGAATTGGGTTTGGGAAATTGAGGAGTGGGTGGTGTTTGAAGAGATATGGGGGGAATTTGGTTGTTATATGGTTGAAGGAATGATGAAAGGGACAAGGACATGGGAGGAAGAAAGTTTGAGGAAATGGCGGGTGGGAACTGCGAAGGGAAGGCGCTCCACTTCAACGTCGCGGCGGAGGGACTCGGGATCGCGCTCCACTTCAACGTCGCGGCGGCGAGCTGTTGTAAACTCGGCGATCTGAACCGAGAGTCGCTGGGCTGCGAGGCAAGTGGTCGGAGATTAGCTGGGAGCAATTATAGGTTTTTTATTTTTGATGAAGGTAATAATGAGGTGGGAAATATAAAAGTTTACTTTTTTATTTTTAATAATTTTTTAATTGCCACGTCACGTATTTAACTGTCAACTGTGAAAGTTGACTGCCACGTAAGCTGGAGTTAACGGAAATAGACGGAGAGTGACCAAACTTGAATCATTTAACTAATTTGAGTGACCAAAACTGAATTTAAAAATTTTCAGTGACCAAACATGAACGTTTTTTGTAATCTCAGTGACCAACCATACAATTAATCCTATAAAGTTATGTAATAAATTCTGCTAAATGATTAGGCCCTGTTCACTTTCATTTTCGTTTCCTGTTTTCTGTTTTCATGTGATAAATTTGGCAACTGAAATGAGAAAACTTGTTTACTTTTCATTCTGTTTTCTATTCGTTTCCAACTATGAAAACAGAAAGTGGCAACTTCCTGCTGTTTTCGAAAACGACAAAATGTTGTTTTCAACATCTGTTTTCTCAAAAACAGGAAACAGAAATGAAAGTAAACAGGCCCTTAGTTGGAAGTTGGAACGCAAAATGAGGGTTGGTGCACTAAGAATTAATGGTGGGACATAAACTACTAAAGAACATAAAGGATCTGTTAAGCAAACTGGTCGAACTTTGATGATCCAAAAAGAGAAGTCTCTATTGTTTAGGGACTAGAGAAAGAGCACCTAAATTTGAGGGACCATGTCGGGAAATAAACTCTCGAATTTACTGACGCATTAATTCTTTTTCATTTTTTATTTTCATAATCCTGCATTAAAGCATAAAGCTCGTCTTCTTCCTTCCACTCCACAGTCTCTCTCTCTCTCTCACAGTGATGCCATTCTCCACTCCCCTTTTTCTCCTCCTCCTCCTCCAAACCTCATCTACGCCACATCCGCTTCCTCCCCTCCGCCTCCGCCTCTAGCATTTCCCCTTCCCCTTTTCGCCGGAATCCATGGCGTCGTCTTCCCCAATCGTCTACTCTTCCACCCTCCTCCTCTCCCTCGCCCTCATCTTCATCTTCGCCCCCGAAATCCTCCCTTCCCAAAACCCTTTCTTCTCCCCTCACGACGACCACGACGATCTCGCACTCTTCAACAAAGCCCTCCGCTCCGCCTCCTCCGTCCACGGCCGCGGCCACCGCCGCCTCCGAATCTCCCGCCTCGCCACCAAAAACCCTACCCCCAAAATCGCCTTCCTCTTCCTCACCAACTCCAATCTCACCTTCGCCCCTCTCTGGGACCGCTTCCTCCGCGGCCACGCCCACCTCTACAACATCTACGTCCACTCCGATCCCTTCTCCGCCGTCCAGATTTTCCCTCCCCCTTTCGAATCGCACCTCATCCCCAGCAAGAAGACAGAGCGGGCTTCCCCTTCCCTAATCGCCGCCGAGCGGCGGCTCCTCGCCAGGGCGATTCTCGACGACCCGTTCAATCTCTATTTCGCCCTAATCTCCCAGCACTGCGTCCCTCTCCACTCGTTCCCCTTCCTCTACCGCTCGTTATTAGGGGAAAACCCACTCAGGGCTTTCACCTCCCAGCCTCGCCACCGGAGCTTCATCGAGATCCTCTCCGACGACCCCAACCTCCCCGAGCGGTACGCCGCAAGGGGGGACGGCGTGATGCTGCCGGAGGTGCCGTTCGAGGAGTTCCGGGTCGGGTCGCAGTTCTTCGTGCTCGCCAAGCGACACGCGCTGCTCGTGCTGGCGGACAGGAAGCTGTGGAGGAAGTTCCGGCTCAAGTGCCTGAATCTGGACTCCTGTTACCCGGAGGAGCACTACTTCCCGACGCTCCTGTCCATGGCGGACCCCGAAGGGTGCAGCCGCTTCACCCTGACGAATGTGAACTGGACGGGGAGCTTCGACGGGCACCCGTATACCTACGAGGCGGCCGAGATCTCGGCGGGGTTGGTTCGGAGGTTGAGGCGGTCCAATTCCAGCTACCCTTATTTCTTCGCTCGGAAGTTTTCGCCGGAATGCCTGCCGCCGCTGATGGATATTGCCGAGGACGTTATTTTCCGGGACTGAGTGCATCGGCAAATTGGGTAAGTAATTCAAATTAAACTGAATTTTCTTATTTATTTATTTATTTATTTCTGATAAATTCTTTGATGATTTCTTTAATCTGTGTATATTATTCCACTCCATTAACAATTTGCCAGTGAAAATTAGCCGAGTTAGAATGACCTAGCTAGGCTGAGTTCGACTCAGGATTCGAATCGCCGATTCTGTCGTCAGTTTGTGGGCAATTTAAGTGGTGGATTTGGTATTCATTAAATCGTGTAGTTAATTAGATAACAAATGCTCCTCAATAATGGTGTGCTAAAGTCCAGGGAGAGACGTTCTAAGTTCTAATGAGATTTGTTGAGAGGGGTTTTAGGGTAAAATCTTGGATCTTTACAAAAATTTGGGTCTTCCCCTTGACATTGAATTAAATTAAATACATGAAAGGGAATATTGTTTGCTTGTTTGATTCCTTTTTGGTAATGTACCAAGTGGTTGTGGTTTGTATATGTGATGAATGACGAATAGGGTATGAAACCAGAAGAAGCGAAAAAGAAACTGTCGATCGAAAAGACGTGATAGTAAGGACAAATTGTAGTTTCTCTTCCAAAAAATATTAACGAATATGTAGTCCAGCGGTACCTTATCAGTGGAGGATAGTGCTCGAGTCGAGTGTTCTAGTCCTAACGACTCGCTTACAAAAACTCGTAAGTTGAACTCGGGCCCGGGTGGGTTTTAGGTTTAGTGTCGGTCGGAGTCGGACTAGTTTTAAGTTGAACGCCACCAGATGCAAATTGTATGGAGGAAAGGAGTAGACATAGCGTGCATTGTGATGTGATGATATATATATTTTCGAATGTGAAAGAAGGAGAAATGGTGGTGGGTGTATACCATGATATCACTATATAGTTGTCTTTATCGGCTGTATCTGACTTTGAGTGAAGTAGCAGAAGAGAAGTGGGGAAATTGGGTGAGGTTAGTCAACTAACAAGACAACATATTGTTTGTTATTATCCATTGCTTGTGAGAGAACCCAATCTTATCTGGTTCTTGTAACTATGTTGGTCTGATGACGAATGGCTTGATGTTCCAAGCAAAGCTAGGAATAGGAAGCAAAAGCACGCTAACGAAATCAGGAAATGGGTTTCATTTTTTCATTCTGAGCCGTGTTGCTTTTCTATTTAGGGATATCTGAATGACCATCACTAGAGTTCAAGCAAGCTATATAATAATGGTAATATGAATCGAAGGCTCTACAGTCTACTCAAAGAATATATAGTGTTGGTCCTTCTTTAGCGTGATGCCTTTCTTTATCTTCTTTAGACTTTAGAGAGAAAAAAGAAGAGGGTAGAGAGAGAGACACTGATGGATGGTGATCTCTGATCTCTCTGTGTTTGTGGGGTTGCCCTTTTGACTACCTACCAATACATTACATTAACAAAAGTGAAAGATTCCCTAATCTTTGCTTTTGGTAAGAGGGAGGCATCATCCTTTCGGTGCTTAATTATATCTTTGATATCATATGGTTTTTCTTCTTTTCCTCAATGCATCATATCGTAAGAATGCTACCAAAAGTGCAATGGAGGTTTTGTCACGTGATGAATTTTATGTTTTTATCTTGATCTGATCTGATCTGATTTGATCTAATCAGTATGTTATTAATTTATCTGTCTTTGTTACTTGTGGTGTAGGGAGTCGTAGCCATTATAGTTAGCAGGTGGGTTGGTGTTGGCGGCAACAGAGCAGAGTATGAGAGCTGAGAAAGGAGTCTCTGCTCTCTTGGTCTGGCGTTTTCCTTTTGTTATCTGCTTACTACTGCTGCTGCAACTAGTAGTTTTGCGTTGCTGTGGAGGAGTGTGGAGGAGGAGCAGTCAGCAGAGAAAGAAGAGCAGAGTTTTGGGTTTTGAGATGAGGGTTCCTCCCCCCTCTTTCTCTCTTCCAGCCATTGTAGAGTAGAATTATGAATGGGGCTTTAAAGAAAGTTCACATTCTATGTACTTTTTCTGTATATCAGAGGGGGAAACTAGTTTGTCAATGATGATGTTGTATATAATGCCCAGTCCACCAGCTAAAGTGGCTAAGGTGGGCCTGCAACTTGTATTGTTTGTTGGTAATGGAGAATGCCTCATTCTCAGTATTATGTATTTGCTTTGTGGGTTTTCCTTTACTTGAGGGATCCTTTGTTGGATGTTAAAGACACAACAGACTCTGAAGGGGATGTCAATTAACCTTTTGTACAGATGAATCAGAATTTAGAACATGCACCTCTCAGAAGATTGAAGGTCTTGTTTTGTTTTGCCATCTCAGTCATGATGAAGATGTATGTTTATGTTTATGTCTAGCCTGCTGCAAAATCCCCTATATATGAACTATTTGATTTAGTAATAACAAAGAAACTTCATTTTCCTGCTGCAAAGTAGCAAGTACAGGACCAGGAAGCAGACCTCTTTCTGCAGAGGATCCTTGTCCAGGTATTGCTCTGGTTCGACATTTTCTATTTCAATTTCCGGACAAGAGGTTAAACAATGTGAATTTTACAGGGTGAGATCCAAGGTTCGACTGAAACAAAACTAAGCTAACTCCGATCGACGGAGGAGTTCACTTCAATTGAACGGGATAACAACATCCCCGATGTTCTTGTGCCACGGATCCGCCAAATGGGTCGCCAAATTCTCCAGCGGGCCGGTCCCCGGGTACGCCGACTGCTGCACGCAGAACCCGACGAACGCCAACAACGCCAGCCGGCCGTTCTTGATCTCCTTGAGCTTGTACTCCTCGAGCTTTTTCGGGTCTTTCGAGAACCCGAGCGGGTCGAACGCCCCGCCGGGGTACTTTCTCTTCTCCGGGTCCTTCTCCATGCTCCGCTGGTGCTCCACGAACGCAATGGACAAGAACTCGATCACCAGTATCGTCGGCAGGGTCCCCCACGGCACCGGCTGACCCAAGTAGCTCGCCTGACCGCCCGGCACCGCCGCCCACGACTGCGCCTGCACCCAGTTCCCCAGCCCCAATGCCTCCGGGACCAGGATCCCCGGGACGGCGAGCATCGCCCATCTGCAGTGGATCAGCTCCGACTCCTTGAACCGCTCCAGGTTCTCCGGGACGGTGCCCAGTCCGAGCGGGTCGAACCCGAAGTCACTGCATTGTATCGTGTATATATATCAGAGATCAATTCAATCAAAGTTCAGAGCTTTGATCTGATTAATTCATTCTTATGGAGGTAACTAATAATCGAACCAATGGGAAATTGGGAATTTGTTTCCGTACCCGGGAGCAGAGCCGTCGAGGTGGGCGGGTCGGGGCTGGCCGGGCATCCATTCGGCGGACATGACGACCCGGCCGGAGGAGGCGACGGCGGGGAGAGGAACAGAGGAGGCGAATTTGGACCTGGAGGAAGAGAGGAGGGACGGGAAGGCGATGGCGAGGCCGCCGCCGCCGCTCATCGCGGAATTCGCCGACATCTTCCCCCCGGTGGAAATGGAAGATTGAAGAAACGAGAGAGAGAGAATGAATTGTGAGTGGCTGAAAACAGAGGGTTATGAGATGGTTATGAATGAGAATGAGGAAGAAGATGGTACGGAGAGAATCTGAAAATGGATTTGGATTGGCTAGAGGAAAGCTTACATGGGTTACGATTATTGGGCCACGTCGGATTTCCCATATCCGGGTTCGGTTCGGATTGCCTACGTGGCGTTCCCCATCCTTACTTGTGGTCGAGGTTTGCTGTCACTCATTGCTGCTCCCTGTACTGGGATAAAATCAAGTTCCTCTTTCCATAGTGAGAATAGTAGCCGGACCGGGCCGGATGGTCCGACCACTAAAGGTTACGACCGAAGATTAATCCGGCTCGCCCGTGTGCATTGAGCCATCCGGTTCGTTAGCAGTCCAAACAATTACCTGTTCAAACCGAATGACCAACTCAATGCGGTCGGTAAGTGTTTTTACTCTTGACTACTCCAACCAAAATAGAAACCAAAGAAAATCGACCAATACTAAAGCGATGAAAGACATGATGATAGTAAGGGAGAGAGAACATCGTTGTCTGAGACGTAACGTTGAAAAATCATTGATGCAGATAAATTGGAACGTACATTCACACCGCGACTCAGAAGATGGAAGGTTAGTTTTGTTTTACAATCTCACAAATCATGAAGCTTTATGAGTTTATGTCTAACCACATTATTAGGCTCCAAAGAGAAGAACAAATAATATTAGAGCAATCCAAAGGGCAGCTACTAGCTAGCCTACCATTTACACAAGTTGTCAAAACAAGTATGACTTGAATATGATTTGCACTCCACTTTTAGCTTCCAACACTCTACCCTTCATAATTAGACTTTGCAGTCAAAACAAGTAGAGTGGTTGACACTAAAACTGGAGTTGATCCTCTTCCTATGTAATGGAAACAAACATGCCAAGTGACAGATTTACAAGTATAAAAAAAAAAAACAAATGTAGAAGTATAGGAAGAACCACGAATCGAAACTGAAAACGTCGCTCTAGAAGTAGCTAGATTGGAACTGCAGGAGCTCGAGCTGGGCCAATACTTTGGCAATGGATGATTTCAACCTGGGATCACCAGTCTGGGCAAGATCAATCAGCAAAACCTGAGCAGGTCCCCCATATTCTCCCCTGAATTCCTCATTCCTGAAAATCCTCTCCAGCACCCACAAGGCTCTCTCCTGAGCCTTGACATCCTTGGATCCCAGTGCTCTCACTATTGCTTGGACCGCTGACGTTTCAGCAGCCAAAAAGCTGATTCCTTTCTCCCATATCTCGTCTTCGAGGAGAGTTGCGAGAGCAGTGAGTGCTGCTGCTGCACATCCTTCTTCTCCTGCGTCTCTCTCTCCACCTTCTTCCACTGTCAGCATCTGGATCAAGGGCCGAACAGCACCTGCCTTCACCAAGCAGAACGTGCTTTTTACGGAGCAACAGCCACCGTGAACTTTGCAAATTGTGTCTGCAGATGGAGGCATGCATTTCCACTTCGGTCTTCTCGACTTGCTGAGGGTTAGTGAGTTCTGAGACAGCTGTGCTAGTGAAGTCGCTGCGCGTTGCCTTGCCACTGAAGGAAAGCCAGGTGACAGTAGTTTCACGAGCAAGGGGATCAGGCCCAGTTCTGCTGCAAGAAGCTGCAGTTTCTTATCCGAAGGAATCGTGAAGCGAATTAATACCCCGGCAATGCTCTCTGCTAACCAGTCTCTAGTCTGTGGTGAAGTCGAGGAAGAAGAAGAAGAATTCATCACTGAGATGAGAATTGGCAGCAAGTTAGCCTTCTTAAACATCTCTGTTGCCTTCTTGTCATTGACAGGAATGTTGCTCAGGATTCCAATCGCAGCAGCCTTCTCAGTTTCGGATACCAGTGATGATGAGATCAGATTGATAATGTTGCAAAGGTGGTGGTATTCCCCTATCTGTTCCATTAATTCTTCCGCTGAATCTTTAGAGAGGGTGTAAAGGAAGTTCAAAGCGGCAGCTCTTATATTTGAGTTTGTTTCGGTCAGGAATGGCAGCAGAAGATGGATAGCGCCATTTTCTTTCATCTTCTTCCGAACTTTGGAGGCACTGGAATGGGAAGCAATGCTGTTGAGAGCTTTCAGGAGGTGACACTGAATTACTGGGCTCGATAGATTCAACAGCGAGAGCATCTGCTGAGCTGCCACATCCTGGTGTATCAGAATGGACTCAGATTCAGCGATCCTGGCAAGTATGGCTGAAGCTGGTTCTCGGAGGGTCATGAGAACAGAAGTCACCGAGAAGAGCAACTGAAGCAGAGGTACTACAATACCCGAGCTGATCAAACGCTTTATATTATCTTCAAACCTTGACAGATTGTGCAATGCGCTTAAAGCAGATAGCTTGGCTTCAAGCTTGCCAGCTTTGAACATGTTTACTAAGTGCTCTATGGCTCCATCTTCCCCAATTGAACTTCTGCTTTGATCTGTGAGCTCCATTCTGCAAAGTGCTGTTGCCATGAGAATCTTACTCATATCTGAACCTGGGACCAAAACAAACAGGATCATCATTACTGTTACACAACAGAATACCTCGAGAATTGAGAGATAAACAACTACTATTGTAACTTAGTAGTCTTTTACCTTCCTTGAGATGGTGGACCAAGGGGTAGAAGTAGCCAGCCTCAGCCATGTGAAGGGCGCTTTGGACATTGCTTGACAATGAATCCAACAGCTTGGCAGCTGCATCAGCGGAGGCTGTTGTTGTTGGATCGTCTCGATTCAGTGTCATCGCAACTAACATCACAATGCATCCCTGAACTTTCCCAATCCTTCGCCTCACCAATGAAACCTCAGACAGTTGAAGCAACAATTCCACAGCTTCCCTCCCTTCATCCATGTTCCGTGCTAACGATTGCACGAGCAATGACAGATTCCCAGCATCTCCCATCCTGTCCTGCAGACTATCACAGATTGTTAGCATCCAAGATTTAACGAAAAATATATTATCTTTTTAATCTCCTTTTGCAAATAATGTGATCAATTCACCTTGATTTCTGGATATGTCAAAGCAAGGTTTCTCAGGGTTTGAATGACAGCCAACCGAGTGTCAGCTTTACTCGAACCTACCCGATTGAACAAGATAACGAGAATCCCCTCATCATCAATCCACTCTCTATCCACCATTTCATTCCCAATCAAATTCTGCAATCCCATTATTGCAAGACGAAACTCTTCATCATTTCCATACTTGAGCTGCAAGGCAACATCCTCACTGCTGAGAGTAGCAGCACCCTGCTCTGCAATGACTGATTCTAGCTCGTTGACGACACCACTGGACTCTTGACTTGACTTCGGACTAAGATTTGCAGCAGAAAAATTGCTCTGGCTGCGGGTTGGGCTAGAACTTACACTTGTAGTACCAAACCTGCGATTCATCAGCTCCCTGTGAAGCGCTGCAACCGTCTCCTTGATCTCTATAGGAAGATCAATCCCCGCAAACAGGACAAGGCCTAAAGATCTGCCCAGATCTCGAGTCATCTCCTCAACCCGCTTAATGGGCACCACCCATCTCGACTCGCTAGCACAATTGGCGATCAAAGCCTTAGCATTTCCAAGCTCTCTGTCGAGCGATTTAATCGCTTTTCGAACCGGTTCCTTCGCCACGGCTGACTGGCTGTTTCTAATGTGGACCAGAATTGGGTCGAACTTCTCCACGAGGAGCTGAAACTCGGAGAAAACCTCGGCATCCGGCGGTGAGGACTGCAGCTCCGAGACAATCTCCGATGAATCAGAAATTTGCATCGCGAAACCAAACCCACTAGAGCTCCAAAGACTGGCTCGGACAATTGAATAAACAGAGGCTTGGAGGAGATGGTAAAATGAAGATTGGGGGCGAATTGTTCCAACCCAGAAGAGGAAACGATCTGGGTTTCATCGAACCAGAAGGATCGAGTGCGGACGAAACTGAAGGAGGCGGAGGAGGAGGAGAAGGGAGGACAAATGGAAGGCTGCGGCCGTCAAGGAGTGACCTTTTGTGTTTGGGATTACGTCTGTTTTATCTTTTTGCGATTGGGGTTTGGAATATTAAACTGCAAGAGAAGAACTTGGACGGAAAATTCAGACAATAATTACAGGCAACTTTTTTTAACGTTATTGGATTTTTGCTTGGCTTGTTCCGTGGAAATTGGAAGACGATTCGCTTCTTGAGTTGGAAGTTTCCTAATTAGAAGCTTTGCAAAGTATGGTCAAAGGTTGAGTCAACTCAGCTTTTACTTCTTAGCCTAACCTTGAAATTAGTCAAATTACTATTAGGGCTGTGCTCGTGAAAGGGGTAAATTAGATGTTTGTTTTCGAGAATTTGTGATATGTTTTATGACAATATTAGTATGTTTTAAGAAATTTGTGGTTAGTTTTATGACGTTTTTGGTGTGATTTGTGGTCTGCTTAATGAAGTTTCTATATACTTTTAAGAAACTTGTGGTTAGCGTTATGAAATTTCTAGTGTACTTCAAATAATTTGTGGTATGCTTTATGAGGTTTTCTGTTTGATCTAAGAAAATTGTGATCAACTTTATGAGGTTTCCAATGTGCTTCAAGGAACTTTTGTTATGTTTTAAGTCTGTTTTGAGAAACTTGTGATCCGCTTTATGAGGGTTTTGATCTATTTCATGGGACTTGAGTTTTCAAATATGCTTTATGAATTTTGTGGTGTGGTGAGGTTCAAGTATACTTCATAGTTCATATGCTTTTTGGTTTACTTTACGTCATTTGTGTTTTATGGTCCGTTTCATGACACTTGTGGTCAGGATGAGGCACAGAATAAATGAGAAGCACCACATGTGTATCCCCCTATAATTTTTAAAACTGACAATCGTGCCCCTCCCTTTTAAAATCAACATTCATTATAGTGAACCCCTTAAAATGAAAAAAGTCATCAAACCGAAATGTTCGGAATATGCTAACAAATTGAGTGTTAGCACCTTAACCTTGGCTCATCGATTGTGTTACTGCTCCATCACCGACCATCGTCGCTGCTTCTTCGTTATTGGTCAGCGATTCCGTCACCGACCATCGCCGTTATCCCTATTAGTCAATTCATCGATTGTGGCAGCTTTCATAGCAAGTTTTGTGTCGGGATTGAAGAAGTTGGAGAGAAGACAAGGCGGTGTGGCAACATAGGAAATGAAGAGACCCCCGACAGACCCAAATATGGCGCCGATTGAAATTGGAAGTGGAGACGAGGAGGGCCGGCTGTTGAGACGAGTCGTCCTCTACCTCTAAGTTCCAACTCGACCGTGCAATCTACCCCCATGCACACCATCTTCAGGGCAATCAAAGAGAAGATGATTTTGGGATTCTTTCTGGGTTTTAGGTATGAATTTTCGCCATTGTTGATGACGAAGAAGAGACTGGCATAAAATTATAGCAATGGGTTCTCTTTTATATACCCTTATTCGACTCCAAATGAATTGTTTCGTCTAAATCCTGCATCAAAATTTCTTACCATCTTGAATGAAATATTTCGGTCTCCACATCATTACGATTTTTTATATATAAAAAAATGAAATGTGCCCATTCTAGTAGAGTTTTGGTTTAGCCGGTTAGTAATAGTCACCCATTCAACCAACTATCGATCACTAGCCAGAGTAACCAGCTAACCCCCTTTTCAGGAAACTAACCAGCTAATCTCAATTAAACCAACAAGATGGATTTTTTTGCTGATAACCGCTAAACTGATTATCAGTTATCGAGGGAAGGAAATAAAAATTTTGTCGAGGGAAGGAAATTTTGGGCAATGTTCTTGGAAAGTTCTTGACTTTTGGATCCCTTCCTCCCTCCGCGTTTCTTCTCTTCTTCCTTTTTACTTTCTGCGCTCCGAAGGAAAACCCCTCTCATCTCTACCCGCCATTGCTGATTCAGTTCAGCTTTCACTTGACCCTGCCAATTGGTTTGGAAACTCAATACATACAGAACCCTGATAGCAGCAGCTACGGGAAAAGATGCAGAGAATCTTCGGCAATAAGAAGAACAAGGATCCTCCTCCTTCCATCTCCGATGCCTCCGATAAGGTTCTCTCTCTCGCTCCCGCCCGCCCCTTTTCTGTTTTCCGCCTGCTATCTGTTTCTATGATGCTTTACTGTTGCTTGTCGAGAATTGAATTGTGTTGAACTTGCGGTCTGCAATTTGAGTTTAGCCCTGTGGGGAAGAATTTTAGAAGTCTTACCCCGAGGTTTCAGATGGATTTAGGGTTCATGGAATCTGTTAGTTTAATGTGAGTGAAGTCTTGAAATTTGATCGGGCACCGGTATATAATCGTGGGTGTGATATATCCTCCCTCTTCTGTGCGGCAAAATGCCGTTTCTATGGAGTGAAGGCCTGGACTTTTCGAGTGCAGAAGTGAAAAATTTTCTTACTTTAAATGGGTAAGGAAGGATCTCAGTGAGAGGCTTTTCAACGACAGTAGTATTTGCATAAAGACTTGATCTTTCTGATGGATTGTCTTGTTTGCTTGTATTATCAATTTATCATTATGGACTGGGGAGTTAATTGGGGTCTCTCAGATTACTAAAAGGGGCGATACTGTGGAAGAGAAGATAAAAAAGCTGGATATTGAACTCAGCAAATACAAAGAACAGATTAAGAAAACTCGGCCTGGGCCTGCTCAGGAGGCTGTTAAAGCACGTGCCATGAGGGTTCTTAAGCAGAAGCGCATGTAAGACCTACTGATGTTACTTGTCTTTCTCATTCTCTTATTGATCTATACCATGTAGAGCGAGGCAGCAATGCTGAGCTTGATGCTGAGTTCAGCCGTTTGTTTTCGTAGTTTGAGAATTATACCATCTGCTTTTGAATTTTTTATTGGACACCAATGTTTATGACTTTTTATGGCAATTCTGTTTACTTCAATGGTGCTTATCTATCCCATGTACAAATGTCTTGAACAGGTATGAGGGTCAGCGTGACATGCTCTACAACCAGACTTTTAACCTGGATCAAGTCGCTTTTGCTGCTGAGGGTATTAAAGATGCTCAACAAACTGTATGGCTCGGTTCCCATTAAAGATTATGAGATTCACAATATTACGAGTTGATTTCCCAGGCTCTTATAACACTCTTAGATTATGGCAACTCCTTTTAAAGGACTATTTACTTAAAACACCAACTCACCGTGTTTTGTATCCTGCATCTTTTGGTTTCTTCTCTTCAGATGTCAGCTCTGAAGTCTGCCAACAAAGAGTTGAAAGGGATGATGAAAACTGTTAAGATTCAAGATATAGATGTATGTGGCCTAACATTATACCTTTGCTGTTGTAAATCTACCTCATTGTTAGATATTCTATTGTCATAACTGGCTGTTTTCTTTCTCTGTAGAACTTGCAAGATGAGATGATGGACCTGATGGAAGTTAGTAGTGAAATCCAAGAAACTCTGGGTAGAAGTTATAACGTGCCCGATGATATTGATGAGGATGAACTCATGGGTGGTAAGCCAAATGTTTTAAGCTGTTGAAGAGTACTATGTTTCCCCCTTCTGGCTTCTCTGAACTACTTTTAGGGCACTCTGTAAAATTGTTAGTCTTTGCATGCGTCCTCAGATGCAGTATGTGTTCTAAATTCAGTCACTTTGTGCACCATGTCTTCTTGTTAGCTATCTTATGTTAAGCAGACTAGTATAACCACTCTCTGCAGGAGGGTTGTGTTGTTCAGATAAAATAATTCATAGACTCGATTAAGTAAATTTTTTGCTGAGTAGTAGTTATCCCATCTGTATGATTTTTCTATTGTAGAACTTGATGCTCTCGAGGCAGACATGGGATTCGAAACTGAAGCTGACGGTGTGCCATCATATTTGCAACCTGACAAGGAACAAGACCTGGATGCAGAACTCAACCTGCCTACAGCACCTATGGGACATGCTGCTAGACCCCAGGTGATTACTTTCGATCATTCTTGTTGCTTCATTTCCTATCCATTGCTAAGCATCGCATTACCAGTGGTTTGATGAGAGATTGGTTGATCCCTTCTGCTGGTAGTCTCGTGTATATGCACATATCATTGTCTTCACTGGTCTGCAAGTCCATTACATTCGTGGCTTCTATCCGCTTTGGAAGGAGTCAACCAACCTCCTGAATCGTTTGACACTGCTTGTTTTGCGGATCCGAGTTGACCTGATACTTCCTGCATTTCATGAATCTGCTTGCCTGGCTTTCCTTTCTTTATTTCCACTTTTCCAGCCAATAATTCCTGCATCCCATTTGATTGGCAGGCGGAGGATGATCTGTCACTACCTTCTGTTCCGCGAGCATCCCTTCGTGGCTAATCTTATTGTCGCCTGTACTTACTATTCTTGTGCATAGTCAAATTCGATAGAGAATCCGCACTGAAAGGGATGGCTAATATCTGGCTGAGTTCTTTTGTTCTTCCTTTTCAACTTTTCAGAAAGGACTCGTAGCCTTGCCGTGAAGTTATATGTATTGTACTGAGTACTGTTATTGTGAATGGCATCGATATTGACATACAAGGTCGCAAGTATCACCTCTTTTCATACTTGGTAAATTGTAATATTGTTTGTTACTAACCTTCTATCAGGGAGATAATCTTCTTCACCTTCATGTTCAACTGAACCTTAAGAGCAATGCGGAAAATGGTACAAAGAAAAGCTGCCGCATACATTTTTGTATGCACTCCATAAACATCACTAAAATCTACATACAATAGCTCGGTTGTGTAAAGAAGGGGTATGTAATACATGAACTATACTTTTGAGAATTGCAGAGACTGTAATTCAGTAGATATCATCACACGGAGGCAATTAACGGCTCTGTTAAATTCGCTTTTGGTTTCATGAGGTTCACTCTCCGTAAACTTGGTTGCACGTAGGCGGTGCTGGCATTCTGGCAGTTGATTTCGATCTCTCCATTCTTTTGGTCTTCCTCATCAAGTTCAGCCGCTTCCTGAAAACCAGAGTCAACACCAGTTCAGTAGATGGAATCAGATGTACATGTGCATAGATGAGCGCCAGGGATGGCACCAGATGAGGGGATAATATACCTGGATAGGATTATTTCGAAAGCTGGGAAGAAAACGTATCTTGCAGTACTCATTGAACACTAAAGTAAGCACCAAGAGCGGAACTGTGGCTATTGAAGCTGCAGGTTTGGATTTCAGACCAAAGAGACCAATCATAGTAACTTGCATCAAACTGATCCCAACCACTATGTAGTGATGAATGTATGGCCAGAACTGCCCACATGTCTCGTAGGTAGTCTCGTACACATCTTCAATCTGTTTGTCGAATCAAATAACATTGTCAGTCAGAAAGCAGAGATGCATACATGACCAGATAAGGGTAGAATGTGAGCGGTAACCATTTGTTTTAGAAACAAACTCAAACCTGATTCATGTACACAATATAGCCAAGACAGAAGTAGCCCACAAGGAACGGAAGCAGCAGCGGAGCGATGACAGCATAAACCATACCAATCAATATGGAAAGGGAGACTGAAGGGATGACTCTGAAATAAGGTATCGAAAAGAGATAGGGATCCTGCCCCTCCCCTCTGCCACATGTGTGCAAAACTATTGCATCCCATGTCAGCAATGCAGGCTGAAGAATCTCGAATGAAAATCCAGACAGCCCGTCGGTTAAGATGTATGTCACAAAAAAATCCGCCTGAAATTTAGTCAGAGAATTAAGGGCAAATTAGGCAATAGAATTAGCATTACCCTTGTTTGCATCAGTCGGAGCAGGCTGGCAAGAAGCAGGCTTTACCTGGGCAGAAACAGCACTTGCAAGGTGACTAGGGAAATTGCTAGGATGAGTGAATGACTCTCCAATCTCATCAAGCAAGGACCCTGATATTAAGCTCAAGAAGAACACATTCCCCACTAGAAAATAGAAGACCATGTTGCAAGCTTTTATCTCCTCCTTGCTCTTTGAGACAGATCCACCCATTTTAGCCATGGCAAGCATTGCGAATGGGACAAGGTATTCACATCCTTTGAGAACAGCACTAGGGAGATATCCCGTCAAAACGGAGCTTAATCCTGGGCTATATGCAGAAGTGCAAAAAGTCAAATTGTGCTACAAAACTAAGCTAAATTTCAGAACTCTATCTGCAATTATAATATTGAATGCAAATCTGTTTTGCTGGAAGAGAAGGATGATCAGAGGATATCATAACTAACAGTGGACCGTAATAGACTAAACAAATTACTAACATCAGTCCGACAGCCATGGCAGGAGGAAACCATTTCTCCAACTTTTCGAATTTGGCTATTCCTTGAACACCTGTGACTATGACTGCAAAGAAAAGGGTGAGCAGTGTTGCCAAAATAACCACTGCAATTTTGATAAGCGGTAACATCCGGAGTGGAATGGCCAGACTTCTCCATGAAACGTTCCTTGGTTCAGGAGCCTTCTCAGTGATCCATAGTAATGGATGTGAGTGCTGCTGAGACTGGGCAGCCAATGCAGCACTCCTGCGATACTTGAATGTCGCAAAGCCGGTGGGTAACTCCTATACATATACAAGTGAAAACAGAATCAATTTTGTTACTCATAGAAAATAGTGTAGAGGTTCTTTCGTTCAAGGCAACGACATTAGACATATTTCTTAGGTCATGTAAAAGTCCGGCTCAACAAAATCAAGTAACAGTAGTGCATAAAGCAGAGGAGATACATCTGTTTTTTGGGTATTCACCTTACCACTCAGCGCATCTTTAGTTTTTAATTTACGAATCTTGTGGAGTAGTTTTTGAAGCTTTTCATTGTGCTGCGTTAAAGTCTCATGTTCTTGTGAGACGTCCAAAAGCAAGCTATCTTTCCCAGTTTTACCGATTGTCGACTTGTTTCTCAATTTCTCTATCCTAGTTACTAAGTCATTTGCTTGCTTCTGCGTTTTCAACAAGTCAATAACAATCAACCAACATCGTAAACAGAAAGATAGATCCGAATCAGAAAACCTAACAAATCTTTTTATAGGAAGGGGTTTCGGGCAAAGATATAAACGGTTATCCTTGAAAGGAAGAATTTTACTGGTCAGACAGAAACAACAACAATTTTACTCAATTGAAAGAAAAAAAAAATATCTGCTGAGCTTAATGGTTCATTGTTTGCACTCCACGCAAAGATAACTGGTTCGCCTCATCACCACCAAATTTCAGTGCAACTACAAGCAAAGCTCAGAAGAAAATCCGGGTTCAGAATTTCGAGATGAAAACACAATAAAAAACGTGTACCTGCAGATTACCGATTTCCTTTGCATCATAAAGCATTTGGCAGGAATGGTAGCTGTGAGGATAATACTTGGAGAAGAAGTGATCAACAGCACAGCCATAAGCCCCGTGTTCGGTGCAATTAGGAACTCGCCTCACAAGAACAGTGAAGTGATCTGGTCGAGGTCTCAAGATTCGAAGCTGGTGCACCCTTTTATTCAAGATCGCACCGTACTCCTGAAGATCAAATGATGCAGGAAGCAAGTCACCCACTTTTTCTGAATTGCAGCCAAGGAGAAGAAGCAACATTACTATTTCTATGGCATCTGCCCAACCATCTAATCACTATCTCCTTCCTTGATCATAAAACTGACACTATTGAAAAGAAAAACAAACAAACGATCTATTCTCAAATGAATAACCACAGGGAACCTTCGGTTATGTTTCTGCAAAAAGAATGCGAGAAGGGAACCTCACCTTATAGAGTAGGAATAATCCATAGAGGGAAATGAAGCACAAGCAAGTGAAATGCACCCATAGCCTACAGAGATGCACACCCATATCAAGAAAAGTTAACATTCACTACGTTGGAGGGCACAGACAGCAACTGAAATTGAATGCTTGGTAGTAGGGAGAAAAGGGAAGAATCCCCTCCCAAAATTACCTATTGGAACCAGTAGGGACATTGGAGATGGAGAAAGGGTCCATGGAATGCCGGATTTTGGATGCCTCATCCTCGCCGCCGCCGTAATTCACTGGAACGAGCACGGCCAGCCCGAGGAGGGAGGAAACCCCGAAGAAATTGATGCCGAATCTGAAGACACGGAAGAGAACGAGGACGTCGAGACCGTGGATCTGGAGTATCTGGTCCTCGGAGAGGTGGAAAGCCTTAGGGATCCAGGCGACGGAGGGGAGAAATCGAGCGAGGGAAAGGGGCGGGAAAGAAGGGGCAGCGGAGCGGCCGGTACCAGAGGCGGAGAGAGGGCGGGCGTAGTAGATGAGGGCATTGGAAGGCTGCTTCTTGAGGATGGAGAAGAGGAAGAGGATGATGAAGGCGACTCCGAAATTGATCGCCGCCGAGGCTATCAAACTCTCCGGCCTCATGATTCCTCCTGACGACGACGATGGAAGAAAATGGTGGAATGTTGAAGAGGAGGAGATGATCCATTGTCTGTTTCAGAGGGATGTGAAAATTGGAAGAGAGGGAGAGAAAGGCGGCGGGGAGGAGGTACGTGGCATGGCTGCATGCTCTGCAGCAGAGCGGCGGAGCCGCGGTGGCGTAAAGCATTACCAGTACCAAGACAACGGATTTTGGAACGTTTTTAACAGTTGGATCAAAATGAGAATTGCGGGAAAATGCAGGTACTCTGATGGTAATTAATCCAAATTGGAATTTACATACCTAGGGATTTTGACTGGCAACGAGTACTCTGATCCTCTTTCCAAATTTAGTCCACTCGAAGTCAAGGGCATTAGCTGAGCTGCTAATTGCAAATCTCACCAACCCCGGACATGGCGAAGGAGCTGGACGGCTTCCACTTCGAGCAGAACCACGGGAAGGCAAGGGTGAGGGTCGCCAGAGTCTGGCGGGCCGATGGCGGCGGCGGCGATCAGTCCATGGTGGAATGGAGCGTCGATATCATCCTTTTTTCCGACTGCATCAACGCTTACGTTCGTGACGACAACTCCGACATCGTCGCCACTGACACCATGAAAAACACGGTAACCGCGATCATACCCTCTGCTTTATTTCTTTCTTTCTCTTTGTTTCCCCTCTGATTCCAGATCGTTTAGATGAAATCGCTTCATCGCTGGGGATGGAGCTAGGGATTTTGTTCAAGTTCATATTTGAGTCTCTGACGTTTGAATCAAACAGCAACCCTTGTGCAGTTGAAGATAAAATGTTCATGTCATTGAGGAAATTCTTTGGATTTGGAACCGGCAGAGTTGATTTCAGAAGCTTGGCATCTTGGCTAGTCCCTGTTGCTGTGTCTTGTTCACCTATTTGTTCCTTGCGATGTGAAACTTAGCGGGTGTGTACAATTGTAGGTGTATGTGAAAGCTAAGGAGTGTTCCCAGCAGCTTTCAGCGGAGGAGTTCGCAATTTTGCTTGCTAAGCACTTTACAGCATTCTACCCGCAGGTAAAAGTTTAAGGTGATTTTCATGATCGTCTTAACTTCGTGAAGTATCCATTCGACTTGCTTACCTGGAAGCTTCTGTTTGAGAATCGTTTGTAACCAATGTGGAAGGATTTATTTGAGTACAGTTTGGAAGTGAAAGTTTGTTTGAGAAGAGTGTAAATAGTTTGCGGTATTGTCTGGGTGGGTTCCTTTTGGATTCGGGAGAGATGACAGTAGTAACATTCAGCATGTCGTCCATCCTCTTCAATAGTCTTACGAAGGAGGCACTTCAGCGTCCAGTTTTGAGGCAATCACAGCCAGGGCTAAAATGCATGTCAGTGGAACTGAATTAGCTATAAAATTATTCTCCCACTTTTTCTTTGAAAAAGAGATGCTCTAGAGTTTTGTGTCGAGGTTCTGACACTGCCGAATCAAGTTTTCTAGACCTCTACAGTTCTTGATAAATGCTTGCTTCAAAGCGTTGGTCTTTATAGAGAAAATCTTGGAGTAAGTGCATAAAATTGGTTCTTGGGCATGAACTGAAAAATTGTTTCAAGTAGTTGACGGGTGACTTCTGTTAATGCCCTATGGGACATGTTTCTGGTCCTAAAAATGTTTACGGGGTGGTCCCTTTCAAACTATTGTGATGTAGCTGTTATCATCTGCTTTCTAGTTCTTAACTGATGAAACATGCCCCGTTTTCTGATCAATAACTAGTTTGTATTGCAAATTGTTAGGTAACATCAGCGGTTGTTAAGATAGTGGAGAAGCCATGGGAACGCGTCAACTTAAATGGACAACCACATGAACACGGTAAAATACTGAAGTTTGTTGAGGAGAATAGTGTCTGAATTTCTAAGTTATTTGTGATCCAGCTAAGTAAATGGTGGTCAATATGCTTTCATTACATTCTATTGTCTATACAAACATTTACATTCTTGTTGCAAACTAGCAAATGTACACACACCTAACATCCATCAACATATTGATCTAGGTATGCTGGTTAGTACGGTGTTAATGTTAATGTGCTATTATTTTGTCAAAGGTTTTAAACTTGGAAACGAGAAACATACAACGGAGGCTGTAGTCAAGAAGTCTGGTGGGTTGCAGTTGACTTCTGGAATTGCAGGACTCTCCGTACTGAAAACTACCCAGGTATGCTTTTGTTGCAGTTGAATCGTGGAATTGATGCAATCACAATGTGATCGTAAACGAAAAACACACCACTCAGTACCATCCAAACAAATCATACGCATTTACGGATTTTATCTGACTTAAGCAAAAATGGCTTTCTAGCGCCTTAGATTTCGATCCCTTCCTCATGTGGTAGGTAGTCTCAAATTCCTCTATTTCTGGTAGAACAAAAGAGGTTACCTTTACCCCTTCCTAAGAGTCCTCTTGGAAATGATTCGCTACATGTGTCCATTATTTTCCATCAGCCATGCAAGCTCTTTGATATTGATTGCTTGATTTTTCGTGACGGAACGAACAGTCAGGTTTTGAAGGATTTGTCAGGGACAAGTATACTGCTCTTCCTGAAACCCGCGAGAGGATGCTGGCCACAGAAGTTACTGCTATATGGAGGTGAATATTTTTGAGAGTGATAACTGCGGCATGTTTGTCTTTGCTCCTTTGACGGTTCTTCTTAGTTCTTTCTGGATCAAATGTGGATGCAGGTATACATATGACTCCATCTCCAGCGTCCCTCAGAAACCTCTCTACTTCAACGAGAGATATTTGGACGTGAAGAATGTAGTTCTCAGCACGTTTTTCGGTCCTCCCAAAGAGGGTGTATATAGCGCTTCGGTCCAAAGCACTCTTTTCCAAATAGAGAAGGCCCTACTGCTAAGGTCTCTCCTGTGCTTTTTACTGGTTTCAATTACGAAGCTGCGTGATATACTGATATGGTAACCCCTGAGAGCCATTTTTGTTTTTTGGTCGTGTTGCAGATTCCCCGACATATCATCTGTCCGGCTGAAAATGCCAAACATCCACTTTTTACCCGTCAATATTTCAACCAAGGACAACACTATTGTGAAGGTAAAAAGACCTCTTCCTCTCAAAAGCTGCAGAAATAGGCTTGTTACAGTTGGTTAATCTCGTATCTTGGTGGAAATGAATCGTAGGGAGAATTCATGGACTTGAATTCTTCACAAAGTTGGGGGGGCTACCATTTTTGTACTTTCTTCCTGAAACTTGGACCGATGCCAGCGTACTATTTCCTTGTTAGGATGTTCACCAGAAACTTTCCTTTTACGGCAGTTTAACGACGACGTGTATCTGCCAACTGACGAGCCTCATGGATCAATCGAAGCAACTCTCAGTCGCTTCTGGGCAAGAATGTAGAAGAAGATGCAGCAAGAGCACATGTCATCGGTTCGTTCACTCAGACGCCTTGTAACAAGCTTGCAATGTATGCCTGTAAGCTCCCACTTGATTGACATGTAAATTACAGTGTACATTGGAGACAGTAATAACACGACGGAACTGGCAACAAGCCAGTCGTCGTCAAGATCCTCAAAATTCTCTCGTACCGATCGATAAATCTAGAAAACAAAGGGAATCAGAGCCTTGACATGAGCAGGAAAATCATCAAACTTTGACAGGTACCACTCTCTGGTGACTTTGCTCCTTCCCATCAGGTACAGAGTAGTCCCGACGGCGACGCAGAACGCGTAGAGCGTCTGCGAGACGAGGGCTATACCGTAGAATCCGATGATCTCGAACAGGTAATGAGGGCAGATCACCAGCTCAAACATCCCACCCTTGGGGATCTTGTACTCTTTGTTCTTGCTGTTCTCGCCGCGGTCTGATCTCAGCTTGGAGAGCAAGTAATGGTGGTAGAAATTGCCGGCGATCCCAACGACGAACAGCGCCACCCCGTAGAGCTTCAAATCCACAGCCGGCTCCGGGATCGTTGCCTCCGTCAAACGCTGGGCGTAGATCGTGATTGCCGTGATGCTGAAGTAGCTTAGGCTGATCGGAATCGCGGATTCGACGGCCATGGTGCCGCTGTACTTGTGCAGGAACAGTGTCTGCAATCAAATCGGTCAACGGAGGATCAGATTTCCCGTTCTACGAAATTGGAACTGGATTGAATTGGAAGCGGGAGAGCGTACCTCGAGCAGCCTTTTGAGGAAATGGACGGCGAGGGCGGACTCGACAAGGAGGAGCCTAGAAGACGGAGGAGGAGCGCCGCCGCCGCCATGGAGGAAGAGCAAGGAGGCGATGGCGGCGAGGAAGGCCGGGAAGTAGAGCACGAGCATCCCGATTCTGCTGGGGAGGGAGGAGGACGATTTCGACGACGACGACGAGGAGCCGGCGAACTTGGAGTACTTCAAGTGTGTGCCTCGGATCTCCGAGAGGCCGAAGAAGGCCAGATACGCTACCACCGCCGCCGACATCGCTGATACGAAGAGCGACGGCGGCGGTTGGAACATCACGACTCTCAGGCAGCTCATCGCTTCCTCCATTTCTGATTGCGGCTTCCGATTGTTCTTCTTATCCTGACCGGCCACTGCTCCTTCGATCTGCTTCTTTCCTCTTCTCTTGCAAGTTGCTATACATATATATATACACAATAAGCTTGGCTGATCTGTTAATGACGGAGGCACCAACTCACTGTTTATTGCAATGGCGTGCATTCACATTGCAATTGCAATGGCGTGCATTCACATGGCTATAGAGTCAAATTGGGCCGAGTCAGGTCAAATTGGGCCGAGTTGGAGAATCCATTTCCACGCGGTGGGAAGTTGCTCCACGTCCCTTTTACTTGTAGCGGGCTTCCACAGTCCACTATTCTTGTCTTGCCTCCTTTTACGCAGTATTTTCTTTTCACACTATGATCGGAAATAGGACGGACTATGGGTTTCATAAAAGCGCATGCTTTTTTACGTGTGGTTGATAGCTCCAAAGAAAATGATTTTTCGAAAAAAAATCGCAGATTTTTTTTGTAAAATACACTCTGAATAAAATCCGTCTAAAATTGTCGATTAATAGACTTAATCATTGGTGGAGAGCCTTAGGTTGAATCTGCAAAAAATGGTCCAGGAAAAAATCATGTCAACTCGTTACTTAGGAGACTTAATCATCTGTGAATACTAGCCACAAGATTCGTGGCCTTCATAATCCCGGGAAAATGGCATTTGGGAAAATCGAACAGAAGATTATGAAAATGCCCTCCGGAAAAAAAAATCCGACCAAATCAGCGATTAATAGACTTCATCATAGGTGGAGAATAGCCTCAGCCCAAATCGGTATTCTGTAGCATTCGAAATTTTTAAAAAATTGACATTTCGAAAAAATCGCGAGAAATATGTGATGGTTGTACCCCTTTGGGATCTGCCAAAAATGAGATCAGAATAAATGCGCCCAAATCGGTGCCTAATAGACATAACCTTTAGACATAACTTTTTGAATCTGCTAAAAGTGGACCCGGAATAAATCCAAGGAAAATGGACGAATCCGTGATATGTAACCTCCTAAATCCAAGGAAAATGGACTTTCAAAAAATTGCACAAAAAATTACGAAAATACTTTTCAAAAAAATCTGCCAAAATAGGTGACTAATAAACTTCATGGTCGGTGAAGAATAGATTTTGAGCACTAAATGGACGAATCTCGTAAGCAATAATTTGGGCGGATTTCTTTGTGGTCTATTTTATGCAGTTTTCAAAGCCATCATAGAATTTGAGCGATTTTCTCGAAATGTCATTTTCTTTCGATTTCGAAGGCTATAAATCACGGATTCAATCCGAGGTTATTCTCCACCAATAATGAAGTCTATTGATCCTATACTCCACCAATGATTAAGTCCATTAAGCACCGATTTGGGCGAATTCATTTTCGGATGACATATTCATAATTTTTTGGGCAATTTTTTTATAAAGGTCATTTTCCTTATATTTTGAAGGCTACATATCGCGGATTCGGCCTGAGGTTATTATTTAATGATAATTAAGTCATTTAAGCACCGATTTGGAAGAATGTCTTTATGATCCATATTTGCAGGCTTTAGAGGTGTACACCATTACAGATTTTGAGCGATTTTGTCGAAAAGCATTTTTCTTTCATTTTGAAGGCTACAGATCTCAGATTCAGCCCGACGCTATTCTCCACTGATAATGAAGTCAATTGATCCTATTCTCTAGGGGTGGGCATTGGGTGGGTCGGGTGGATTTTGACCATAAAATGCACCCACCCGCGCTTAAACGGATTGATAATTTTTAACCCACCATCCACCCACATTTAGTCTCGGGTTGGGTCGGGCGGATGGTGGATGATGCGGGTGGGTTTGTGGGTTCACCCACATCACAATGTATATAATATAAAGGAGTCAATTTGACATGATAATTGGTGAAGAGAATCATCGAGGGAAACAAGAAGTTGAAATAGAGCGAAAAATGTCGAATTAGTTCTTAAATTGGATAGAAATTCTATTATGAAAGAGTTTTCTACAGATTGAGACGATTATTAGGTGCAAGGAACTAAGGAAAATAATTCCACAAAGGAAAGAGCGGTGATCTAGGCACAAGAATTAGAGGAAAAAGTAAAGGGAAGAAGAGGGAATCTCTATTTGGAAGGTTGGCTTTGAGGTTCAAACTCCAGGAGCAGTCCGAGTTTATATCTAACGTCTCCACTCTCCTCTCTCTAGCGCCAACGACTTTGATCTTTTTGCTGTTGGGTTGAGCGGGTCACCCGCACACTCACCCACAACCCACCCACCACCCGGCGGATGGCTCCCAGCGCAACCCGTCACCCACCCACAGACCCACCCACTTAACGAAATTCGGGTCAAATGTGGGTGGGTCGGCCCAAACCCGCGGATGATCCGCCCGCATGCCCAGCCCTACTATTCTCCACCGATTATTAAGTACATTAAGCATCGATTTGGTCGAAGTCATTTTCGGATGACATTTTCGTAATTTTTTGGCAATTTTTTTTCAACACGCCATTTTCCTTGGATTTTGAATGATACAGATCAGGGATTCTGCCTGAGGCTATTCTTTAACGATGACTAAGTCCATTGAGCAACGATTTGGGCGGATTTCTTCTGGGTTCATTTTAGGAAGACTCCAAAGGGGTACTATCACAGATTTTGGGGATCCTCCCGAAATGCCATTTTCTTTCGATTTTGAAGGCTACAGATCACTGATTCAGCCTGAGTCTATTCTCCACCGATAATGAAGTCTATTGATCTTATTCCCCACCCATACTTAAGTCCATTAAGCATCGATTTGGGCGAATTGATTTTCGGATGACATTTTCATAATTTTTTGGGCGATCTTTTTCTAAAGGCCATTTTTCTTGGATTTTGAAGGCTACAGATTTCAGATTCGTCCTGAGGCTATTTTTCAACGATGATTAAGTACATTACGCACAGATTTGGGAGAATTTCTTCCTGGTCCATTTTTGGCAAACTCCAAAGGGGTGTAACATCACAGATTTCGAACGATTTTCCAGATATACAATTTTCTTACGGTTTTGAAGGCTACAAATCAAAAATTCAGCCCAAGGCTATTCTCCGACGATAATAAAGTCTATGGATCTTATTCTCCATCGATGATTAAGTCCATTAAGAACCGATTTGAGCAAATTCATTTTCGGATCATTTTCGTAATTTTTTGGGATAATTTTTCCGAAGATCATTTTTCTTGTATTTTGAAGGCTACAGATTTCAGATTCGTCCTGAGGCTATTTTTCAACGATGATTAAGTACATTACGCACAGATTTGGGAGAATTTCTTCCTGGTCCATTTTTGGCAAACTCCAAAGGGGTGTAACATCACAGATTTCGAACGATTTTCTCGATATACAATTTTCTTACGGTTTTGAAGGCTACAAATCACAAATTCAGCCTAAGGCTATTCTCCGACGATAATAAAGTCTATGGATCTTATTCTCCATCGATGATTAAGTCCATTAAGAACCGATTTGAGCAAATTCATTTTCGGATCATTTTCGTAATTTTTTGGGATAATTTTTCCGAAGATCATTTTTCTTGTATTTTGAAGGCTACAGACCTCGGATTCTTCCTTAGGCTATTCTTCAACAAAGATTAAGTCCATTACGCACCGATTTGGGCGAATTCCTTCCATGTCCAGTTTTGGGCTTTTGGCAGACTCCAAAGGAGTAAAATCACAGATTTCATATGATTTTGCCGAAATGTCATTTTCTTTCGATTTTGAAGACTACATATCATAGATTCGAGCCGAGACTATTCTCCACCAATAATGAAGTCTATTGATTATATTCTCAATCGATGATTAAGTCCATTAAACACCGATTCGGGCAAATTCATTTTCAAATAGCATTATCATAATTTTTTGACAATTTTTTCAAAAACCCATTTTAATTGGATTTTGAAGGCTACAGATCACGGATTCGCCCTAAGGCTATTCTTCAACGATGATTAAGTTCATTAAGCACCGATTTGAGCGGATTTCTTCTGTGTCCATTTTTGGCAAACTTCAAAGGGGATACGATCATAGATTTCAGGCGATTTTCTCGAAATGTCATTTTCTTTCAATTTTAAAGGCTACAGATCACGAAATCAGTACAAGGCTATTCTACACCGATAATGAAGCCTATTGATCATATTACCTATCGATGATTAAGTCCATTAAGATCCTATTTGAGCGAATTAAATTCTGGATGACATTTTTGTAATTTTTCGGTGATTTATTTTTGAAAAGCCATTTCTCTAGGATCTTGAAGGCTGCAGATCACGAATTTGTCCTACTGCTATTCTTCAACGATGATTAAATCCATTAAGCACCGATTTGGGCGAATTTCTTCCAGGTCCATTTTTTATAGACTCCAAAGGGGCCATAAGAGACATCGGGGGATTCTCCTGAAATGCCATTTTCTTTCGATTTTGAAGGCTACAGATAACGGATTCAGCCCGAGCCAATTCTCCGCTGATATTGAAGTCTATTGATCCTATTCTTCACCGATGATTAAATCCATTAAGCACTGATTTGGGCGAATTCATTTATTGATGGCATTTTTGTAATTTTGTTTGTGAATTTTTTTCTTAAAACCATTTTCCTTGGATTTTGAAGGCTACAGATCACATATTCGTTCTGAGGCTATTCTTCAACGATGATGAAGTCCATCAAGAAAATATTTGTTTGGATTTGTTTCGGGTTCATTTATGACAAACTCCAAAGGGGTACAATGACATATTTTGTGCAATTTTCACGAAATGCCTTTTTAATTCGATTTTGAAGGCTAAAAATCACGGATTCAACCCGAGGCTATTCTCCAGTCTCCACCGATAATTAAGGCTATTGATCCTATTGTCCACCGATGATTAAGTTCATTAAGCACCGATTAGGGAGAATTCATTTCCGGATAATATTTTCGTAATTTTTTGGGCGTTTTTTTCTTCTAAATGCCATTTTCCTTCGATTTTGAAAGCTACAGATCACAGATTCGGCCTTAGGGTATTCTTCAACGATGATTAAGTTCATTAAGCACCGATTTGGGCGGATTTTTTCGGGTCCATCTTTGGCATACTCCAAAGGGGTACCATCACAGATTTTGGATAATTTTCCCGAAAATCCATTTTCTTTCAATTTTGAAGGCAACTGATCACAGATTCAGTCCGAGACTATTCTCCACCGATAATGAAATCTATTGATCCTATTCTCGATCGATGATTAAGTCCATTAAGCACCTCTTTGGGCGAATTCATTTTCAGATGACATATTCGTAATTGTGTTGGTGATTTTTCAGAAGGCCATTTTCATTTGATTTTGAAGGCTACATATCACAAATTCGTCCTAAGACTATTCTTCAACGATGATTAAGTCTCTTAAGCACCGATTTGGGCGGATTTCTTCTATGTACATTTTTTGCAAACTCCAAAGGGGTAGCATCACATATTTCGGTCCATTCTTCCGAAATGCCATTTTATTTTGATTTTGAAGGCTACAGATCACAGATTCAACACGAGGCTATTCTCCACCGATAATGAAGTCTGTTGATCCTATTCTCCATCGATTATTAAGTCCATTAAGCACCTATTTGGGCGAATTCATTTTCAGATGACATTTTTGTAATTTTTAGCGATTTTTTTCTAAAGGCCATTTTTCTCGGATTTTGAAGGCTACAGATCACGGATTCAGCCCGAGGCTATTTCTCAGCTATAATGAAGTCTATTGATCCTATTCTCAATTGATGATTAAGTCCATTAAGAACCCATTTGGGTGAATACCTTTTTGTATGGCATTTTCTTAATTTTTTGGGCGATTTAATTTTCATAGACCATTTTCCTTTGATTTTGAAGGCTACAGATCACTTATTCGGCCCGGGGCTATTGTTGAATGATGATTAAGTCCATTAAACATCAATTATGGCGGATTTCTTTCTGGTCCATTTTTGGAGACTCTAAAGGTGTACCATCACAAATTTCACGCGATTTTCCCGAATGCTATTTATTTTCGATTTTGAATATTACATATCACGGATTCTGCCCGAGGCTATTCTCCACCGATAATGAAGTCTATTAAACCTATTCTCCACATATGATTAATTCTATTACGCACCAATTTGGACTAATTCATTTTTGGATGACATTTCCGTAATATTTTGGGGTATTTTTTCGAAAGACCAATTTTCTAAGATTTTGAAGGTTACAGATCAAGAATTCAGGCTGAGGCTATTCTTCAACAATGATTGAATCAATTAAGCGCTGATTTGGGCAAATTTCTTCCGGTCCATTCCTTAGATTTTGAAGGTTACAGCTCACAAATTCAACTAGAAGTTATTCTCCACCGATAATGAAGTTTATTGATCCTATTCTCCACCGATGATTAATTCAATTAGCCCCCGATTTGGGCGAATTCATTTTCGGATGACATTCTCGTAATTTTTAGGGCAATTTTTTTTCAAAATGCCATTTTACTTTGATTTTGAATGCCACAGATCACAGATTCGGCCTGAGACTATTCTTCAACGTTGATTAAGTCTATTAAGTATCGATTTGGGTGGATTTCTTCCTGGTCCATTTTAGGCAGACTACAAAGTGGCAATGTACTAAAAACACGTTTCTATGCAGAAGCGTTTTGGTGATCTAGAAGCGTTAAAACCGTTAGTTTTTTTTACTTCAAAGCGTAGTTTTTAACTACATTAGTTATAAAAACTGGGATTATGCTTAGGAGCGTTTTGGTGGTTTAGAAGCGTAAAAGCGTAAGTTTATAACTTTGAAAGCGCGTTTTTGACTACATTGCAACGGGGTACTATCACAAATTTCAGGCGATTTTCCCGAAATGCCATTTTTTGATTTTGAAGGCTACGGATTACCGATTCAGCCCGAGGCTATTCTCCACCGATAATGATGTCTAATGACCCTATTCTACACCGATGATTAAGTCAATTAAGCACCGATTTGGGGAATTCATTTTCGGATGACATTTTCGTAATTTTTTGGGCAAGTTTTTTGAAAGGTCATTTTCCACCCTTTGTAATTTGCCAAAAGTGGACTCAAAAAAAAATCAAACAAAATCGGTACTTAATATACTTAATCATTGGGAAGAATAGCTCTAGGCTCAACCACGGATCTGTAGCCTTCAAAATTACATGAAAAAATGATAGATTTCATCATTGATGGGTAGTCTTAAGTCGAATCAGTGATCTATAGCATTCAAAATCCAAAAAAATGGTGTTTAAAAAATATCATCCGAATATTGTCATAGTACCCCTCTTGAATTTGCCAAAAATGGCACCGGTAAAAGTGGTCTGTCAAGCTATTTTTCCGCAAGATCTCATCATCTACAATATCTTCACTGCATTAGAGTTTAACAACTAAGTTCGCAATGGATTTGTGTTATTCTTCTACCCCTAGAACACTAGAACACTAGAACACTAAAAATTGTACGGAAAAAATCAATATAAGAGTATTTTGAAACAGTGGTTCAATCGTTTTACACCGTCAAAGCCACTTACTAAAAGGAACTTTTTCGATCAGATTACGAATTCGCAAACAACACCTTGATTAGTCGACACGCTTGCTCTCAGTTGATTGAGCTCACACAACCCACCCCCAGCAGCAACCATATTGGAAAGGATACAAATCACACAGAACCCACCTGCAAACCTCTCCTTGTATCATTCATTCAGATATAATCATCCAACCAACGACAGAAATATGGGGAAAGGAAAAAAAGAGAAGTGGAGAACGGCCCAAATGGACAAGAAAAATGTCACGCCCCTATACCCTCTATACATTCCCCAAAAAGGAAACAAAATGGAAATAGAACACCGAAAGGGAAAAAACCCAAACACCCCTTTCGTTATGTATTGAAGATTACAAATGTAAAAGATAAACAAGAGAGAGAGAGAGAGAGCTTCAACTGTAACATCTCTTTTCTTCTTCTTCTTCTTCTTCCTCTTCCTCTTCTTAACCAGCCCGACACAAGGGTGCAAGAGAGACCTCCAAACCTATTTGAGACAAAAATAACATACAGATAACCCACGCCCACTATCTTCTGCCCTAGTGCTAAAGGCACCTCTTTTATCCAACTCTCTCATCTCTCTCCCCTCTCTGCTCTCCTACCAAAGAAAGAATTACACATCTAACCAGGCTACTGTAACAAACACCAAAATCATTCCACCCAAATTGGTCTTGTTTCTCTTCCATCGAAACCACCGAGTGTTCTCCCCCTCCCGTTCCTTCTCATTCCTTGGAACACAGCATGTAAACAACCTGGCCATCCCCATCATCATCATGGTTTCCTAATTGTATATTTTTACAGGCTTCTCAAAGGTATGACGGTTCTGCAAAATCAGTGCCACATCGTGTTATGCTTCCCCAGAAAGAAAGAAAGAAAGAAAGAAAGAAAGAAAGAAAGAAAGAAAGAAAGAAAGAAAGAAAGAAAGAAAGAAAGAAAGAAAGGGCGTGTTGGATTTGGCATTAGTGTCTTAGATAAGAAAACATAAAAGTTTTTTTATTCAGGTTACCAGCGATGAGAAGTCTGTTCAGAAAAAAGCTTAGAGAAAGATGAGTTGATGGACAATGACAGCAGGAGAATTATTATATGATAGATAGCTACTTTGATAATAAAAATTAAGTAGACTTTGGAATGACTAATATGATTATTAACTTTAAGGTTAGGTTATCTTTTCAAATGAACAAAGTTGGTAATCGATTTTTCAATCATCTACAGGTTTAGTGTGCATAGTTATTTTAAGGAATTGGATAAAAAGGAATAGTATTTGTTGGAGCACTCAAAATAAACTTGTTTTAAGCAAAAAAACAAACACCTTTTGGGAAGGATATTAGACTCTCAACCGCTATACTTTGACCGAAAGACACCACACGGCCTACCTGATTAGCTGTGTATGACCTTTTAGGAGCACTATCAGCATGCTCCAGCCCAAGGTACTGCTCCCAAGCACCATATACGTCCCTTCTCTGCATTCATTCATATCAAAACGAGGGAGGGAAAGGTGCCCATCAGTGCAAAGTATACAAAATCACTGCTCAGCACATCAAGTTTGTGAAAAATATCTAACCTGAAATCGACCAGAAACCACATCGGAGTCTTGAAGATACTCAGGCCGGCCCAGTGACAGAAAAGCAAACTTCCACTGCAATATCAAGACAATCCAAGATACATTACCACATGTGCGTAAATAGCATTCCTCGGAATATATCAAAATAATTTACATCGAGGACAAAACCAAGCTTGTCCAATATATATATTTTTTCTTCTTCTTATACATACCTTTGAAAACTCATCATCAGGAACCTGCAATTTTTGCTGTATGCGAACTTTAACTTCAGCTAGTGTCTCCCCCTCGCGAATGACCAGGAAAAATGGTTCCCCAAAGTTTTGAACTTGCTATAATATCAGAAGGAAAATTCACATTAGAGATTAGGTGCAAGAAAAGCAAGGTAAATGCATAATGTTTATGGCGAGTCCAAGAACCAAGAGCCAGGAGAAAATAAATAATAGTCGATGCATCATAAAAGAATCAGCAATCCACCTATTACCTGGTTTTGAGCGGTGTCCTTCATAAAATGGTACACATGAATCAAGCGGTCATGAGGCCCAATCTGTTTCTCCTCTTCAGGAATCTGATACAACAGGTGTACATTATTACTTCAGATATAACCATTATAGAAAGATAGCTACAAGAAATTGCAATTATCTAATAGGAAACAAATCAAAGATCTCTGTAAGCAGATTTATTTCCCTGTGCAAACCGGAAGGACACTGTAAAAGACAAGAAAATGCAAACTACTAATCCTCGGCAAATTTTCAATCAAACAATGCCTGGGCAATCAAATTAACTCGTAAAGTACTTAAGCTGGACTAGCTTTCCATGCTCATTATCCAGCAGATGTTAGTATATACTATGAAAATACACAGCAATCAAAAACTAAGGAATGAAAAGAGAAAACAGATGGCAGAACCTAATTTGAGACTGGAAAAACAAAGGATAACAACCACAAACAGGCCCAACCAAGAACAAAATAATAAACAGAAAGAATCATGTTCGAGGTCAAGCCAATTGAAGTTTGGATGTCAGAACCAAGTTTGATTCCAAGTATCCTGCTGTACACAGACAGGTTTCTTATACCTCCAGTTGCATAGCTCCTAAATACCACAGTAATAGAAATGTTCTCACCAAAGTTATCCCAAGACGTTTAAGAAATTCAAGCTCGTCACACATAAGAATTGAGCATCGAGCAGAGCCAATAAATAGCTTTCACATTATCCCAGTCACAAACAGGTTGGCTAATCCTTGTTTTGTCTGTGAGGCTGAACCACAGATATCGTTTGTGCAGCTGAGCACCTCTGCAGCTCAGGTCCTACATATATCTGGTTGTTTCCTTCAAATCAAACACTGAAAGACAGCTTCGTTTGCCAAGAGCTGTTGCTGCCTAACTAGTTTCCCAAAAAAATTCCCCATTATCGAAGTTGATTCGGGTATCACGAAGCAGAGGTTCTCAGCCAGTCATTTCCCCAACTGCAGCAACCAGCTTCGGATAGTGAAAGCAATTGTCTAAGTTTTACAGCTACCATAGTGTGGAAACAAAAAGGCTTGACTTGATTCGTGGAAAGGAATCTTAATTATCATGTGAATTCAAATGGGAATAGTATTAAATAAGATCAAACCACACTAAGCAGTCCATTCACACCAAGTATTTGATCATGAACATTAGAATTTAGAGCATAAAAAAACGATACCTCCTCTGCACGAAGCGTCCAGTACTGGTCGTTGATATTTTCAATTTTCTCGCCGGGAGGAAAGATCTGTGAATACAGAATGCTTTATTAAATTGAGTCAAGTCAATATATTGCAGAAAATCAAGGTAACAGAAAGTAAACAGTAGGTAAAAGAAATGATAATCATAACAGCTAACAATGGACAACTGCCCTCAGCCACAAAGCTTTCCCATACCCACACAATGTGGAGTAATAAACACCCAAAACAACAATAAATAAGACAACCATAAAAACAGCAAATGAGAAAGCATTGGATACCTTGTAGATCTTGTGGTAGAACACCTCAAGCAATCTAAGTTCAGCATTGGGATGAGACAACTCAACCTACAGAGATTCAAGGAATGTCAGAACATTATCATCAGTTTATTTTCTACTCCAGACACCCCCTCCACTTTTCCTTTTCTTTCTCATCCAGGGGAAAAAAAACGCATGCACCAACAAACCTCCATCCCCCAAAAAGTAGCAAGATACTACCAAAGAAACATTTCTGTAAAGTTGATACCTTTGTCTTAAGGTCATTTATGACATCACCAACCGTACTCTGCTTTGGCAGTCTAATGGTATGAATTACAACCTGAGCAGATGGAAGAAATTCTAAGAAATCAATCCATTATAGCACAAACCACAGAACAAAACACAGAACAAAATGTAAACTTTTGAACCTCATCCTTGGTTGCATGATGAAAGGCAACTTTCAAAGTTTTCAGACCTTGCAGCTCTGGAAGAGGGATATCAAGCACTTCATAGTATAAAATGTCGGATGTCTGGAGAGGAACAGCTCATTTCCATTACACAACAGAAATATAAAGGAGTATCACATCAGAAGTTAATTGTTGCACATGGGGACACCTGGTTGTAATGGACCAGCATATCAGACAAATGATCTACTCCTCTGTACTTTATGGGTTGAGGTTTAGGTTGCTGGGAGTAACAGTTGTGAGAGGTAAGCCTCATTTTGGATGGGTCATCCAAGCCAAGATGATTAGCTACTCTTTCAACCACATCATCATAGGTGTGAAGCTTTGACCTAAAAAAATGAATAGCAAAGATAGATTATATAAATGTATAAAGTTTTATCAACTTGTTCACATCACCAAATTCACTCACAGTTCCAAGGAGAATTCATCCTCTTTCGGTTTCTCCAATGATCGAAAGCGAACCACCTGGAGATACAAGAAACCACAGCACATAAATTTACAGTATTCAAGAGAAATTTGAAGTAAGCATAACATCTCATAGATAGACATCCCTAATCTACAAGCATGCATTTTAGTTCCTCATATGCTCCTGACCAGGAAAAAATAACCAATTAACAGGTCCTATAGAAGGCTGATGGGACCTAAACCCTGCAAAAATGACGGCTTGAGCCAGCAGCCAATTCTAGTTGGGAAACCTCTAGAGAAATTAAGACACTTAAATCTGTCCCTGTAGAGTATTCACAGAATAACCAAAATCTAAAACTACAACCAACTAAAATAATAGACTTAAGCAAATGAAGTTTCAGTTAAACTGGGGAAAAATTAACACACTCAACGGAAGAACTGGTAGGATCACTACATGAAGTAAAACTGGATGTTCTAAAAGTGCATGCCAAAGGATCATCACACCTGTCGATTATGCACATAATCCAGAAAAGAAGGCACATCAGGGTACCGGCATGGTTGCCCACTTCCAGGAGGGGGCTTCTGAAAGCAGACTATGTCTCCATCTTCTAGCTGCAGACAAAGCAAGTGAAATAAAAACACAACGGAAATAGATAAATAACCAATCTTGAAAAGTTAAAAATAAGCAAATAGAGCACCAACTAGCCTACCTGGCTAGAGCGAAATGCTATCTTCTTGTCAATTGGCTCACACATGACATGAGGTTCAAACTTTATTTCCTAGACATAATACCATTAAGGTAAAGACTACAGTGAAGCAATAGATGTAGATGATCAATATTCGACGAAGTTTTTGACTAACCTCATAAAGTTCAATCTCTTGTTCAGGAGCATAGCCAGCCATTTCATTTAGCTTGGTCAATATCTCCATGGGCTTACCACTTCCCTTTACAAATAGCCTCCCAATGTACCTAGATCATAAAGAACCGAACTTAAGAAACCACGTCCTAATCCTATCTAGAGAAGGTAAGCAAAAGGGTAAGTACCTCAACTCTTCCTTCAGTGGGTCGTAAAGTTTAAAGAAGAGTAGAATATCTTCCTTAGTTCTATCAAGAGGAGCAATAGGACGCAGATCCTATATCAAAACACATAAATAAGGATTAATATAACTGATCTTATAAAAGCTCAAGGAGAACATATGAAGAAGGGAGGGAAGGGGGAGGAGTGCAATGGGCCAGATAACATTACCGGTCCAAGTTCGACTTCCAAAAACAATTTTAGCTCTGCATTATTTGCTTTGTTAGATACTTCCCTCAATTGGCCGACCTACAAGTCATTCCTGTTAGGACAACACTACAAGCGCAAACACTTGCTGAATAACCACGCAAAACATAGGGATATCATATACTTTATACTAAGATATTTTACTAATAAATTCATTTAATATCTGCTTACAGACTGTGATTCCTCTTGGGGTGTTAATGGCCGATTTGGACGGTACGTATGGTTCTGTCGCTTGGCCCACAGCCAGAAACGTTGACATTGAACCGGTACACCAAACTCTTTTGCAACTTCTTCCTACATAAAATCAACAATCACCAAGTCAATCACAGAGTTCTGACGCACAGCACCATGGACAGAGACATGCACAAACATATCGTCCAAACAATTTAAAAGAAAAATATATAGCCAACTTAACCGCCACGAAGCCAAATCAAATCTCAGGTGGGGAGGGAGGATTCAAGACATAACTTGAAGTTATTTAGTTATACTTCCTGTCTTCCAGGTTACTAATGCACCATATTATTTTAAAAAACGTGTTTCAGATGCAAGTCCTTGCAGGTCAAGAGATTATGACAGCACCTTGAAAAGGGTGAAAGGCATCTGCTTCTGGATGCGAAAACTGCGAACTTTGTCATGATCTACCAGATCAAAATAGATATCCTTCCCAATCTGTTCAAGAAGATCCTCACTTCGTGCAACCTGTGAAAGAACAGAACTCATAATATAGAGGCATACATTGACCATTGTGGCGAAGAAAAAATTACTTTTGTGTGAAACGAAGGTAAGCAAGCTTGCACGTCAGGGCAGCAGTGCATGGAAAAGGATGGATCCAGAAAACCTTGATGATAGTATACAAGTGGGCCTCAGATTTTTCCTTTCGCTTTTGCTCCTTTTCTTCTTGTTCTTTCTTCAGTCTTATCTGAAGCACGATAAAAGGAAATGGATGTTATATTCTCATCCATACAAAATACAACCCTATGACTTGTTAGGATTGATTTCAACAGCTGTACAGTCTCACCCTCAGGTGTTCTGCGATGTCCTTCTCGTCCACATTACATATTATCTTTTCCTTGTCACTTTCACGTATATACACCAGCATATAAGCATTTGAATATTTTGTGAACTTAAAAGGAGAATTGTTGAAGCCGGGATTTGTCTGCGGTAACTGTTGCACAGAAAGCCAGCAAAATTACTTGCTATCCAAAGCCAAATGGAAAACAAAATAAAGTGAAAACGATAAGGATAGTATATAGGTCTGACCTCTTCCTCGCCGCCATACTGCTCCTCTAGCGCTCTTTTTACATCCTCTTTGGTTACCCGCTCATCATCGAATTTAAACCTGTATGCCCAGAAAATTTGACATTTTGACAGTATGTTGGGGACTTGGAAGCCTCTCCGAACTCCCTTTTCTTAAGAATATCATCGAACTATACAGCAAGCATATATGACAAACTAGAAGAGGATGACACTGCATGAACTTCCTAATGTATGGGAGCAGAGAGAGGAATCTTGAGCTGAGTCAACCAGAATGCACATTATGGCTTCAATTGAAAACCACAGCTCCCCTTTGATAAGCAGGGGAATAACAACATTTAAATTGTCCCTCTGGTTGAAGTTGAAACTGAAGAAAGCACTCATAGGTGCCTCTAGTTTGTATATTGCAGCAGAGATGAACGCTAGATAAGATCTGCAATGCAGGGGGAGAAATCTAAAACCAACAACAGAGTACTACGCCGAGGAGGTGACCTCACAGTGGTGGGTGAAAACATCAAAAACCACCCAAGCAAAAAAAAAACCTTGGGCCAAAACTTAACCCATTTGTATATGTGTTTGCATTTATTTATATAACTAATCAACACATTAAATCAACAATACTGTACCATTGATCTGAAAGTGTTGGTCTGATATAAGCATAGTAGTGTCCACCATGCACACCGCCACTGTGAACCAAAACACTAGAAAGAGACAATACTACAAATTGATTAGAAACACTAAACCATATGCAAAAAATATCGACGAAAATTCACAAACTAAACAGTTACCCAAGGAAGATGGAACAACCAATATACACCAAGATCACGGAGCAACAACAGTGACAATAAGATGCTCAAATTCTAAAACAAACAAAAAATGTTGACAGCAGAGCATGCCTAGTAGTAAAAAAAGGAAGAATATGAAAAGGTATAAGAAAGAAGAATTAGGTCATCTCTTCCTAGACTAAGAAGTTTGGGATGAAAAAACATTATAAATTAAAGTAAGAGAGAGTTTTCACCAGAAAAAAATTTGATATATACGATATTAATCCCTTTTACATGATATAGGTACAAGCAGTCGAGCAACCAAAACTTCATTGAATGTGCTAAACGCACATCAAAAGATAGCCCAAGCAAGCAACAAACCTGAAGGATCTACTAACCTACATACTAGCAGAAAAAACACATGACAAACAACAAATTATAACCACTCAGAATTTGGAAGTCATAGTCTATGGTAGATGAAAAACAACCTTAGACATATAGGCATGGGTGACAGCTAATGGTTTACTTTGAAGCAAGTGTCCAGCCCAACATCACCTTCCCAGGCTCTTCTTGACACTTATGGACATACCCAAGACTTATCCCCCCCTCCCAAAAAAAAAAAAAATTCATTAACTTCAACTTCTTTTTCCTTTGCGGTGACTGACCAAAGAATCATCAATACATGAATGTTCACTGCAGTGTATTCTCATAATTATATATAATACTGACAAGTCACTAGTGAATCACTCTAAAAGTTACACTAGAAGTGTAAACACGAATCATAGAAAATGATCACACCTGTGTAGAGTGTAAAGGTTGCGGATGCTTCTGTCTGCATCTGGTGATAAATATTTTCCATTTTCTCTGTCAAGATCAAGTTGCAAAGGGAACTCATAACGATCATTTATCTGCAGCAATTAAGACTTCCATTAGGCGTCGAACACAATTGTACACCGATTAGACAAGAGAACCAGGATGTGAATATACCAGCTGCAGAAGCTATCCACAACTCACCTTCACCATAGTATCTCGCATAAAATCGTACTCAAATCTTTTCAACTGAAGTTGAAGAACAGGAGGAAAGTCGATAAACAGGACTCCCTTCTTGGCATCCTGCAAACATATAGGGAAAATAAAGAAACTAAGAAAAATACTTCATCATGGAGATAAGGAAACTTCTAAAGCGTTAACATACAGAAACAGATATGACAGGAGAATTTACAAGTTTTTCCTTTCATATTTAAGGAAGAGTCAGCATTTCTCCATAAGCATAGCAAGAAACCATGAAAGACAAGGCACCAGGTTTAGGGTATGTCATAGTGCTGACCCATTAAGAGGCAAATATTATGTACTGCAGTTTAGGTTTTCAATATCATTCTCAGTACTACTACTTTCACGTTAAAGTGTATGTCCGGAAAGGAAATTTAGGATCAGGATGTCAGCTTTGTAGCCAGTACAAACCAGATAGACTTAAAGGAAAAAAGTATAGTAATAGTATCTATCAAGTCTTTGTGAGAAAAGAAAAAAGTTGTTTGTTTTAGCAAATATTCATTACACGTTTTGAATTCCATTTTCTAACTTTCACCCATTCCAAGCACACCAAGAAACGAACTTGGAAATGAATTATATTTTCTAAAGCTTTCGTTGGTTCCAAACGGACTGTTAGGTTTTGCAGTATAGGTATCAGTTCACATTAAGATATATTACTTATTAATTCAAGCCTTATCATAATTTTCCACTTTCATGGTCCAGATGTTCCCTTCAACATGACTGCTTCAAATTCAAATGACCACTTCCTCACACCCAGACTAGATTAAAAGTTAGACAAGCTAACACTTGCCCGTAAGACAACAGCACTTTGAAATCATGAATGCATCAAACATATGTTCTTACCTTACTGGAACCATTGGTCAACTAGTACTCGACCAGTCATCCTAGTGTGACACTATTGTGCTAGTTGTTGCGGTCATAGACATAGTAGATTTTAAATTTTTTACCGGTTCAAGCCCAACCCTACTACCTCAGATATTTTATTATCTAAGAATATCAAATTTCATGTTAAATTTTCAATAACTCAGGGTCTTGAAACACCACATAAAATGATCCCACTAACTCAAATTCACCCTCCACCAGAGCCATTCTTTGGTTAGCAATGGTAGGGTTCTTCTCCAACTTGCATCTCATGACATTCTATTTCTATATGCTCTCTTTCCTAACGGTCAATCACTCAAAAACCCCAAAAGATTTAGTTTCGCTAATCAACAATATGGGTGGGCAAAAAAATCTAAAGGAAATAGCCATTTGAACAGTGAAGTCACTACCCGCCATGGGAGAACGGGTATAAAAATGTTCTGTGTACTCGAGAGTCTGACATCTCTGATTCCTTTAGAGGATTCCACAATCTATGAAAATCACAACTAAAGCATTCAAGGAAAGTTGAGAACTTTTAACAAACCATCCCCTAGAGCCCTGTGACAAATTCTGTACTAAAGCTCTTGTAAACACGATTTTCAAATGAATCTTACCTGCAGACCGTGTTGTTCGGCATGATACTTATTATCGCCTTCAAGACTCTCCACTTCAACATACTTGTCAAAAGATGCATAGACATCTCGACAACCTTTGACATCAAGCTGAAGATCTGAAGTTACATGGAAGTAATAAAATGAATCAGTGTGGGACACGTCTACTAATAATGAGTATTCAACATATCACAATCTTTACCATAAAATGATTCCTTCCTAGTGGACTTGTAATCCACATTGATGCACTCTATATAATTCATATGGTGCCCTTCAAACAACTGTTGTATTGTTCCCTCTACAACAGTTCCCTGAATCAAGAAACAAAGACAATGTCTGTTAACATTTCAACAAGACAAGATTGAGTGCGACACAATGCAAACTTGCCACTCCCCTACTCTTACCTTCATTTTATCCTCAAGCTTTTCACTAAGGACCCTATTAAGTTCTTGCACATCGTGCTGCATGAAAGAATCATAAGTGTCCCAACCAAAAGATTTTGTCAGCTCTTTTGTCGCTACACTAGTGTCACTGTACTGAAGCTTATAAAACAAACTCTGCAGAGCGAGAGGGATGCTTCCTGATGGCATGTCATTCTCAGTTGTTGGCATGTGATAGACAGCCTGCAATTACATTCCAGCCATAAGGCTTTGACTAATTTCACATTTACTCTATCCGTATAATAAACAAGTTTCAAATGCTTGGTAACTGAAGGTATAGACAAACCTTCCTGAAGTAAGGAATATGGTAGAGTGTCTGAAGAAGAGAGTTCATGTAACATGTGGCTCCTTGGTTTTTAAGTCCAACATAGCCCGTCTCCTTTTTAGAATCATGGGACCAGTAATCCATAATTTTCCGTACAGCAACATCTGCCTCTACTATGCAAATATCATTAACAAGATAACCTCTGCCAGGGTCATATAACTCCCCGAGGAGCATGAATGAAGTAAATCCCCAGTCACTCTCACGTGCATTGAACTGGTGTTGTGTCTCTGCATATACAAAAGTTTCCGAATTTTCAGGTTATATCACAACCAATGCTAATATTCAGGGAATTTATTTTCTAACCAAAAGTACTTCTCCACCCAACATTTTATCTCATGCCAAAGCACCAGCACCATCATTGAGCTAGTGTAGTTATAAAATCAACACCTTCACTGATGAATAATGCACTGGATAGATGGAGGAAAGGGTACACAACAGATCTTTATGCAGAAAGGCAGCAGGGTAAGCAGAGAAACACAGATGTGACATAGAACATGGTCTAATGTACAAACTTCTTTATCCTGACTCGAAATTTTATTTGAGAAATGAGCAGGCAACGGGGTACATGAAGGACAGCTGTCATGTTGCTGATGCTAGGAACTTACCATACACATATATACACATGCAAATATGTCTTGCCATAAACAAGTTACAAATCCACGCTAAACATAACATCTCTGACAGCTTACAGTTTCTGTTATAACTAACCACTTCAGAATTAGAAAGCACCAATGACTGATTCTCTGGAAACCTCTTCTGGAGGAAAACAATCGGATGGATTGCTAACAGCCCATACTGTTGCCCTATTCATCACAAATACAAAAGTGCACCTAAAGCATCCAAGAACCCTATTACTGTTTTTGCACATACCCTTGTGCCTTAACACTGAAACAAGTATCCCATTTGAATTTTTTTTCTCTCTCATTCAAACGTGTTTGACCAAGATTAGTTGCCAACAACTAACATAATCACAACGGTTAAAAACAACCCTAAAACGGATAGAAAATGAGCTAGATCAATAAGCTGCTCACATAAAGGCCCACGGTCTCACCCACATCAGGGTTTCCTATAAACTGAAGTGTACTTCAACACACAGTAACCGTTGACAGCTTTACAGACCCGAGTGTTTGTAAGAGTACCTCCGCTCTTTCGGTATACCCCATTAAATAAACTAGTAGACAAATTCATCCACCAAGGCTATTTCAGAAATTAATTGTCGTGCGTACCACATAACCAAGCATATGTTATCACCAAGAAACAACGATCTAGAACAAAGCTCCAAAACTAACACTACAAGTATTCGAGACAATGCATGGTCTCTGACACCACGAAAGGATGAACAGCTACCTTTCCGGATTGAGCACTTTTGTTGAAGTTGATTTACAACAGTCAAGCTGAATTGGGCATATCGACTCCAGCCATATGGCAGAGTTCCAGAGTCTGCAACATCTAGGTACATGGACAGATGATCCACATTGTTACCCTTGGGGAAAATCAATATTCGCCTACATAAGCAATTTAGCGCATAAGGGTAGAGAACAAAAAACATATAAACAACAAGCAGAAATTTATGCAAAGATATCAAATAGACGAGGTTCGACATACCATCTATAACCTCCAACGACAAAAACATCAGAATACAACTTCTTGGTGTTGAGCCTCGAAAAGTTGTCAATTGTCCAGGTAAACCTTGCTGATGGTGGATCATCGACAGACTGAGCATCACCTGTTGTTGCTGGTTCGGCAGGTGCTACTGAAGATGGTGATGAGAAATTAAAAATGCATGAGATATGGCATTGATTTTTTAGAGCACTTCGTAGCAACACTCAAATGTCCCTCACTATAATAAAGATAAAAAATTTAGTTCCTTCCTTAATAAAGAAGCACCAGAAAAACAAAATCCTTCTACCAAAAAGAGAAACAAAATCATTCCTCCGACCCACGCTCCAAAAAAGCCATAAGATGATCAAACAGAACTACCCAACATTATCCCCATAAACCCCATAGCGACCCACTTGACCACCTGAGATCTCAGAACTCTGAATCCGAAAGCGATAGTAAGGACGTATAAGGATGGCAGAACACGGAAATCACAGCAATCACACACAACAGTCGCAACCCAACTGACTCAATACAACAACAACAAAAGGTTAAACGTAACAATCCCTGGGGGCGCACCTTCCATGGGCTGAGGACCTTCCGTGAACTCAGTGTGGGGGACCAGCATCTCGTCGTCCTCTTGCTGCTACAAAGATTTGCCCAAAACAAAAACAAAAAACAGACATTGAACAGCAGAGTTAATACAAGAACTCGGATCTGCCGATGGGGGGGAAAAACCCTAGCAGCGAATTCGCCTTCGGAGTGACAGCGAAAGTGACCAAATTCTGGTGATTGAAGTAACGAAACCCACAGAATGAAAAAAGCCTAATCATTCCGAAATCGAAATTGGATCAAATTGGAACTAAACCATAGCCAAAATGCCAGAGACAGATAGGGATGGGGAAAGATGGAAGAGAAAGACACGAGCAGGGAAAGCGTATAGCGACAGTAGAAGGGAGGAGTCTCAGAGTAGGAATTTACATCCAACGGCGGAGTAGTCATCAGAGTCATAGCTGGCGAGAGGGGAAGGCGGCCGCCGATCGACGTAAGCAGAAGACGTGGACGCCACCGAGCGCGGGAGACAGAACCAGAGAGAGAGAGAGAGAGAGAGAGAGAGAGCTCTGAAGCGAAGACGATGGATGTGAAACGAAGTCGAGAACGAAAACGGAGAAGGAGGTGACGGGGGGCTTTGTTCGAGAAGGGACAATTTGGGGATTTCGTAGGGTTCGGCAGTGGAGGGCTCGGCAGGCTGGGAGAAATGGGCGAACCATAAAAACGGACAGGGGTTTATTATTAACCGAAGATTTGGTCGTATTTACGGAACCTGCCATTCGTCAAGCAACAAGGCATGAACGGGAAGAAAAGTCTCTAGTTTCTAGATTGCACAATGCTAGTCTTCATTTCATTCATACAAAAAAAAAATAATAAGTTTATAATGAAATTTTGAAATCAACACAACTTTCACTTCACTCTTTTTAAAAAATATATATATATATAAATAAAGAGTGTATCCTAATCTTTATGTATTAACGAATCTAAAGATTTGAACTTTAATTTGCTCGAATTACACGTGAATAACAAAGAAATATGTGTTCGTCAAATGGTTATTAATGGTTATAATGAAGCTAAATAATTGACACAACATTGGCCTCTCTATGGTGTGTGGCTCTTAAAACGAACCTCCCACGAAAGCAGTCATACGGCATATGGGATTCCAAGTTTCCAACCATTATCGTATAATGAGAAATGTGATGGTGTGGTTTGTTTCAATAAGTTGTTTGGTTATACGGTAAGGATTTTGTCAAGAGAAAGAACTTTCCCTGATCCCGAGTTCCCATACGATCTTAACTTAACTATGCACAGATAATGAAACCCTCCCCCCTCCCCCCGCCGCAAAAGCTCTGATAAAACGGCCATTGTCTCCCCCTCACAACACCGCCAGCCAGCTATCATACCGAAAGGAAAGTGAACGACTCGAATCCATCAATGCCAGAAAATGTTCTCTTGGTCTCCAACAAATTAGAATTTACTTCATTTTATTTTAACTTCATCCTCAATTTCTCCCCTATTGGGGGCACATCAATTATTACATCATCCATTATTCAAGAACAAGTTTTAATTTTTGTTCTTCTTCTCCATTACATTGAAGTCTCTAATTAATAAGTCCAGTCCTCAGGCAAGCTCCATCCCCAGGGAAGCAGCTCATCAGGAAACTCCTCCTCCTCCTCCTTCTTCTTCTTCTTCTCCATTTTCTCCATTTTCTCCATCATATCAGTACTGGTTCGTCCGCTAGGAATGGCGGCAGGTGAAATTGGTGACGGTACTGGCGGCGGCGGGATGGGGACGCGAGGGATGAAGACTCCGGTCCCTGCTGATATCTGCTCCGTGGTCAGGTTCTCGACGTACCTGAAGCCCTGTCGAAGAAGAAACAGAATCGATTCGTGAATTCGATGGGTCGCGGGGGGGAATTTCGACATGTCGGGTATGAATTCATGGTGGTGAGGTAATTTTTACAGAGTGCTGGATTGGAACAAAGGGGCGGAACCGGTGATGAATTCCTCCGGAGAAGACGAGGAGACCGGTGGGACGAGGCGGGCGGCAGGTGTGGTCGAGCATTGGTGCTATGTTTCCGCAGAGGACCTTTCAGAAAGTTGGGATGGTGGAACAGAGGAAGTTGTCAGAGTCATATACAGAAGGTTAGTGGTACAAATATATGTAAAACACAAGCAATAGAGGAGGAGATGATCACAAAAGATGGTTAAATGAAGGAGAAAGAAAGGGGGAAATATATGAGATAATGAGTGACTTGACTCGGATCTGAAATGTTTATTTATGTTGTTTGAATTGAATTGAATTATGTATATTCCATTTCGAATTGGAGCAGGTAAAAAGAAAAATAATGTCACGTGAAAATGTATATATCAGGGTCGAATGACAAAAGCGTGAATGATGTATAGAGACAAAAAAAAAACGTGCGGAAAGGAAGAGCGGGAATTTATTACAATTGAAGAGTGTTTTCAACACGCATGATTGTGTATCTTAGCCCTGGGAATGGCAATGGGCAGGACAAAGCAAATAAGCGAATGCTCATGCCGGGATTTTTTTTTTTTTTTTTTTGTAGGGGTTTGCGAGAGGTTTGGTGTGACAGTATGACCACAAGTCAAGACGTGTTGATATATCGAAGACGATGAAGATCCATGTCTCGCCCTACATGTGACTCGATAAAATCTTGAAACCAACGTAGGTGGAACCAGAGCAAAGAGCGAGCATATAAAAACAAAATCAGTATCCCTAATTCAACTCTTGAAATTAGTTTCAAATAGTGTTGGAAAATTGGACAACTTTTTTGCACATTAAACTATAAAAATTCTTATACATCAACAAACCCACAGAGACTCCACGTTTAAGATTCGCCCCCAAGCATAGTTTTTGACTCTTCACTAGGTATCTCCTTCCGACCCACTTTCCGTTACGGAAAATATTTGACCGTCACATACGAGAGAAATTTCTAAAAGGAAAACTAGTAAACAAGTTGTTTGCTCGACAAACCCATCATTTAATTATAGTGTTGAAAAATTGGACAACTTTTTTGCACATTAAACTATGAAAATTCTTATACATCAACAAAACCACAGGGACTCCACATTTAAGATTCGCCCCCGAGTATAGTCTTTGACTCTTCACTCGGTATCTCCTTCCGGCCCACTTTCCGTTACGAAAAATATTTGACCGTCACATACGAAGAAATCTCTAAATGGAAAACGAGTAAACAAGTTGTTTGCTCGACAAACCCATCATTTAATTTCTTTCTACTTTCAAAATCCAATACCAAAACAGAGTTGGCATACTATCCATCCAATTAGAACAAAAGAAAATGCAAGAATTGATAAATAAAAAAAAAGATAAATACATAGGTGATGAAACCTGGTCTCTTGGTTGAGCATTCAGACCATGAAGTCTCTCAAGTACTTGTGGATTCCTCGAAACCTTAGATGGAATCAGTGGATTCTTGAAAATGATGGGTTTCATCAGTGGTTTGTGATGATTTGAGGATGGTGAAATTTCGACCAGGACGTCAGAAGGAATCAGACGTTCTGGATACTCGAAATCTAAGTTCATGTCTTCCATTAATGATACCACCAAGCTAACCAGAAAGAGTGATACCACCATGGATGAACCACAACACCACTACTGAAGCAATTTACCACTAGCTACTTGGGTTTAACAATGGAGGACTTGGGCTGGATGGGGGGAAAACTGGGAGGATAGCACAGCTTTTTATAGAGTTTGAGTAACCGACGTGGATTTGATTTACATGGTAAGTGTGCATGTTAATTACTTCTCAAAATTATGATTTTTTTTTGTGTGTGTCATTAAATGCAGTTGGTTCAATGTGGTTCCAGTTAAGCAAACTATTTTTTCTAAAGTGTGTATGGTATTGTGTAAAGAAAAGGAATGATGAGTGCTTGGATGAAATTGTACAGTTGGTGGTGGAATTGATATGGAAATTGGAAAAATAGGTTATGTACGTGAACGAGAAACTTCACTCTTGTCTAAAGTAAAAAATTTGGGTAGCTAGTGGTCAAGAGATTATAATTAAGTGTAGTAGAAAGCAAAACAGAGTTGGTATGGTCAAACGTTTGACGGGCATAATAGCAAATGTATTAAAAAAAATACATAAAATATCTAAACGTATTTAAAGTTTTGACAAATATAAATTTGTGCATTTTGTTGGAAAAAAGGCGAAAATAAACCGAGGTCCTAAAGTCTAGTCAAGAAAAGAAGTAAATATAACTGGAAGTCCGAGTTTGTCGGAGCGCCGCGCACACAAGTCTAGCTAGGGTTCGCCTTCGTTCATGCCGGCGGTGGCTCCACCGCTAGCCGGGGGAGGCCCCAGTGCCTCCCGCCATGCAGAGACAGTCACAGGCCAGAGAAGACCGCCAACAGCAACTTCTTCCCCGAACCCTAAAGGGGAGAGAGAGACGCAGCAGAGCAAGAAACGTGCCAAGTCGGCCACTCCCGCGTCAGCGGATGAGCTAGAAGACGAAGAGATTGTGGATGTAACGGAGAAAGAGAAAACTCGCAATGCCCCGCCCAGCACAGGGAAGCAGGCGTGGGCAGCTGGGACGGGAGCGGCGAGACGACTGTTCGGCAAGAACGCCATGACGGATGTCTGGTACGTTGCAGACTCAGACTCGGAAGATGTAGCGGAGGCCATGAGACAAGATGGGAGCGACGAAGGGTTTATGGAGGAAGAAGATCCTTTGTGCCCCCCAATCCTATTCACCGCAGCGGAGGAAAGAAAGTTTTGCCGAGCATATAGGTCGGCACTAGTGGTGAAAGTTCTGGGGAAGTCAGTATCATACACGGGTATATCCAACAGGCTGAACGTTATATGGGCAAAAGCAGGAGGGATCCAAGTAGCATCGATCAAGAATGGGTATTACCTTGTACGATTCACGAGCGGTATGGACTATGAACGAGCAACAACGGGGGGACCATGGATGATTGGCGACAATTATCTTACAGTTCACATGTGGGACAAGGATTTTAACCCTTACAACCATGAGATCTCTTCGACGTTGGTGTGGGCTCGGCTACTCGACTTGCCTGTCCATTATTTTCACCCGGAGGCTGTGATGAAAATTGCGCAGCGCATTGGAAAGCCGTTACGGGTGGACCATGCAACGAGCACGGGAGCTAGACTGGATTATGCGCGAGTATGCGTTCAGGTGGACCTTCAGAAACCGCTCCTGTCACAATTTAGGATTCATGGAATTAAATATTTCATTCAATATGAGGGCTTGGATAATATATGCTTACAATGTGGGACTTACTCGGCCCGAGGCTACTGTGCCTGTTCTTCGCAGAGGCAGATGGAACAAGAAAAAGAGAATACGACGGAACCGCCGGTGACAACCGACCCAACCGGGGATCAATCTTCCCCAAGCCCTCCAGAGAAGGAACAAGTGTACGGGGATTGGATGATCGCGAAGAAAAAATCTAAGGCTCGCAAGGTTACTCAACAGGGAAGGGCTGACAAGAGTGATCAACGGGGAATCGAGCATGCAGCTAGTGGGAAGGGGGGATCTCGGTTCTCTGTGCTAAGCGTAGAAGAAGATGTGGTGACGCCAAAGGGAGTGAGTGCTACTGACGGGTTACGACCGTACGTAAACTCCAAAGAGGAGGCTTCAAGGATGCCAAACCAAAATACAAAATGGCAGGAGAAACCA